TTTAAGTTATCATTACATAGTGAATTATATAATGACCAATCAGCCCTGGCAAAGTTCCTTCTGGATAAAGGTGGATCATCTTCAGGGCGTATTGTTTTAAGAATGGTGGGGAAGTGATCACTCCCACATAGGTCATCATGGACCATCCATTCAAATTCATTATATAAAATGGAGTCAACAAGTGATAGATCCAGGGAAGAGTATGTTCCCGTAGCTGGATGTAAATAAGTGGCTGAATCATCATTGCAGATACATAAATCATTATCAGAAAGGAATTCCTCGATGATTTTACCTTTACTATTAGTATGGGCACTTCCCCAAAGCGGGTTGTGTCCGTTCAGATCACCCATGATGATACATGGTTTTGGAAGCTGATCATACAGTTTTGCAGATCTGACAGTCTGATATCAGAAGACGGTGGGATATACAAGCTGCACAGCGTCAACGTAATGTGTAAAGTGAGACGAACAGCTACAGCTTGCAGATTGGTATTAAGAGGGACAGGGCTATGTATAATACCCTGTCGCACTAAAATAGAAACACCCCAGTTGCTCTATCTCCTGGAGGAAAGAAATGATATTCACTGTATTGTCTTAAGTTTAACGTATCTGTATTTTTAAGAAAAGTTTCTTGAAAACAAAATGCTGATGGATGAAAGTCCTGTATCAATAATTGTATTTCATTAAAGTTCTTTTTTAAGACCTCTGCAATTCCATTGAATTAGATTGGGCAATTGAGTCATGGTGGCTCAATTGGTGATCGCCCTCGTGAATGTGAGGAGGAACTGTTCCTCCGCCGGTCCTGTGAGGACGGAGTGACCTCCATATCGAGAGGTCCAAAAGGGTTCTCCAGAGGAAGCTCTGAAGATAAAGGAACGTCAGTTGTTTGTTTCCGATGGTATTTTTTTCCTTTCATTTTTACTGGTTGACCGGAACTTTGCTGTTTGTCCGATGTTTTAGTTGATGTCTCAGGCTCATTTTGAGGCTGGTTCTCTGGCTGATTCTCAGTCTGAGATCCAGAGGAAAACTGTGTTACTGGGAGAGGCGTGATACAGCTGAAGTTGATGTGGTGGGTTTCTCCGACTTGACCCATGTCAAATCTGTCTGGCATGTAACTGATGATGTTGCTACGGGACGAAAGTGACAGCAGCAGAGTATGTCATATTAACTGGACTTGAAACCTCATTTGCAAGAAGTTTTTGCATCAAGATACGAAATGTTCTTCTCACATTTTAATTTCATTATCTTTGACTCCTTTTGCCACACAGGGCAGGATTTAGATGAGGCATCATGTGGGCCTTGGCAGTTCGTGCACTTAAAACTCTTGTCACAGTCTGTGTTGTCGTGGCTCTCACCACATCTATGACATACCACAGAGCCACGACAAGAGTTTGACCCATGACCAAACTTTGGCATTTGTAACACCGAGTGGACTGGGGACATACCGTCCACTCCGATATTAAAATATCCAGCTTTAATTGACTGTGGCAGTGAAGCACGCGAGCAAACGCCAAGAGATAAGTGTTCGTTTTACAGTGGTACCTTCTTTCCTGATAGTGAAACGTTTGACTGCTGTCACACCCTGATCGTGAAGCTCTGCAGCAATGTCCTCCTCAGACATGTCAAACAGACAGCGAGCCCTGTCGCGAATGATACCACGACAGGAATTTAAAGTTCTGTGCACGGACACAGTAACCTCTATATTGGCGAAGGTTTTAATCGATAAAGAGATTGAGAGATTGCTGTTTCCGTGCGCATTCCACCAGAAGGGGAACCACTACGGAGACGGGTGACGCTTTTAACATCACCACAAATTCCACAAACAGCTTTTGATATAGCGAAAGGATTTAGTTTGATGGGCAGAAAATCAGTTGCCTCAATCACAAGGAAGCGAGCCCATGATTCAGAATTGGCAGAAACAGTTTTGTTAGATTCATCAACATTTTCATATCGGCGGCTTTTTTCATTTCGCTAGGAACCAGATGGATTGGGATCCATGATAATAGTCAATAAGTTCAGCACCCCTGCTCCCCATCCACCTCGGAATATCAACAAGGACAGCGTCATATAGCACCGGATCTCCAAGATGCTGACACCAGGGATACAGGGTGTTATACTCCAGAGACAAAGACATGAAAGCTATGGAAAACTAAAAGAATAAATGCCAGGCTGGTTCGGCCCATGACACCATTCCCAAGAATCACAGATTCCAGAGGTCTAATATCACCAGATTGGCCCATGAGCCACCGCCTTCTGGCATAGGACTCTAGGCAATTTAAAGCAATACAAGTTCAAACAAAGTAGATCCAAAAAATCCAAGGCCCAATGATAATATTACAATGTGCAATATAGTCACCACGCACAGGGCTTGGCGTGACCAGCCGATTGATGGAACCGGGCCAGTTCCACCACCCGTCTAGGTGAAGTAAGGGGCGAAGTGGTGTGTTGGGCAAAGGAACACTGTTCCTGGAACCAGTGCCCTCAACCACCAGCCTCCCGTCCTCCACTGACACAGGGGCGCAACCCACGGCAAACGGGTTGGTGGACCAAAATATGCCCCCCGGGTCCACAACGGGGGGTTGAAAGGCGCTTAGCGTGACCCAGCACCCACCACGAGGAGGTGGCCTTTCATGGGTGCCTACAAGATACAAACAATTCTTAAGGAGTCAGGTCCTGGTTGTTTCTGATTAATACCAAGTCTGTTGCCAGGCAGTGACTTGGCAGGGGAGATTACCCTGTTTTTCTTTACTATACAAACCTCAAGATATGTCATTTGTTCTCCATGGGGATTTTTCCTTGAGCAGGTACTCACACTCAAGCTGAAACCTAGGAGTCTCTCTAAGGTCTTTTAGAAAGACCAAAAGTTTTACTTTGAATCATAATACAGACATGTTTTAGGTTAAGGTTTTTGTATTTAGATGAATAGGAATCTAATTTAGCTTTTTTGTTGAATTAAATGTCAAGGTTTTAGCAATATTCCAGCAATATCACGTCAGAAATGTGCTTCAAACATTGTACCTATGTGGGGAATTGAACCTGGGCCTTTGGCATAACGAGCAAATGCTTTAACCAGCTAGGCTACTCCATCGCCCCCTTAAAGTACATGAGAACATACATGACCTCTCTCTGCAAATTGCAATGTCTATTGAACTTACATTGTAATACACTGTAAGTAAAAGATTACTGGATTACACATAACTTCAGAAAGGGTTAACAGAGAATACCCCCGGTAGTATGAGGGTTAATGACGTGACAAACATTGGTCAACTGATCATTAAGTAACACTCCATCAACCCTCAAGACACCATAGTCTTTAGAAAACCATCTTAATACTGTAAATACTGTTTTCAGGTGAAAGATACATGAATAAAGGACCACCTCCATGGTAGAGTGGAGACAGCCCTTGGCCAGTGGAATATCAGTGGTTCTATTCCCTGGCGGTGTGGTTACATGCTATCAGTAGCCTGGCAGTCGGTGTCATGGTGATTAAGCAATAGCTTGCTATAATGGGATATCCATATCAATAAAACCGCCTCCGTGGTGTAGTGGTTAGAGCGTCCGCCCGGAGAGCGGTAGATCGCGGGTTCGATCCCCGACCACGTCATACCAAAAGACGTTAAAATATGGTACTTGTTGGTCCCTGTCTGGCGCTCGGCATTAATGGGTACAATAATGTGTCTGAGTGGGGTATTCATGCTTCACTGCGGCATGGTATCTCAGTGGGCTAGCACTAAAAAAACAGCTTCAGTCTGGGCTAGTACAAGCAGCCGCACATACACATACACACGCATGCACGTCGTCACATGAGCGTAATATTCTCAAGCGCGACGATAAACCCAATTTCACCTCACCTCACCATATCAATAAACAGTGGAAGTATAATGGGCTAACATTATGAAACATAATTTCAGATTAGTACAGGTAGCCACATATAAATATATGCATGTCACTGTATCAAAGATATAATCTTGAAGGCAATATTAGGCCACATTTCACATCACAAGACCTGATTGCAGAGGTAAGAACAATCTGAAGGAACCACAGAAATACCTGAAGATCATGACAGCTGTTTCCGCAGATCTGAGATATTGAGGGCTAACACCATGCAACACCACAGATACACCATTAAGATCATGACAGCTATTGTTTCTGCAGATCTGAGATATTGTGGGCTAACACCATGTAACACCATGAAGATCATGGCAGCTATTGTTTCCGCAGATCTGAGATATTGTGGGCTAACACCATGCAACACCACAGATACACCATTAAGATCATGACAGCTATTGTTTCTGCAGATCTGAGATATTGTGGGCTAACACCATGTAACACCATGAAGATCATGGCAGCTATTGTTTCTGCAGATCTGAGATATTGTGGGCTAACACCATGAAGATCATGGCAGCTATTGTTTCCGCAGATCTGAGATATTGTGGGCTAACACCATGTAACACCATGAAGATCATGACAGCTATTGTTTCCGCAGATCTGAGATATTGAGGGCTAACACCATGCAACACCACAGATACACCATGAAGATCATGACAGCTATTGTTTCCGCAGATCTGAGATATTGTGGGCTAACACCATGTAACACCATGAAGATCATGGCAGCTATTGATTCCGCAGATCTGAGATATTGTGTAACACAAGGAAGATCATGACAGCTATTGTTTCTGCAGATCTGATATATTGGGGCCTAACAACATGTAACACCACAGTAAGGCCATGAAGATCATGGCAGCTATTGTTTCTGCAGATCTGAGATATTGTGGCCTAACATTGTGTAACACCATAGTAAGGCCATGAAGATCATGACAGCTATTGTTTCTGCAGATCTGAGATATTGTGCGCTAACACCATGTACCACCACAGTTACACCATGAAGATCATGACAGCTATTGTTTCTGTAGGTATTTGATATTGTGGCCTAACATTGTGTTACACAAGGAAGACCATGGTAAGTACTGTTTCTGCGGATCTAAGACATTGTGGGCTCACCAGGATCCCTTGGGACCAATGTAGACAAACTGATAGTCATCCCTCTCATCTGTACGAGTGTCCCAGAATTCATTGAGCCAGTCTGACCGAAAATATACAGGAGTGGTGTAAGCTTTGTATTCAGGGAATTCCCTGAAAACAGAAAGACACAGCATGATCAGTATATACACTTAGGGAATAATGTTTCTTCCAATGTATTACAGTACATACATTACTGGTAAAAAATACATATACAGTGGCAATAAATAGGTTTTCTTAGCTTTTTGAGCTCAGTAGGATGCCATTCAAAAACCATTTCTTTCGATCTGACCTGTTGAGCTTTGTAAAGAGTGAGTGAGTGAGTATAGTTTTACGCAGAAATCAGCAATATTCCAGGTACATGGCAGAGGTCTGTACACAATAGAGCCTGGACCAGACAATCCAGTGATCAACAGCATGAGCATCGATCTGCGTAATTGGGAACCGATGAAATGCGTCAACCAAGTCAGTGAGCCTGACCACCCGATCCTGTTAGTTGCCTCTTACTGACGATCAATATTCTAACTCGGACCTTCACGGGTAGCTTTGTAAAGATCTCAGCTGATATCTTGGTAAAGATCCAGAAGAAGCTATTCAAAACACTTGCTAACACTGCATATACATCAACATAAAAAGGTTCTGTTCTGTTATTTCTGAATCATTTGTAGATTCAGATTTTGAATACCTGTTGAAGTGCCAGTCTTTCAGGTACAAACACTTCGCGCCAGGTGACGCTGTTTGTTCCTTCCAGTACTTGAAGTAATCCTTCAATGACATCTCCTCCTTCGGGTGTGAGGAGAACTTCTCCTGGCTACAGTCTGCCACAGGAACTGTTGCAGAGCCTATAAGACAAAGGTAACCATGGGAACATAGCGCCACTTTGGGTGGGTGTCATTTCTTTAAATATCAAGTATTGGAAATTTTAACATATATTGTATATTTATATACTTATCCTATCTCCTGCTATGCACCTCTCTTGTTCTTGTACGGCCATGTGTGGACACGTGCTGTAGGCTAAGTTGAATCAAACTTTTTGGCCTCTGACCCCTGACCTCTGCCCCACTCCATAGCAGCACCTGTCAATCATCTCCATAAGCGTGCAGCTCGCTCTGATGATCACCTGACAGCCTGCCCTTGTCATCCTCGTCTTGGGAACTCCCAGTAATCTGTGATGTGGTGCAGGTCTGGCGGGTATCCTTCGCGTAAGTATATAAATATACAATTTATGTTAAATTTCCAAATTTTAATCTTATCCTGTCTCACGCTATGCATTAACCCACGGTTGGGTGACTCTAAAACCACAAGGAGGCCAGGAGAAAAAGCACTAACTCCCGCTATGCTAACTCCAAACTTGTGACGGGTTGCTTCTGATAACCCCATGGCTTACTCCGCACAAAAACTCTAGGGAGTGGGCGCTCCCGAATTAATGTGGTTTTCAGCCGCAACTTTTGACAAGCAAAAGGACGCAGTTTGGCAAGTGAACCCAGTGAATTAAAGTCGAAGATCTTAATCTGGCCAGTCCCTGCTTCGGAACTACCCCCCACAGACACGTGCTGGTGACGGATAAGAGGGAATAGTGCGGTTGCTTGACTTGTTTCACGTTCGGTACCGATCTCCCTCCCAGAGGCGAGAAAGGAATTAGGAGCAGAACGCTTCGAAAACCACGTATGAAATCGGATATCAACACTTCACTGACGTGATTGCTTGAGGAGTAGAGGTCACTAAGCGGAGTGTCGACCACCTCTGCATGTAGCACAAGACTGGCCTCTCAGTCTATTGAGTCATAGCTTATGACAGTGCGAACACGCCCTAGTTGCCTATGTGAGGTTGTCTATGCCCAAAACGAAAAAAGCACCAAGATAAAGATGACTTTGATATGTTTATTATGTACAGAGAGCAAGACCGACACGAGGAAGGATTGTTCCTCATCTGCGAGCACGGTCGATGACAGCTGCTGGGCCAGGACCAACGGACCAAACAGGTGCAGACCTTCCACATTTGTAACTGAGAGATCTCGAAGATAGAGTGAGGCGAAGACTGTGTCCAATCTCCAGAAACATCCCTCCATGATGGCAGTGAGGGAGCAGTTCCGATGGAGTGCCATGGTGGATGCTAAGGCCCGAGTCTCGTGAGGATTCGCCACAGTGGGTGAAGGAAGGTCTGCATAAGTGTAGGCACGCAGGATGGTGGATCTCATCCAAAATGCCAAGGTAGTACGAGAGACTTCTGAGGTTGAAGCAGTAGACAACGGGATGAAGAGTCTTTTGCGCAGCCTACATCAATCTTTCCAAGCAGCCAGGTATATACGCAATGCCCGCACAGGGCACAGGGACAGATCTTCTGTGTCATCAGGACCCAATATAGAGGACAGCGGCAGGATCGTAAACGTGCGGTCCGGCTGACCAGGAAGTTGATTCTTGGCGATGAAATACCATCTCAACCCAAGGAAGACTTTAGCATGTCTTGACCTTTCAAACCGCACCCGGGAGATGTCGATGGCATGTAGCTCAGAGATGCGTGCAGCAGTAGCCAAAGCTATTAGAAAGAACGTCTTGAAGGAGGCATAGAAGTCCATAGACGTAAGATGATTAAGCATAATGGAGAGGTCCCAAGCTGGAGGGCGGAACTTCCAGGACTGATCAGCAAGCTTAAACGATCAGAGGAGAGATTGGAGCTCAGGAACTGTAGATACCTTCACACCCAAGGCTGGTGCAATAACGGTATTAAGAGCAGCCAGGTAAGTAGACAGTGTAGAAGCCTTCAGCTTCTTGGAGGTACGAAGATGTTGGAGGTACTCTGCAACCACTGCATCCTGAAGGTGGAGGCTGATCTTGTAATCCCCCGGCTTGATGATGGTCTTGAGGAGAGCCACCGACACCATGCGAAAGTGAGGCAGAGGTTGTAGAAACATCTCATTGAGGACGTTCATGTTGAAGATGAGCCTCAACTTGTCGGGGTCCTTCTCTGGTACCAAGAAGACTGTGTTGACAGGGTTCGATCCCAGTGATTCGATTGCAAGTTTCTGCAGCAACGTCTCTATTGTGAATCGCAGCACAGCCGTCATGAGCAGGATATGTCCTGTGATCCGGAATTAACGTGAGAGGAGGTTTGCCAACAATTGGAAGTTGATACCCCTTGGACAGAGTTAAAATTGCGTAAGGGTCGTCCAAGATGGTTGAGGGCATAAGTCCAAGGTCTTCCGCCTACTGGGGACACCTTGATAGGAATAACTGGAGGCGGAGGGATCCAGTCTCGCTCTGATATCAGCAAGTCACTGTTTGTCTGGTCTCTGCGTGGAGGACTGATCAACCGCGTAGTTTGTTCTGAAAGACGTGAAGGATCGGCGATGACGATTGGCACGACCTCTTCCAGAACCTCTCCCCCGAAAGGAAGTAGGAGCATCCGAACATATATGTGGATTCACTGGTACATAGCGAGCGGTCAACGCTGATGTAACGAGTCCTCACTATGCAATTGCTGGAACTTCAACAGTTCTATTAAGACTTGGACATGAGCGTCTTGTCCGACCATGGTGGCGACATCTCTGATGGCTCCGTTGAAGAGGTATCTGCCCGACCAAGGCTGACGAAAAAGATCTGTCCTGAATCTGTCTTTCCATGAAGATAAGTGCAACGGGCCCCTACGGTTGTAGGAGAAGATGTGAGCAACGGGCCGCTGTGATGTAGGAGAAGATATGAGCAAATTGATCCAGGATAATCTGAAACTGCTCCTGCAGTAAAACCATCGCCGCCCGAGTGTACGCCTGCTGAGGTGAAGTCGCATGACAGACCGACATGGGAACCGCTTCAGTTGCCGTCAGGACAAGGTTTAATGGAGCCAAAATCTTCCGAACAGATCCGTCCAGATCTTCTACCAAGAAGGGATAGTAGGCCCTCTGCTTAGACCCCAGCAACGTGATGTTGTCATCTACCGGACGGGAGGTAATCAAGGTGGAAAACCCATGGACATGAGAGGACGCCAAAATCAATCGTTGATCTTCCTGAGATTGACAAACGCCGCCAGTTGCGTGATGCAAGGACGAGGAGAAAAGGTGATGGAGCCAAAGTCTCCAGGTCTCATGTCGAAGCTGGATAATAAGTCAAATTCTGTTGATGAAGTGATGTGAGCGGATCAGTCGAAGGAAGCGTCGCACTGGGAAACAAATCTGAACCCACTGTAGGTGGTCTGCTTGAAGCAACAGTAGTGATTGTAGAAAATGTTGTTCTCGTGGAGCTAACATCCCCCGCTAAAGGAGCTGAATAAGACGATTGAAGTGCCGCACCTGGAGGGTAAGGAACCATAGACAAAGCTGGATGCCCAGGAAACAATGGCCAAGTTGAGCTAAGTGGCGCACCAGGAGTATGCGATAAACCGGCAGAGAGCGTCGCACTGGGAAGGATCTGTGCACCAGGTACAAGGGTTGAACTGTGAGTAAGCGCCGAACTGGTAGCAAGCACCGAACTGGAACCAAGCGCCGAATGGGAATCGATGCCGGACTGACAGTAAGTGTTGAGCTGGATGCAAGTACCGAACTGGCACCAAGCGCTGAACCAACAGTAAGCGTTGAGCTGGAGGTAAACGCCGAACTAGAAGCATGTGTCGAACTGGAAGTAAGCGGCGCTCTGGTAACAAATGCCAAACTACTAATAAGCGCCGAACCGGGAGGGATGGACTCTGTAGACACAGTCACCAAGCTCGAAGTAAATGGTGAACTGGAAACAGGTGGTGTCCCGTAAAGAAGAGGGATGACATACGGAATCGAAATCGGCAAACCAGTAGATATAAAAGGCTGATAGGGAAGCGCCGAACCGGTAGCGATTGCTGAAGTAGACCTAAGCGCCGAACTGAATACAAGCGGCGCACTGGCAGAAACCGTCGGACCAATCAGCGAGCAGGAGAGCGCCACACCCATAGTAAGCAGCGCTCGCGACTGAGCCCCAGCCAATCCAAAAGCCTTACCGGAAGCCACACCCCTCGAAAGACTAGAGCCTTGTGAAACTGACACTAGGGAAGCTGGACAGCCTTGCGTAGTAGAGGTAGATAATACGACTATCCTGGATGGAGAACGAATGCCAGTGGTGACCAGAATGGACGACTGGGGACGAAATAATTGTCGTAAGTTCTCGCTAAGATAAGAGTCCGACGCAACGTCCAAAAATTCTTTGTTAGGTGATGGAGTATGAGAGCGACGAACGGCAGTCTTCTTATGAAGACCGTTTAACAGAAGGACCCTCGGAGGGTCTACGACGATCTTGGTCAGCTATCCTTCTGGATGCTACCTAGCGATATTCTGAGAAGGTGTCGTCATCCAAACCAGCACGAAATTGACATCGTTTTGCCCAGTCGCATCGGCCTAAACAGTCCACGCAGAGTGAATGCGGGTCTGCAGCAGAGAAATTACTCCTGCACCTATCACAAAACTTTCGTTTTTTCTTAGCCGCACTGCAACTAGATTTGCCCATGATTGAGAAAACAGTCAAATTCCTTGAAAACACACACATGTCTAGACAGCATGGCAACAAGTAAGAGGATGACAAGGGCAGGCTGTCAAGTGATCATCGGAGCGAGCTGCACGTTTATGGAGATGATTGACAGGTGCTGCTATGGAGTGGGGCAGAGGTCAGGGGTCAGAGGCCAGAAGGTTTGATTCAACTTAGCCTACAGCACGTGTCCACACATGGTCCTACAAGAGAGGTGCATAGCGTGAGAAAGGATAAGTTTAAAAAATTTCAACATTGCATTCCATGTGATAATGTAAAATTAATGCTCATAGACAGTTCATCCTGGGCCATGTGCCTTTAGGCCATTGTATCAGTGCGATAGAAGTCAACTGTAGATCTCAAAGCCGAACATTAGTATAAACTAACAAAACACTGACTGACTGACTGAGTTTAATGCTGCTTAAAGAAATATTAAATTTTGCTTTTAACAATATTCCTGTATGTCAGCTTACTGAGTAAGAAAACCCACAGTGAAATAGTCAAACATGGGTATGGTGGTGACAATAGCCAATAGAAACATACTTACAGTGATCAGGATTTGAAAGAATAATCATAATGTTCTGACAAACAGATGGGAATCAACCCTGCACCTGGAATTGCAGCGTCTTAAAACTGAGACATCCGTGCCCAATCACAACATGAAATCTTCAATGAATTTGCTGAGGTATTGTGAAATATGTATAACATCACTGCACAGATCCCTCCAGATAACATCACTACAAAGGACTGTGTCAACTTACAGTGTAGGTGAGCTTCCCTTCCAGGACCCACTACTTACAAATTACTTTACCAAAGTTACACCAATGTCACATAATCTATGAATAAATGTATCCTCATTGGCATTGTATAAATATGTCAAATAAGGGAAATGTGCAATGATGTGCAAATTGTGATCGAAATATGTGCTGTGTGCTCTTTGACCTTGTTGTATGATGAAATATTGACAAATAAATAAATGGATCTTAAACTCTAGACTGTTTTTCCTTTACCGAAAAGGGGATTTTGTCTGGGTGGCTTTTTGTCCTAAGATGCACTTTGGGGTGGGGGTGGGGTGTTGTCTGGGGGATTAGGTCCTCCGGTTACCCTTACAGCCCTAATGACAAGTAAAGACCTCATTCTGACACAACTTTACCAAAATGGCTGATGAAGAAGTCTAGGTGGGGCCTCCCCTGCTGGACCCACTCCCTCCGGCTCCGCCATCCCTCGGTACACTTGGCTGACATCACACATGGGCGATTCGGCAACAGGTACTGCAGGAAGAACTCCTCATAGCTTGGCATATCATCTAGGTGATCTATTGTGACCCTAACTTCTTGTCTCCTCTCGGGTATGTTGTCGATGTGCTGGAGGAGGTCATTACGGATCATGGGACAGACTGATGCCATGATTTAGTACCTGGAAACAGTTGTGTCAGCAAGGTGATTGTAAGTGAGATGTGGTTTTATGTATGGCTGGCTGAAAAGATCAATAATCGGAAATATCTTTGATGAGAAGAATTATTAAAGATGACGATATGAAAACTGTGCCATCGATAATATTGTATATAAACTATTGTGATGAATAAAGTATTTTAAAATTCACTCACACAGTACACAAAGTTAGGTCTTTATTCATGGGCTGCTTTTAAATTCTAGTCGGGGTGCTGTGTGTGTGTGTGTGTGTGTGTGTGTGTGTGTGTGTGTGTGTGTGTGTGTGTGTGTGTGTGTGTGTGTGTGTGTGTGTGTGTGTGTGTGTGTGTGTGCGTGTGTTTTCCATGCATGAATGTGTCACCACTCATCAATGATGTGAAATATGTTCATTTGATGTTTGTGGTACTTTGGTTCAAAGATATTTCTCCAATATTTAATGACAATTCATCAATATTTAGTTAATAAATACTGATTTCTATGGTCTATGATGATTCACTTGTTATATTTTCAAAAGAAAAAAAATATGTGTTATGGGTATTAACAGACAGTGCCAAAGATGATAGGCAAATATCAAGCAATCTGACTACTTTACCTGAAGAGGGAATCTTCTTTTCTTCAATATGCTCAACATATACTCGTTACCATTTATTTAAAGTATAAATACACTGAAAGAATATATTTGTGCTTCCTCAATAAACAATTGTTATGTAACTGAAACTATGGTCCTATATCCATTCCCTAATATCAACATGATCAGGAAACCCTTCAACTTAAAGATGAACCATTATTATAAACACGTTGGTGGATTTTGATTGAGATTTGTAATGCAAATAGTGATACAGTCCAATGTTCTTTGTCCAGAGGTACAGCTAAGCTGCGTATCTGCGTAAATTACGCAAATATTTATGTGAAAACTCAATTCCTATTTAGTCTATTGAGTGCAAGTACTTTTGAAATTTTGTAAATACTCAATAAATGTGATCTTACATGTGTACACACGAAAATGTCAAATCTTAGTTTACGTTCCAGTGGATTGATAAAATAACTGAGGTATATTGAGAGGTTCTATTTCAGGACATGAACTTAGCAACTTGCAGTTTTTCTTCTCATTTCTCATATTACAGATCAAATATTAATAACAAACACTAGCATTTAAACTTTATTATATTTTTAAAATTAATGCAAAAAAAGGCAAAATACCCAATTGAGTTTGAAAGAGGTGAGTACAATTTATTTGGTTACTCAAAGGAAAATTAGGATACCCAATTGAGATGATCACAAGCGAGTACATAACTCAATGACCCAAAAAGTTATCTGTAGCTCAGTTGTCCCATGCCTGATCGGCTAACAATAATACTTAAACCTCTGACCTTGTCATGACTAATTATTATCATCACACATTTTAAGCCACACTCCAATAATACTTGCTGGTGTGTTGAGGTTGGACTGAATAAATGAACATAATTAGTGCATAGTATTAGGGCTGGCTAAAAAGATTGATAATCAAAAATATTTTCATATCAGTGGTTTGATTACTAACGATTATTGATATGAACATTTTGTCATCCACATCAACTAACATAAACTATTATCGATGATGAAATAACTTCTTGTGTTGTTTTCATCTGTATGGACAAAGTCAGACACATTCACCAAGTTAGGTAATGTTGATTATAGTCAACTGTTTTTCACTTATTGCTCAAAAGCTGATCATCAAATATAGACTTCCGCCTGTATCCCCTAAATTTTAACGATGAGGAAAAATTCCTTTGAGAGGCATTTTCAGAAGTAGGACATGTCTTCCAGTATGTTCAGATACAATTAAAGAAACATGTTAAAACTCATCCTTATCAGATGAGGAATATATATATTCCGGTGATATGATTTGACTAGAATGAAATTTAAGGGGGGGAAGTCTTTCCAAAGAGTTTGCTTGTCATGCCGAAGACCTGAGTTCAATTCCCCACAAGGGTACAACGTGTAAAGCCCATTTATGGTGTCCCATGCCATGACATGGAATATTGCTAAAAGCTGTACAAAACCAAACTCACTCATACTGAGTACATTTGATAACTGCTGTGGATTGTACATATGAGACCATGTGACTTCGCCTCATTCTCATCCTGCTCATGATCATTCCACTGCATCTCAGAGCCAGCATGTCACTCACTTTCGATAAAACTCGTATAGGTACAGACCAATAGGTAAACAAGAGCTACTTATTTAATTTGTGATATCACGTTGACTCTAACATTCTAGCCAAGCTTAAAGCTCACATTGCCGCAGAAAAGTATTAAGAATCAAAGAAGTTGCATCAAGTAACCTAAAGACAGTAAGTAAGGTGCGGAAGACAAGTGAAGTAAGGTTTTTGCTGAATTGGGGTCGATATAACAGCAAAACATACCTTTTATAAATACTACATGTCCTGAACCTTGTTGTATAAGATAAATGCGTTTATATATCTTACTCTGTTCAAATGTCACGTTACAGATCGCGCCCCTTCAACACTTTATAGGTTTCTTAGGTCGCAATGGACAGCTGATCAACATGGGCGCAGCCATATGTAAGGCTCGCAATTTATGTCACGACAGCGAAGAAAATGGAATTCCTAAAACACGAATGTAATTCAGATCATTTTCTATGCCAAATACTGTTATAATTTTAAGGTTTCGGGTATATAATATTTTTACTATTTCATATTCCTTTTCTGCGGAACTGTAGACAGGAAAGGAAGCAGCCGACGCTTTCACAACATTGCAAAATCAGAAGTGAATGACCACAAATCGCCCATATATGTGACATATGATTGTTGAAAGTTGACAAGCTACCAATGCTTTTAGTGAATCTATACATAACAACTGCTCCCACATGTGTAATGGTGGGACAGGCGAAAAAAAAGGCACAATGTTTGTCGGTGGGTGTGTCTTCAAATATGTCCAAATATTTCTTGTTGACAGGTTGATGGAAATGTAACTTGGACATTATATTTTCAATAGGTATACGCTGTTGTCGTTGCTAAATGGATGTGAAATGATGCAAATGCGCCGTTATAGCTGAACTCCGCTCACTGCTGATCTGTGTGACACTGTCTTTATCACACGGACATATCTATTTCCGTCTCGTGTTTTCAAAAAAAAACCCGTGTACATATATGATCCACAATGCTCTTGCCAGATCGTACAAAACCGGTAGTAATACCATGGAGTCACCATTGTTGTATCATATATAAACAAGATCACGTTATCGACCAGTCCGGGCTTGCTACAGAAATACATTGAGGTTAATTCAAATGGAAAAAGTCGTACATCGATCATATGGAACTTAAATTATGCTATTACATAATTGCCTTTCAGTTTATAGGCTGAAATTGTCAATTTTAGAGCATATGCTGCTAAGTTCTTTTCAGTTCAGTTCAAGGTCATAGCGTGTTGTGTAATGTTATCTGTTTTACGTACTGAGCTGTCGTGCCTTGACAGTGTTTGTGAGATGTTTGATCGTTGCTGTAGACAATGGTGAACTATCGGAATGTTTTGTAATGGGCACAATGTGGAAATTCTGCATGACACATTCTGCAACATTACCAAGTTAACCAGTAAATAGACTCTTGAACAATGGCAGCTTGCACTGGAAACTCTCAACTAGATCCTGTAATTGGTTTACTTGGTGTCATATGATCTTGTGATACTACTTGGCATGTATTTACAGACTTAAGGTGTTTCTTTTTTTGTATACTATGTTCACACAGATACATGTAATGCCATTTCCTTCCTTCAGATACCACAGGGTAGTGTTTTCTTACAATCCTGGACAAAACAGCTTTGTTAAACTGATTTGCTATTGAGTCCACCTCACAAATATGTTTGTGAGAATCAGGATAAAATTTCTAAGTTACTATTAATACTAAAGCACATTGTCAACAAACGTTCGTGGGAAATAAATATGGTTAACACTCGTTCATTTGCAAAGAAAAAATTATATCTTTTCTAAATTCATTGATGTCATGAATATTTTCAGATGGCCACAGGAAAAGAAGGTGAGCAGCTGTTGGTTGACTTGGAAAAACTATCCTTACAGAAGGAGGAACACACTGTGTTGAAGAAAGTAGACCCAACTTTGGATTTTCCATACTTGACTGAATTAAATACAGTAAAACATATCAAGGAGAGAAAGGTGATGTTCTTGTTGCGTGGTTTACCTGGATCAGGCAAGTCTACAATTGTTTCCAATCTTCAGTATGTTTACCCAACTTCTGTGAAGTGTTCTGCAGATGACTTTTTCCTTGTCAAAGGTCAATACAAATTTGATGCTGCACGATTACAGGAAGCTCATGGATGGTGCCAGACAAAGGCACGCTATGCCTGTGAGTCAGGTACTCCCGTTGTTATCATTGACAACACAAATGTGCGACACTGGGAAATGCATTTCTACTTAAATTTAGCGCATCGGACAAACTACACAGCCATTACAGTAATTCCGAAAACATCTTGGCGTTTTAGTCCTGATGTACTTGCAAGGAGGAATAAGCATGGTGTCAGTGAACATATTCTAAGAGAAAAGGTTCATCAGTTTGAGAACAAGGCTCCAGTATACTATGGTTGGTTCTTGACAGAGGAATCAAGTAAAAATATATACGGTTCATAGCTAAACACCTGTATGAGGAGTGTCGGAAGCATTTTCCGGATTACTGCAGGTCTATTCTGGAGGTGTATCGTAAGAAATATCAGAAGCCTTCACAAGGTAATAATTTTGTTGTCATTTATTAGGTAGAGAGAAAATCTGTGTACCTCAGAAAAAACAATAGTAAATCTCATTCCAAAGTCATATTTTCATATGAATCATTTTGTGTGTGTGTGGGTGTATGTGTTGTGTTCATGCTTATATATGGGAGATGTGAGTATTCTGTTAGAATGTCTCCAGCTAGAATGTGTCAGAATTTTGCTAAACTACTCACACACTTTAATAAATACCTTGATATATCAGTTACTATTTCAGAGAATGAGAAAAGCCAACTAGAGCTACACTTTCCATGGAAGTCTGATGATCTTCTTCACTGTACAGCCAAGTTCTGCAACAAAGGGAGAGCACTTGGTGCTTCAACATACCACACCAGACAGGATGTTGCAGACAATGTCGGAAAGGCCTTCAGACTTGAGGTAGTGGGCTTCACCTTCTCACAAAACACTGTAGCAGGAAGAATATGTCTGAGTGAGGAGCAACGTGCTCTCTTTGACAAACCAGAAGAGAGAGAAAGAGATGAGGTGATTGCCAGGAACAAAGCTGTGAATGCAAGGTTAGCACAAATGTCAAAATATCAAACAAGAATTAAGGATAAAATACTCTCTCCTGCAGCTGCAACATCAAAACCAGCTACCCTTACCCCACCTAAGGGGTTCGGTCGAAGCGCACACTTGACTGTTTGTTGTTCACAGGGTGTGCAAAACAGTCACACTATTCATGATCTGCTGGACATCTGTGACATGGAGAGTGCTGGTGAGATGGGTCATGGTGTGAAGGTGGCCGGGGGTGAGGCGGTGTATCTTGGGGAGGGGTTCTGTGTCGTCTACCTGTACAGACCAATATATGTAACAACACTCTACTCCCCATATCATGTTTAAGTATGTGTGAGCCTACTGTTACTAGGGCTGGCTATGGATTTAAATTACAGAGATGGATAATTGTAACTAAAAATCAATTATCGATATTTATCGGAGAAGTAACTTTGAGCCAAAATGCAAAAAAATGTCTGAAATAAATACATTTCATGCCACTAAATCAGTGACATGTTTATGCATGGGTTACTAACAACACAGCATCCTGAGCATAATTTAGGAGTATCATGTGATTAAAAACTTAACTTTGTAGATTAAAATGTTATTCTATCACAAAGCCTTATATATACGATATTATCGATGACACCATTTTCATATTGATAATCATGAATAATTTTTCCTATCGATGACATTTCCGAATATCAATCATTTTTAGCCAGCCCTAGCTGTTACTGTTATGAAATACTCCATGGCAGCACTGTATTTTCATATACACTAGATATAACAAGTGTCTTAAGGTCAGACAGCCATCACCATCTCTCAAAGGAACTACATGTCATTATTTTTACAATTTCACTAATTTTTTAGCATCTTTATTTTATATTTTCTGGACATATTTGCCTTTTCATCCAGCTGATGCAGGCAATTGTTTAGGTATCCAATATGAGGACATTTCATTATTATCCAGAACTAGCTGAAGTACTAGTGTTAGTCTCGATATAGAATATATGATAGTATATGAATCATTTTCAGAATTGGTAACACATATATGTTGTGGAAATATGAAAATATATTTTCTTTTATGGCTTTGGTTGGTACACTTCCCTTGGTTTCACCTCCTGTTTTCAATATTTACTTCATAAAATGACTCAGATTTCATAAATTTGGCTTTGAAGACATGACTATGTTGCTTTTGCTCTGTCCCAGCTCTAGTACAATATAGAACAAACTTTAAGATAACAACTTCTTTTATTCGTGAGTGCGACGTTTCGATACAGATTCTTGTACCGTTGTCAAGCAGGAATGGAACATTAAGATGGAGGATGTATATATATACTGAATGTAACAATGTAACAGAGAAAACAACATAATTAACATAACTGGCTAGGCAGTAAGCTGATGAAGCCAGAGAGTAGACAAAGGACAGGCGTGGAAGCCAATGATGTACAAATAATAATGAGATGTTGGACTTTCTGAATCCTGTTTGACAGAACTCATTTAGTGGCACAGACTGCATGGTATGTTCTGTCGGCTGTTTCAATTTGATACGTCACCAGAGATGTCATATATTCAGATAGGTCGTCCAGGTTACATGCAATCATAAGCATCCTTTTTTAGCTGAAATTTTAAATCTTCATCTAGACTTACGTATGGCTGGTAAAGTTACTGTATTTTACTGGATTCCTAGCCACTCTGGCATAAGAGGTTTCCAACACTAAAATGCCTTACACTGACCTTATACCTGCAATCTGCCAGTATGTAACAGATCAGTGGCAGCAGAGTTGGAATGACCAAGTGACAAATAAGCTTCATTCCATTAAACCAAACATAGGAGAGAATCCATTAACTGGACTTGCCCATCAAGATGAAGTGGTAATATGGAGATGTTGTATAGGACAGAGTTACCATGCACATTTGTTTTTATTGAAAGGAGAAGATCCACCTAAATGCATCCCATGCCATAGATCAATTAGTATTAATCAGATTTTACTTGAATGTGCTGATTTTGCTGATATCAGACACTGTTTTTATGGTGATGTTCCAAACTTATCTCAGCTTTGTAAAACAGTTTCGAACCAGACGATTTTAGCATATTTAAAAGAAATAGAACTATTCAACAAGGTATACATTTTTATCTCAAACGTAAGTTTTTACCCATAAATGTGATATTTCATTGAAATTTTAGTGATTTTCATCATCACTTACAGTCTGACATACTGTAAAACAAAAAGCATCTCTTGTCGTAAATAGCTTAAAAATTGCTTTTGCAGCATAAAGCAATATTTACTCACTCACTCAATCAGGGAGGTTTTCTTTGAACCAGATTGATTACCCTGTCAATAATGTTTTGGTCTTTGGAACCGTTGTTTTGCTCATTTTCCTGGATCAAGTTCAGGTATTTGTTTTGTTTCCTAATAAGGATAGGGTAGGCATTTGCTTTGTTCGCTCTGTCACTTGGTTTGTGTGTAACCCTCCATTTTCACAGTTGGCCCTCCTTTGCTTGGACCGCCTTCATGGTGTAGTGGTTAGAGCGTCCGCCCGGAGAGCGGAAGGTCGCGGGTTTGATCCCCGACAGCGTCATACCAAAAGACGTTAAATTATGGTACTTGTTGGTCCCCGCCTGGCGCTCGGCATTAATGGGTACAACAAGGACTGGTTGGCTCGGAGTCAGTATAATGTGTCTGAGTGGGGTATTCATGCTTCACTGTGGCATGGTATCTCAGTGGGCTAGCACTATAAAACCAGCTTAAGTCTGGGCTAGTACAAGCAGCCGCACATACGCCTACACACGCATGCACGTCCTCATATGAGCGAAATATTCTCAAGTACGACGTTAAACCCAATTTCACCTCACATCACCTCACCTTTGCTTGACTTTTCCAAATTATATTAATAAGCCAGACAAGGTTTGCATTGTGTACTTTTTATTTACATTTCAATGTTATGAAAAGTAAAATACCTTGAACTCAAACATATTTATTTTAGCCTTTACATGTTTGATATCAAACAAGCTTCAGTTAATTGATTAAGTAGTGAGTGTTCTGGTGCAAACAGAAATTGTTACAAGGATGTAAGGACTGACATGATGAATCATACGTTTTATTGCAGATAGTCTAATCACTCAGGGAAATGAAGCCATGCTTTCTGCTGAATAATAATATACTAGTATCATATGATATACAATGTCATAATAACTTGCCAATTAATCAAGACTCCTGTCACTGAGCAAGGTTCAGATCTCATGACATGGCTGTATTTGAAGATTTTATGGGTGGTTCAGAGGTATATTCAGGTATTTGTCAACTAACATTTAACAGCCTGTATTGAACAAACCAGAAGTATGAATTACTGTTAGTTCAATATCAGTAAGTATGTAAACCATGCTGATTTTGAGGGTCCCTTGTTCACTATGCACAGAATTGACTAGGTAGAGGAGGGAATAACCCTACACCTTCAAAACTTTTCCTGGGATTCTGCAGCCCTTGCTGATGTACTAATTGAATATGGGACCTTATATATAACTTTTAGCAGAGTTGTGACAACGATGGATTGACTGTCATGTGCCCTTTGGAACACTGCATTGTGATCTCATCCACTCCTGTGCTGGATTCATTATCTCCAGCGGTGGGCTGTCATACCTTCATCAGTATTCAGGAAGAAGTTTCAACTTTACTGGGTACTGCATTATACTGTCCACTCACTATGTAATTCACTGTTGACATTCTATATGATTTCATTTATCACTGATGTGTAACCATTCAGGAGCAGCTATTCTTGAGAAATTTGTTGACAAAAAGCAATAGAAAAACTTCTGTGAAGTATGTATTTGTTTTTATATCATGTTTGTTTACAAAACAAAGTTTGAGTGCTCTGTAGGATATAGATATTATTTTAGAATTGATCACATTTCATATTTTTACAGTAAAATATGGTTTTCATAGATTTACAAATGCCTGTTTACAAGAAATGATTATTTATGGATAGTGTTGATTTAGTGCATCAAAAGCTATAAAAATCCATTACTCCTTTTAAAATGTATTTTAATTTTTAACAATGTACACATACATGTGAGGTGGTTCAGTATTACCCCACTTTTAGCAATATTCCTACAATATTACTGTGGCTGAAACAGTCATCATACATGTTACTGATGTAAGGAGACTATGAGGCAGCCACAGAACCTGTTTGGGGCTGTGGGGTAGCCTAGTGGTTAAAGCGTTGGCTCGTTTCGTCCTGGGTTTGAATTCCCACATGGGTACAATGTGTCAAGCCCATTTCTGTTGTCCCCCACCATGGAATATTGCTAAAAGTGGCGCAAAACCATACTCACTCACTCTTTACTGACATGGAACTGAAAAGAAAGTATGTCAAGAAGTAGTTTCAACTAGGTATCATAGGCAGTTTCCTCCAATGCACAGGGGTTCGAATCACTGTTTTGACAATAATTTTTAAAATTAAAAATCTAGATTTTTTGCAACCGTATAATGTTTTTATATGTTATGATTAACTTATATTTCAAATTTGAACGAAATCGGTGAAGAAATGGATTTTAAATTTTAAATATAAGTTACTCATAACATATTAAAACAATATACAGTTGCAAAAATCTAGATTTTTATTTTTAAAAATTATTGTCAAGACATTGATTCGAACCCCTGTGCTCCAATGTATAAGATGAATACTGAAATTTGATGCCTTATAACCGAGTAATGTATTTGTATTTCCCAGATGTTTTGTGGAAATTGAAATGTTTTCCTTTCATTGAAAAGAGCTTTACCTCAAAAGGTGTGTTTGAGCCTTGTAACTTGATTAATAGCACCTATGATTGTATGTTGCAGCGTTATAAAGGACATGTGTGGATGACTTAATATGAATGTGTCAGTCATTCCAAACATTTTGCCGTTTCTCTAAAATGTTTTGTTCATTTAAATGATCCCCCATAATAAATGTTTAAGATATTAAATATTTTACACACATAATAGTAATAGACTTGCTACCTTTCACCATTTTTAATACTTTTACATTATCTTATTATCCCCTGCAACGCGTTTTGATGGGGGTATTAAAATGGACTCCGGCCGTGCGTCTGTCCGTCCGTCCGGCCGTGCACATTTGTCTTTTCCAGAGCAGAACTCTAAAACAGTTCAATATTTCTTCACCAAACTTGGCACATGCATGGATCTGGTGGTGTACTGGTGCCTTTTGGTAGTTTTGGAATTCTGAATTAAATATTTTTGGCGTTTCCATGGCAACAAGTTCGACTTAGACTGAAATTGGTGGTAGTGCTCTTTTCCAGAGCAGAACTCTAAAACCGTTCAATATTTCTTCACCAAACTTGGCACATAGATAGATCTGGTGGTGTACTTGTGCCTTTTGGTAGTTTTGGAATTCTGAATAAAATATTTTTGGCGTTTCCATGGCAACAAGTTTGACTTAGACTGAAATTGGTGGTAGTGCTCTTTTCCAGAGCAGAACTCTAAAACCGTTCACTATTTCTTCACCAAACTTGGCACATAGATAGATCTGGTGGTGTACTGGTGCCTTTTGGTAGTTTTGGAATTTCTGAATAAAATATTTTTGGCGTTTCCATGGCAACAAGTTTGTCTTAGACTGAAATTGGTGATAGTGCTCCTTTCGGGAGCAGAACTTTAAAAACCTTTCAATACTCTCCTTCCACTTTTCTATATACACACCTAAATATTTGACATAATCATAACTTCGTAGACATAATCATGTATTTTGCCATAGCGGGGAGTATTGATTTTGTCTTCATTTATTTTTTGGCGGCATGGGGTAGCCTAGTGGTTTAAGCGTTGGCTCGCGCCACTGAAGACCGGTTCGATTCCCCACATGGGCACAATGTGTTAAGCCCATTTCTGGTGGGATATTGATGACTTTGTCTCAGTCATGTTATTTTTGTATCTTTATTGACTAACCAAGTTATGGACTAGTTAAATTTAGCTTGTTGTGTTTTCCAGGTATTAGAGAGGAATTCCAGAATATCTTCCAAACAGCATCAGAGAAAACTAACCGTATTTCCAGGTCCTGCTCTGTTATGCTAAACATGCTGATGGATGAGTTGTTTCTGGGCCTATTTAAACATATCAAATGATCTTTTCCTTTTTCATGTTATTTACTAGTACCTGATTCAAATTATAAAACATTTTACCATTTTGGGTAGAAAATATCTTTGCTTTGTTGTTCGGCTTTTCATAAGTGCAGTGTTTGCTAACATGATTAATCTGTGATGAAAGAGTTGAATGTGTTTGTGCTACATTAGTGTGAGTAGCAGTGAAGAGGGCTTGTAACCTGTATCTTTATCTATGCTAAACCTTATTCATGTTAATGGTTTTATGTATCTTTACAACCTATTTAATAGTGTGTTATTTTAACAAGGTTTTCCTTTCAGTGCCTTCTGTGATATGAATATGCATAAATGAACTGTTATTGGAATTAAAAATGCTTTGTTAACATGTTTCTCAGTGTTATTCACCTTTGTGTAACCGATCCACAGATCATTTTGGACCAGTGGTTATGGAAAATGTTGAAATTTTGGTATAAAGCATCTACCTTCCCTTGTTCATAAGACAGCTACAGTCTGTATGGATTGTTACTTGTCTCAGACTAACAGACTAGAGCCCTGTCTGTACAGTGAGGTAGCCAGCTGTAGCAAATTAGCTTTAAGGGTATCCAGGCCAGGTAAATGGCAAGTCAGTGTAACTGCGCTAAATAGAGAAGTGTTTCTTGTATTGTGGGAGTGTTACTCACAAACCTTTAAGTATAGGTCCAGTGTCATAGTCTGCATTGAAAAGTATGCATACACCGACAGTATTGTATTTCATTTTGCTTTCTCTTTCCTGCTGTCTCCACTTGACCCAATTCTCCTCTCCATAGCCCTAAATACAGTCTAGCCATCCTCTCCCAAGATATTGCTCAAATTATGTTCATGTGTCATTTAAAAAATACAAACACCACACAGATAAAACATTACTCACTTTGAAAACCTTTATTACCGGTATACAGACATAGCTTACGTAGATACAGTTTGACATTTTGAAGGGACTTGTTTCTCATGGGTAATGTTTTATATATATTATTATTGATAGGCATCAACAGCAATGTTTACTGACAGAATAACTCTGAGAGTCATGAGAATCTTAATAATGTTACACTTACTCATACACTAATACATTTAGAGCCCTTTATTTTAACCCTGGGGAAGTTTTATTGTCAAAACAAATGTAAGAAAATAGATGTGTATAACTGGGCAGATAAAATTGGATAGTAAATAACTTGTTCTCTTCAAGTTTCACAATAGGAGACAGCACAGAAACTGCCACTACATTTTAACACTTGCCATTATCCTTTTTGAACAGGGACACCAACAGAAACATCAACTCGGACTAGACTCGCTGCATTCCCTTTGACAACTTTATATCGTTTTTTAAAAACATTGAATTATAGAATCATTATATAAATCAATAAATCGTTTATGGTTTGCGAAAAGCTATCGTTCTGTTCAATATTTAAATACAATCCCTGTGTATACTATTGTAGATAAGAATGTAATCATAATGATATATGGAGGATGCATGTCCTTTCAACGAAAATGTCTTTTCTTCAAATTCGACCATACCGGAATTACCTATGTCCTGCTCGTCTACCAGAAGCCGCCACGGAACATGTTGGCAAGGTTCTGACCAAGTTGTGCCATTCGACGGTTAAAGGCGGCCATCTCTGCCTGAAATCTCTGCATATTGAGCCGCATTACTCTGCCCATATGTTGACCGTTCACGAAGTTTGCGTTGGAGACGAAGCTGTTGCTGCCACATGTACAGTGTGTAGTGAACCCGTTGCTGTTTACGCTCATCCCCTGTCCATTAGGACAACAGAAGACTTGGTTGTTCATGTAACTGCGACTATAGGTGTGTCGGCAGGCTTGACCCATCAGGCATGGTGGTGCAGGTTCATAACCTGCGGGAACAATCATACAAGCTGAACATAGAGAATTTTCTGGGTTTCATCTTTTTGTTTGTTTATTACAACGTTTCATGGCTTGTTCTGGCCCCATCATCAGGTTGAACTAAACTTAAGTTCATCAAATAGCATCTTCTAAAATGCCAATCAAGCATCTGAATCATACAAGCTGGTAACTGTATGAAAGGTTCCAAGTAATACGTAATATGAAAAAAACCCAACTGAACGTTGGTAACTGGCAGTCTATCACATGGTTTGTGTCATTATGTCACTCTTCATGCTGGTAACCTACGAGAACGACTCCTGCAACTCATGCAAGATCACGTATATATAATACTGTGAAGGCTTGTAAGCAAGAAGAACGATCCATGCTACATCACATTATATCACTCATAAAACTCTTCTTGCTGGGAACCTGCGGGAACGATCATGCATTGATGCAATATCACGCATATAATACATCAAAGGTAGGTAACCGGCAGGGAGAATCAATGCACACATCATATTATCACCACCACCTTGTCCTGAAAGTTTATTAAATGACCGCAAAAAGCTGTATCCGCCCCTGAAGCTTTAGTTATGGCCAATGCAGTATATCAGATTATCACATACAGAGCACCGTGAAACTACGCAATGATCTTTTTCCAATCATGTCACATCGTATAAACTGACAAAAAAAACCATACCGACTCAACTTCTGCTCAACCTTGTCACTGAAATGTGCAGGTTAGTTTCAGCGGCAGTTGTTATCATGGGTTATATCACACTTGTCCTTATTATGACGTTTGTCCTAATTAATGTGCATAAGTAAATGCACATGTGAAAAAAACCCATTCTCATGCATGTGCAGCTTCCAAATATGATTTGTCATGTTGAGAGAATGACTGGACACAGCTGTACTCAGAATACACGCCACACCCTTGTTTTACAACAGCACTTGGCATTTCCTGGAATACATAATATTCTCGTGATGTCATTCCGTTGTTCTAAGTGAATGGTTTTACTTCGCTTTTAGCAATATCTCATCAACAACACGGCGGAGGACACCAGAAGTCAGCTTCTGACACTACATCCATGTGGGGAATCGAACCCGTGTCTCCGGCAAGACGAGCGAACGCTTCCACCACCTGGCTACCTGACCGCCCCTTTTGTTATTATTGTGAAGCCTGCCAGCAATGATCCATTCTGAACAGCTAAACACCCCAGCAATATAATTTCCTTTAGCCTTTGTAAACATCAACATTAGGCAACCTCGAGGCCTGCGCGCATTGCAACAAAGGGTAACAAATAGTGTTTTGCATTTAATTTGTCATCTTTTGACTATTGTACCTCTTTGTCAGTTATGTTTTTTGACCCGTTGACAGCTCAATATGACATTGGGTGCGTCGTATGTATCTATATTACTATACGTAAACAATGGAGATGCTTGAACAAATTATGGAGAGAGAAAACAAAAATATTAAAAGACATTTTCGCAGACCTGCGCTTTTCGCTTGTTTCAGTTGTCGTAAGCTCCAAGCCTTTGTCCTATAATAATTATGGGCTTCTATTCCGTAAAATGCAAGTTTGTCGTTGTTTTATTCAGAAGGTTTAATTGTATCTTTTTATTGTATGCAGCACTCAAGATTGGTTCAGTTTCATACAGACTTTGTAACAAATATAGACAATACATCTCTTGCAAGTCTACAATCGTCGGCCAATGTGTCACAAGTAGCGATTAAAGCCTTAGGAATTTGAATTTTTTTATCAAAAAAGGAGATAGTTTGTAGTTTATAGACACGAGGGCATTCATCATTCTGAATAAAACGCAACGGTTTCTTACTTGCCAGGTACTCCATTATAAAGCGATTAGTGACTCAGTAATTAGCCGCCCCACCCAAGTTAAGTTTGTAGCTGTGTGATAGGACTTGTGATAAGTTTTTGTACACGTTGCCCTCTGAACCGTGACACACGTCTACACATATGGCGGTCATGTTTATTCAAATCGGAATGTACATCCGTTTACAAGATGAACTTTACCTGACATTCTGCGAATATGTGACACATTTAAAACAGTGTACGTTACATGCCCTGACAGTCTGGTGTACCACGCAAGACAAGCCATACTTAATGGGCCATGAGCTTCACAGAAACTACGTAATTGTCACCCTATGACGACGTTCCTAAGTTTTTTTTATGACGTAAAGACGTTTCTCAACTAAGAGTGAGTGAGTTTAGCTTTACGTCGCTGTTAGCAATATTCCAGCAATATCGGCGGGCGACACCAGAAATGGGCTTCACACAATGTACCCATGTGGGGAATCGCACCCGGGTCTTTCTCGTGACGAGCGAACGCTTTAACCACTAGACTACCCCACCGCCCTCTCAACTAAGGGAAGGTCGATGGTTAAATAACCGGTCTCATCAACCAACGTTAAAAGGTGGTACTTATTGTTACCTGGCTCGGCATTAAGGGGATAAATCAAGGTCTGTTCAGCTCGGAATAGTGTAGGGAATCCCTGTTGAACTGCGTGTAAGTCATGAAACCTGACAAAACGTTGGTTGCAGGTGTCAGAGTCTTACATGTGTAATTATGTGAATATTACCTTGTGTGACAACTGTGAATACAGGTGTGGCCACATGTAACTTACCGTGTTTAACGACTATGCATGCAAGTCTACTGACTTATATTTACCTGGTGTAACGACTATTTCTACAGATATGACGTCATATATCTTACCTGATGTAATGACTACAGGTGTGACGGCGTACATCTTACCTGGTGTGACGGCGGACATCTTACCTGGTGTGACGACTATTTCTACAGGTGTGACGGCGGACATCTTACCTGGTGTGACGACTATTTCTACAGGTGTGACGGCGTACATCGTACCTGGTGTGACGACTATATCTACAGGTGTGACGGCGTACATCTTACCTGGTGTAAAGACTATTTCTACAGGTGTGACGGCGGACATCTTACCTGGTGTGACGACTATGTCTACAGGTGTGACGGCGTACATCTTACCTGGTGTGACGACTATTTCTACAGGTGTGACGGCGTACATGTGACGGCGTTCATCTTACCTGGTGTGACGACTATTTCTACTGATGGTTCATCTTACTGGTGTGACGGCGTACATCGTACCTGGTGTGACGACTATTTCTACAGGTGTGATGGCGGACATCGTACCTGGTGTGACGACTGCGTGGGCAGGCGCCAAGGCAGCTAGGAGGAGAAGACTCGTACTGAGCTGAAGGAACATCTGAAACACAATGACCACATTACAGGTGAGGTCATCAGTGTTGAACACCCCTTCTCTCTCCAGAGACCTAACCAATATCCATTCTAGTACTGCTACAAATATATACATGAGTGAATATAGTTCCATGCCGCAGTCAGCAAGATCAAGTAATGGAGTTGGAAGACACCCAGTCAACAGGATCTCATATCGCAACCATCCGACACCCATAAGTCGACTCTGAAGTCAGTTATGGAGATGGAACACACCCAGTCAACATGATCTTACATCGCAACCATCCGAGACCCATAAGTCAGTTCTGAAGTCAGGTATGGAGTTGGAAGACACCCAGTCAACATGATCTTACATCGCAACCATCCGAGACCCATTAGTCGACTCTGAAGTCAGGTATGGAGTTGTGAGACACCCAGTCAACAAGATCTTACATCGCAACCACCGAGACCCATTAGTCGACTCTGAAGTCAGTTATGGAGATGGAACACACCCAGTCAACAAGATCTTACATCGCAACCATCCGAGACCCATAAGTCGACTCTGAAGTCAGGTATGGAGTTGTGAGACACCCAGTCAACAAGATCTTACATCGCAACCATCCGAGACCCATAAGTCAGCTCTGAAGTCAGGTATGGAGTTGGAAGACACCCAGTCAACAAGATCTTACATCGCAACCATCCGAGACCCATAAGTCGACTCTGAAGTCAGGTATGGAGTTGTGAGACACCCAGTCAACAAGATCTTACATCGCAACCATCCGAGACCATCAGTCGACTCTGAAGTCAGGTATGGAGTTGTGAGACACCCAGTCAACAAGATCTTACATCGCAACCATCCGAGACCCATAAGTCAGCTCTGAAGTCAGGTATGGAGTTGGAAGACACCCAGTCAACAAGATCTTACATCGCAACCATCCGAGACCCATAAGTCGACTCTGAAGTCAGGTATGGAGTTGTGAGACACCCAGTCAACAAGATCTTACATCGCAACCATCCGAGACCCATAAGTCGACTCTGAAGTCAGTTATGGAGTTGGAAGACACCCAGTCAACAAGATCTTACATCGCAACCATCCGAGACCATCAGTCGACTCTGAAGTCAGGTATGGAGTTGTGAGACACCCAGTCAACAAGATCTTACATCGCAACCATCCGAGACCCATAAGTCGACTCTGATGTCAGGTATGGAGATGGAACACACCCAGTCAACAAGATCTCACATTACAACCACCTGGGACCCAGCTTGAAGTCAGGTTAGCGGTCAGATGACACAATCACAAGATCAACCTTTTCAAAACCTTTTCTCAATAGCCTTATGTAATACAACAAATCTTACCTTCTAGTATTCCAATGGTCTGTTCGCGATTTTTGAAGGGTTCAAAATATGACGTCGGATAGTCTCATTATTTCCAGTTATCAGAGTTTTGGTCCTGTTTGACTCAGAGCGCCGTTATGATGGATTGTGTTAATCTGCCAAGCATATGTGCAACCCTGACACGATACGTCAGCAACAACTACACCCACTTCATCAGGGAATGTACAACATCAGACATGCCCTTGTAGAGAAGTCTAGGGATAGAGACCTCCCGAAACAGCTCCCTTACAGAAGGAATCCATTTGTCTCTAGAATTATTCCACGACTCCGGAAGCAAATAAATAATAACCCTAAAATATTCATCTAAATTCAACCATCAAGTCATTCTCATACATAGGTAGATATTACTTATGTACTAGCCCAAAGGCATGCGCATAGCAATGTCGGGGGTTATTGTCTCAATGCCTGCTTGTACACATCACACCCGTCAAGGTGTACTGGACTACAGGCATGCGCAGTGACAGATGGATGTACTTGGTGTGTTTGAAACATATGCGTATAAACTAATCACAAAATCATCAGGATATTTTACCATGTAATGAAAGTTACGAACAGTTTTCATCAAATGATTACGATGACATAAGTCTCATATCTCTTTGTCGCATACTTGACTTTACTGATGATTTATTAGCCCATACTGCTTGAAAAACAATCAGCTAAAGTTCGGTTGGGAAAACTGAGGGTACAAAAGAAGGAGCATATACACATGTATGTCTTTATGGCATCTGAAGGGTTAACCCCCGTTTCATCTCATCTCGACAACATGTCGACTCTAGCTGTTTACTTACATCTTATATTTAAAATATTTTCAGTTCCATGCACCACACAATATACACCAACATCTTCGACCTTCAAAACCCCCATGTGCACATACCTTTTCCTGACGACCGTTGTCAACGTCTGTCTGCAATGATGAATAGAGCTGTACAAGGGCGGTGCTCGGAAGAGCCGCCGGGCTCTGCTGGCGAACATGTGCCTCACTTCCAGGCACGGTACATCGCATAGCAAGATCGGATGATGATCCGCATTTTTAACCTGTTTTAATCAATCTTGTAATGATAACGGAACGAAAATAGGTAAAACGTTACAATTTCTAAGCATGTGATGTCTGAAAACCGCCATCCGTATTGGTAAATGTTTTGTCGGGTAGTACCAATTTAACGAAGGATATTGTGATTGTGTAAGTTAAAAAATGTCCTATTTGCTCTACCAGGGCCCTACAATAACAGGGGACGAGATTTTCATTTGATAAAAATATTCGCTTCAGTTTAGAAAGAAACATACGCATACCTATGTACATAAAACTGATGTGCAAAAAGAAGGTACACAGGTTGTGTTTCTTCCAATAAGATAAAAATAACAAAACCTTTTGATGAAATTGAAAATGTATGTTGAAGCACACTGCAATACACGTGTTTTATCAGCAAAATGACATTGTAACAATAAACAGCGATGTAGTGATGACCACTGCAGACGGTTCCTACGATGCTGGAAGGTCAAGGCCATTCCACGCAGCGGTCGGTAGGCCCAGGACGAAGTCGTCTTGTCACTGCTTACGCGATGACCAAATGATGTGGCTGCTGATGACGTCACCGTCAACATCCAGTTGCGGAGGTGAATAACCCGCAGATAGCGATCCTCTTGGGGTGTTGTGACTCTGGAACGCCCATCTGGGTCGATCACATGTCTGGCCTGTCGTACTGAAACGGTTAAACAGCCGAATTATTGTTTGTCTTGTGCAACCCAATGTCCGTGCAATATCGCTGTTGAAAGCACCCATTTGTGTCATTCCTTTGGCACGTTCTCGTTGCGCCTACGTCAATCTTGGCATTTCCTCATGAGATTTCTGTCAAGTGATTGTTCAGTCTTCACGACAAACAAGTTTTATACTCTCTGTCAGAAAAGTGCTGGTGCATGGGACAATAATCACAATTTAGCAAAAATTCGTGCAAAACACGTACAAATGTTTTTGGTTGCATTTTGGCAAATGAAACATGATGGTTGCGTTCTATACAATCAATGTTTTTCAATAATTTTATTAGTTAGAACGCATATTTGGGATTGCAACAACAATTACACCTGTGTACGTTCTTTTGCTCGTCAGTTTAGTTGACACCATCTCTATATGTAACGCATGTTATATTTGGGATTATACTCTCTCAGCAACGTACAGATTACCTTTGTTGGTACCATCTGGGATTCGACCCACACCCTCAGAGTCAGTACCTCGTCCACACAAAGTCAGCAATCTAACCCACTCAGCCATCGCATCTTCCACGTGGGTTAGATGGCTAAGTGGGTTAGATGGCTGAGGTGTAGGGACACAATAAACCAAGGTGTAGGCACACAATAAAGTGAGGCGTAAAGACAGAATAATAAGAGATCTAGGGACACAATAAACTGAGGCGTAGGGATACAATAATGCAAGGTCTAGGGACACAGTAAACCAAGGTGTAGGGACACAATAAAGTGAGGTGTAGGGACACAATAAACCAAGGCGTAGGGACACAATAAACTGAGGCGTAGGGATACAATAATGCAAGTTCTAGGGACACAGTAAAGTGAGGTGTAGGGACACAATAAAGTGAGGCGTAGGGACACAATAAAAGGCAGGGATACACAATAAAGTGAGGTGTAGGGACACAATAAGTGAGGCGTAGGGAGTGTAGGGACACAATAAAGTGAGGCGTAGGGACACATAAACCAAAGTGAGGGACACAATAGGGAAAAATAAAGTGAGTGAGATGTAGGGACGCAATAAAGTGAGGCGTAGGGACACACTAAACCAAGGCGTAGGGACACAATAAACTGAAGCGTAGGGACAGAATAAAGCGATATCTAGGGACACAATAACCTGAGGTGTAAGGACACAATAAAGTGAGGCGTAGGGATACAATAAATCAAGGTCTAGGGACACAATAAAGTGAGATGTAGGGACACAATAAACCAAGGTGTAGGGACACAATAAAGTGAGGCTTAGGGATACAATAATGCAAGGTCTTGGGACACAATAAAGTGAGGTGTAGGAACATAGTAAAGTGAGATTTAGGGACACAATAAAGTGAGATGTAGGGACACACTCAACCAAGGTGTAGGGACACAAAAATCTAAGATGACTGTACCAACAAACTGAAGCGAGACGAGAGCAAGTATAAACTGAAATGTAGCTCAGGCTTTAATGCGACAGTTTATACTGAATTAGTAGAATAGTTTTGATCTTGATGATGTCCAGACGATTGTTTACGCTGGCAGTGTTGTCAACATGTTGACAAGTACGTTTGTTACAGTCCGGTCACGCATACAAGCCACGACCTTGTTTCTGATTAATATTGTAGATTCCTGTATGTACTCGTGTCTGTCGTACGAGGCCATACATTCAGGGTCCTATGCCCATAACCCAGACACGCAACACGCCACTGACAAATGTTACGAGGACGTGTCACGTGCTAAGAAAGGTCACATTTGTCACGCTGACATTCTGACTTGTTTACTCGCCAGAGCCACGCCCCCTTTTCAAGGAAAGCTCATTTACTGTAACATATCTGCCTCATGTACATGTTGTGTTCTTACATAACCACTAAAATTGTCAGATATCGTCTGATGGGAATTAAGTGTCTCCCGTTAATACTGGAACAAAGGCCAGACTGAATAGTTATAAAAGCTTAATATCTAGCTGATACGTGAAAAAGTAATGAACTATAAATTAACGATACTAACAAATAAAGTAAACAACAATAATAATAAGTAAACTTATCTTCTCATGCAATAACATAATGAAGCAATGTATAAAAAATGTAATTAGATGTCAACTGTGAATGCTAGTCACTCTCACAGTCCCTGAACCATATAATGTTCCCTAACGATTAGCCATCCCTGCAATTCAAAAGTCCTAAGTGAAGCAAGTCTAGATTTCCCCAGGTTCCCACCACTCACTGGGACTTCTTTTCAATTTAAATGGGTTTGTTTGTTTCTATCAAAATTATATATATTCAGGGTCTAAGCGTTAATCTACATCATAAATCATTTGTTTTTCACACAGAGAGCCAAGGGGCCAAAGTACAAGAGATGCTGGATGACACTTTAAGGGGAAGTTAGACATTGAACATAGATGGAGTATGATATATGTGCATGATGGCTCTCATTACTTGTGACACGTGACTGATCTTACTGCCAGTCAGAGGCTCGAGCAAGTACAGCAGGGCAGGGCAGGGCAGGGCAGGGCAGGGCAGGGCAGGGCAGGGCAGGGCAGGGCAGGGCAGGGCAGGGCAGGGCAGAAATCTCTTAACAGGATGTATTGTCTAAGGCGTGTATTTTCATGGTGTTTGCCCTCACAATATTTCATGAAAATTTCTTTGTTCTGTTAATCATTATGAGTGAGTGAGTGAGTGAGTTTGGTTTTACACCGCTTTTAGCAATATTCCAGCAATATCACGGCGGAGGACAACAGAAATGAGCTTCACACATTGTACACATGTGGGGAATCGAACCCGGGTCTTCGGCGTGACGAGCGAACGCTTTAACCATCAGGCTACCCCACCTCCCCTAATCATTATGAGAGGATAGTTAGTCGCACGTGGCCTTTCAGGTATCCAACGCCCTAATATTTATGTAATATGGAATGTTAATAAAGCGGCGTAAAATCCCACTAACTCCCATACACATTGACGTTTTAAAGGTATATTTGTGTTTAACATTTATGTTTAATGACGCACGTTGTGTTTGTGTAAAGCGGTCTTTTGTGTCGATGTCATTGTTTATTTAGTGAGTCAGTGAGTTTGATTTTAAGCCGCTATACCAATATTCCAGCAATATTCCAGAAATGAGCTTCACACATTGTACCCATGTGGGGAATCGAACCCAGGTCGTTGGCATGACGAGCGAACGCTTTAACCACTATACTACCCCGCCGCCCCTCGACACGTCAGAGGTTGAAAACTCAAGGAGGAATGGACGGTAGGATAGCTTAGTATTTAAAGCGTTAGCTCGTCACGTCGAAGACTCGGGTTCGATTCCCCACAATGGATGAAGCCCATTTCTGGTGTCCCCTGCTGGTATATTGCTAAAAGTGGAGTAAAACTCGGTGTACCCACTCACTCACTCAAGGAGGAATGCCATTGCTTCAAGAAAACCGTACGTTCACACATGGTGCCTGACTGTATTAATCATGTAGTAAGTCAAAGGTAAAATACCCCTTATATAATACCCCTTCCTCTGCCATTTATGTCTATTTGTAAAAATATGAATTAAGTCCTTATTTTGATAATCATACTCTATAAAGTCTCTATACAGTCCCACCCGCAATATTTTGCTTATTCCTGAATATATACACATGAAAAATATTGTTTAGATACATATTCGCATATAACAATTCCATTTGTATAGATCTTCAATATATTCAACACAACACAACACAACACAACACAACACAACACAACACAACACAACATAACACAACATAACATAACATAACATAACATAACATAACATAACTAGAGCATTGGTAGCCTCGTGGCTTTAGACCGATGAACATGCGGTGCAGAGTCAAGCTGCAAAGATATTGCCGGAATTTGCAGGTTAGAGGATCGAGTCTCCAAAATGCCGCACTGTTACTAATTTTTGCTTAAGCTCAATATCCAAGATTCAACACACAAAAAAATAAGAACTGAGAGTTGTTGTAAATCTTTAATCATGTATATAGCTTCTAATCATAGCTCTTTTGAAATAATTATGAAAAATAACATTCTTTAGAACCTACATTTGAAATAGGTGACGGGTCATCAGACGCCGCGATTCTCTATGAAGAGTTACGTCCCTTACACGTACAATAATCCGCTCGTTCGGAGTTCGAATACCGACTTTGATCTGATGATCTTGGGTTTGTCGGCACTTTATACGCGTTTCGGTTACAAATGTGGACAACATCTACGACCTTCTTCATTTAGAGCTGTATTCTCCATCAGTGTTACACTGTGATATCTATCAGTTACTATCTCAACGCGATTGTTATATTGACGCGCTTCCTCATAAAGATAGAACATCAAATAAAATATTTTACTACTGTTCACGATGAAACATTTCAAGCTTGTACCATTCCAGATGAAGAACCTACAAACAATGCAGACTCCCATGTGTCTGCTTCAACCAGTTCGGAACGGTGGGGTAGCCTAGTGGCTAAAGCGTTCGCTCGTCATGCCGAAGATCCGGGTTCGATTCCCAACATTGGTACAATGTGTGAAGTCCATTTCTGTTGTCCGCCGCTGTGATATTGCTGAAATATTTCTAAAAGCGGCGTAAAACCCAACTCACTTACTAACTCACTCGCTCACTCACTCAACCAGTTCAAGAAATGAGTAAATGAGTGCTGGTAAACATGCTGGTAAGGAGTAACTATTCGGATTTATCTTCAGTGATCTTCATGCAACGGGGGCGGTGGGGTAGCCTAGTGGTTAAAGCGTTGGCTCATCACGCCGAAGGCCCGGGTTCGATTCCCCACATGGGCACATTGTGTTAAGCCCATGTCCCCCGCCGTGATATTGCTGGAATATTGCTAAAAGCGGCGTAAAACTAAACTCAGTCAGTCAGTCAGTCTTCGTCCAACGTTCAGTCGTCGTCCAAACTAAAGGGGGACAACTCGTATTCTCTCCGACACGTCTACAGGCTTACAACAGTGTTGTGTATGGAGTACCTGGACAATCGACTTCCAATAACCCACCAACAATGGTGACACCATCTGTGCGGCCAACTCACGCGCCACGTGCTCGTGAGCTCTACGTCATCAAAATATGCCAACATCTGATGCCAAACTTTCCAGCATAGACGCACAACCAGAAATGGCTTGGATATTGAAGCGTTTGCTGGTTATTTTTTGCCTTGTTGGCTGTGTGCTCTGCCAACAAAGGCAAATTTACTTCTATGGCAAATTTGGAAAAGCTCTTTTACATCGAATCTGAAATTATAGCGCTTGCCGACGTATTTCTTCGTGAGGAACATTTCGCCCATCATGGCGAGGATCCCCATAACCTCGGAGGAATGAGAGAGTGAGTACAGTCAGTCGGTCTTCAGGTGTGACCAGGTGATACTATATAGTCGGACCTCGTTAATTCGGATAAAACCGTTTCTATGAAATTAACCGGATTAACTCAATTCCTGATTCTGGAACGGAGTATGTTCTCTGGTTTTTAGTGTTCCCGTCAAGATCGGGTGGAACATAGACGATTGTAGAGGTCCAGATTGTACGTCAACCAATCTGTCACGTATTTTCCTGACGTACCTTTGCATCTATGAACCGAGCCTAACATTACATACATGTTTAACAAGTAATGGGTTGGGCTGGTGGCTAAGGCATTTTTCTCTCGCAGTTTGCCGGGGTTCAGTTCCCAACATCAACATGGGTTGTTCTGTTAAGGACGTTTACTGTGTCCTGTTTCTTGATAAAGCAGGTCATTGTGCAGGCGGCGTAAAACGCCATTCACTCACTGTTCATTCCTTACAAGATGTAAAACACTTTATCAGACTGACAGTTTCAGATTATGTTGATGTTTATGTTTATTATATATATTTGATGCAGGGGCCGTGTTTTTTTCACTTTTATGGTTATTTGATAAGAGAAATAACCTATTTGCTGATAAACGTACAAAATTAACACGTATCAACATTATTATGAGGATTTATCTCCCGATGCCACTAATGTAATGCTTTTTCCACAGGAAATAAAGTAGTAAATTTCAGCAGTGATGTTTATTATAGACATTTAATACAGGGACTGTTTTTTTTGCATTAAAGAAATATCCAATTTACTGATAAATCTACAAAATTAGCACGTAAGAGCGTTATTATGAGGATTTATCCCCAGGCGACACTAATGCATTACTGCACGAACAACGCAACATACACGGATATAGAACTTTGTACTTGCTATATTCAGAGTGTTAATTAGTATATTGGCATGCTAACTGAATCTAATAGACATACATTCGTTGTTTTGTGATGGCGTAGTGATTATAGAAATAGGCACAGCACTGCCAGCACACCGGCTGTGAAATGAGCATTGACTCCTGTAAAGGGAGATAATCGATGTACTCCTCTATTTCCTGCGTGCCACATTGAACGCCATATGTTACCAAGTGTCGACATAGCATTACAATAACTCGCACGTGTTGACAGATGTACTAGCGAGGATACACATGGTACACGCCCCGTTATCTTATTCGTGACATAATTATGATTAAACCATTCTTCTTATAACAGCAATACGAAAAGAAGTATGTAAGCGCATTTACTATCCCCTTTAGTAATGTCATTTAAAAAATATCGAGTACTATGACTTTGTCTCTTTGTTGTTTAACGACACAATCAGCAATATTTCAGCTCTAGGAGTGTGGTCTGTAAATATGGGCAAGATAATCCAGTGATCAACATCACGAGGATTGATGTACGCAAACAGGACACAATGGATGACATACGTTGGCAACGACATCGTTTCCATGTGTCGTCTCCTGCGATAAGCATGGGTCGCTTGAGACAAATTCTACCCCGGGCGGTTCAGACTACGTATATATATTGGCGATTTCTTCATGCGCCTTTTCCACGTCAGCAGATATGCTCAAGGCGCGACAATGGCAGATTAAAAGAGTCTCCAACATTTATACAGCAATATGTACACGTCCAAATAGAGTTCCTAATAATACATTGAAAACAGGTATGTTTTGAGTCCTGACTTGAATGTGGCAATGCTATCAGAAACGTTCAGATTGTATGGGAGTGAATTCCACAAGGTTGGGTCTGCATATGAAAAAGTCCGGTTTCCAAAAGTTTTAAGCCTGAAGTTTGGCACAAACAGAAGCTTTTGATTAGATGATCGAAGGCAGCGTTTGTTTCAGTATGAAGTAAGCAGGCCAGAGAGATATGGGGGAGCAAGTCCGCGACGGGCCATGTAGGTCAAGCAGAGGATTTTGTAGTCGCTTCTTGCCTTGATGGGGAGCCAGTGCAACTGTTTAAGAACAGGTGTAATACGTACCTTTTGAAATAGATAATGAACAACTGCACAAGGTGGAATCCTTTCCTTCAGGTTACGCTGGAATAATAAACGTATATTGTCACTGACGGTGGATATGAAACTAGGGGTTGATAGTATGACCCCAACTTTAGGGGACACTCACATAACATCAGTCAAATGTTGTAATCACCTGATCGCTCCAACTCCTTCGGATCATACACCACGCTTCGCTAAGCGACCGCAGCGATCCTATTGTAATACAAAAGTTTACCATCTATTTGTCATACTTTACCCTTCCCAGGACTCCGTGCGAATAGTCTTAGTGAGAGCTCGACCTAAATATCCAACGTTATTCAGTCTAATATCTTCCTGAGTTTGATAAAAGGTATTTTTTCGACTTGTTCCAGGACTGTTGAGAGGAACAAGGTTCTCCATGGGAACATCTCGGATATGAACGAGTATCTGAGCCACCCAATCAACGTGTTTCATCTGACGAGGCGGCTGACCAGGGAGTGGAAGGCCACACTGCAGGTCATCTGGAAGGGCGAACCGTGTCAAAAATGTGAGTAGCTACAGAGAGACGTGTCAGAGATGTGGGTAGCTATAGAGAGACGTGTCAGAGATGGGTGTAGCTATAGAGAGACGTGTCAGAGATGTGGGTAGCTACAGAGAGACGTGTCAGAGATGTGGGTAGCTATAGAGAGACGTGTCAGAGATGGGTGTAGCTATAGAGAGACGTGTCAGAGATGTGGGTAGCTATAGTGAGACGTGTCAGAGATGGGTAGCTATAGAGAGACGTGTCAGAGATGTGGGTAGCTATAGAGAGACGTGTCAGAGATGTGGGTAGCTATAGTGAGACGTGTCAGAGATGTGGGTAGCTATAGTGAGACGTGTCAGAGATGTGGGTAGAGACGCGTCAGAGATGTGGGTAGCTATAGTGAGACGTGTCAGAGATGTGGGTAGCTATAGTGAGACGTGTCAGAGATGTGGGTAGCTATGTCAGAGATGTGGGTAGCTATAGTGAGACGTGTCAGAGAGTAGCTATAGTGAGACGTGCTAGAGATGTGAGTAGCTATAGGTAGGCGTGTCAGAGATGTGGGTAGCTATAGTGAGACGTGTCAGAGATGTGGGTAGCTATAGTGAGACGCGTCAGAGATGTGGGTAGCTATAGAGAGACGCGTCAGAGATGTGGGTAGCTATAGTGAGACGCGTCAGAGATGTGGATAGCTATAGTGAGACGTGTCAGAGATGTGGGTAGCTATAGTGAGACGTGTCAGAGATGTGGGTAGCTATAGTGAGACGTGTCAGAGATGTGGGTAGCTATAGTGAGACGTGTCAGAGATGTGGGTAGCTATAGTGAGACGTGTCAGAGATTTGGGTAGCTATAGTGAGACGTGTCAGAGATGTGGGTACCTATACAGAGACGCGTCAGAGATGTGGGTAGCTATAGTGATACGTGTCAGAGATGTGGGTAGCTATAGTGAGACGTGTCAGAGATGTGGGTAGCTATAGTGAGACGTGTCAGAGATGTGGGTAGCTATAGTGAGACGTGTCAGAGATGTGGGTAGCTATAGTGAGACGTGTCAGAGATGTGGGTAGCTATAGTGAGACGTGTCAGAAATGTGGGTACCTATATAGAGACGTGTCAGATATGTGGGTAGCTGTATAGAGACGTGTCAGAGATGTGGGTAGCTGTATAGAGACGTGTAGAAAGGCTAACATACGCGTTTAACGGGTTCAACAAAAAGTGAAACCTACATGTATTTCGCCATCAAGTATTAAAGAAGGCCTTTCTTTCTTCGCATTCAATGATTTTCCCATAAAGCGTTTTACGGGTGAACATTTTCAATATGTTTTAAATTGTCAAACCAAAGATTCCATACCAACATAACAGGACCGGCCTGACCATAAAACCAAAAACTGTACAGAAATATTATACTCACGACTTTTTCGTTATTGTGTGGTGAAGCACGGGGCGAACGATCCGGAATCAAGCCTTGGCAAACTGTGGGCAGTTTGTGTCCATGGGGCAAGTAGAAATGACCAAATGACCAAACGCACCTTGGTCCATGCAGAGCTCCGTGTATGCAATCACTGTCCAGGTTGTTTGATTGGTTGGTTGTTTTACGCCGAACTCAGCAATACTCCACCTATATGGCGGCCGTCTGTAAATAATAGAGTCCGGACCAGACAATCCAGTGATCAACATCATGAGCATGGATGTACGCAATTGTGATACGATAACATGCATCACACAAGTCAGTGAACCTGACCACCCGATCCCGTTAGTCGCCTCTTACGACAAGCACGGGCTGCTGAAAACAGGATCGCAATAATAATTGCGCGATTATTATTCCCGATCACAGTATAACAAAAGACGCGTATGATCTTGATAAAATTGTGTAACATATGTTGTTTGATTCCAGGGGATGTCCCCGAGCTGAAGGCTCGAATAAGCAACATCCACCACAATATCCCGACCAAAGAAGACCTCATGCGAGTCGCTCTTGGCATCGCACACATCCAGTTCACAGAGAACCTGAAGTTTGACGACATCTACTCCGGGCTGATCAGAGGCCGGAAGTCTTTGCAGCCAGTGATCATTGAGGACCTCATAGATTTTGCCTGGGGGTCGTTTGACGGAGGGCAGTATCTGTTCACGACGAACGTTGTTGAGCGAATCCTTGAAGAATGCAAGAAAGCTCCCGAAAACAAGTTCTGCAATTCACCGAAGGCTTTTAAGTTGGCTGCAACTTCATACTTCGAGGTATTAAAAGCCATCGCGATCACTACAGTGAATTACGTCCCTTTACGTACCTGGATCCACTGTCGCGTGATTAGGATTGTTGGTTCATTAGTACCATACCAAAACCTGCGCTCGTGGGTATGGTTGAAATGTTCAACGCCAAAGAGTCACATGGTCACCCGGTCATCCAATATTTGAGCTGACAACGCCATAGAACATCTGAAATACTGTTCAAATGGGCGTTTAGGGGCGGGGCGGTAGCCTAGTGGTTGCAACGTTCGCTCGTCACGCCGAAGACCTAGGTTCGATTCCCCACATGGGTACAATGTGTGAAGCCCATTTCTGGTGTCCCTCGCCGTGATATTGCTGGAATATTGCTAAAAGCAACGTAAAGCTAAACTCACTCACTTACACTCAAATGGGCGTTTGATACTCACTTGCTGTATCAGTGATATTCGACGTCATGTCGCGCAGCTCCTCCGTGCATTCTTTGGTTCGCCACCTATAACTGGATGAGAGCTGAAGGGACATCCATCAACGGAGGCCTTTTAGGGTCATTCGTTTTTATAATTTCCCCTGAAATATCCACTTATAATCTTTAAATTTCAAGGTCGTAATTTAACCAAATATTTTCAAAATATTATTTTGAAAGTTCAAGATTATGATCTTAAAATTTAAAAAATAAACTAAAATAAACCCCCAAACGAATGCCCCAAAAATGCCTCTGTATCCATCAGTAATCACTCGTTTATTTATCGTGTTTATTTTCCTGCACTTTTGTCTTAAATGTTGATCCACATAACGACTACCAAGCCAGAAGCTATGGCAAAGGGTTGTCAGCGCTGAAAGCAATTTATCATTTAATTTCAGATGAATAAAGTGGAAAAGGCAGTTCAAATGATCGACAAAGTACTGGCAATGAGTAAGTAGCATTGATGGACGATACAAGCTGTACATATAACGTCTCCGAGAAAGTATATAGACTATAGAGTCGACTAAGATCAGACACGTGGTTTCTTTTCTAGTCTTAGACAGTGTAATTTATACCATAGATACATATAGGTATGTACGCATCTGGGGAAACCACAAGTTGTTAATGGTATACACATTATCAAATGTGCCTAGCAAACAATAAAGTATTAAAGGGACTTATCTCCGAGATTGGCAAGTAGCCTGAGACCAATCTCTCTTTCTGAATATTTAAAGGATTTTGGTTGGTCAGTTTGTTGTTTAACGCCGCACTCAGCAATATTCCACCTATATGGCGGCGGTCTGTAAACAATCCAGTCTGGACCACACATCATGAGCATTGATCTACACAATTTGGATACGATGACATGTGTCAACCAAGTCAGCGAACCTGACCATCCGATCCCGTTAGTCGCCTTTTACGACAAGCATTGGTTGCTGAAGATCAATTCTGACCCGGATCTTCAAGGGCCAGTATGGTTTACTCTCGGCAACAAATAATATCTGCAAAACAATTTTGACTGGAGTCATCAAACACCCGCTGCGTCAGCAGGATGTCGGTTTCTGTACTGAACAATGACACAAATGAATCCACTTATCTTTATATATCAAAATATGGGATAGTCCACCAGCACTATCACATACTTATTATTGAACGACAAGACCTAAAAGGTATACTTCCCATATATGTAGAGGGGCGGTGGGTAGCCTAGTGGTTAAAACGCTCGCTGGTCACGCGTCCCCTCCCGTGATATTGCAGGGATATAGCAAAGAGCGGCGTAAAACTAAACTCCTCATTCACCCATATATAACAGTCTGTTGATACGTGACCACAAATACGACCTCACAAGGTTCCAGGAAATGATGCACACTGATACATCGTGTCTTGACTCAGATCCAGATGATGGCGGAGCCCAACGGAGCCGTCGGTTCTACGCGGGGAGGCTGCGACGCAAATCTTCGGGAAAGGAGGTACTCTTCAGCGCCCGGAACGTCAAATACTTCGAGACTTGCAGAGGAGAGAGGAAGAAGGTAACTGTTCGACACTATATCCAGGAGTGGGGTCGGGGTTGTCTGAATCGTGTGTACATTGTGAGGTCTACCGTCAAGATTCGACATTCATTCGACTGAGCACAAAGGTCTTTATTGGACACGGGCGGTAGGGTAGTCTAGTGGTTAAAGAGACCCGGGTTCGATTCCCCACATGAGTACAATGCGTGAAGCCCATTTCTGGTGTCTCCGTCCTGATATTGCTTGAATATTGGTAAAAGCGGCGTAAACTTAACTCACTCACTCTTTAGTGGAAGCTAATATGACGCGGTCTTTGCGTTTGTCCAGCAATGTTCCCGTGGCAGGTTCCAGAAGATCTTAGCGTTAAGACCATCTTAACATGCTTTAATATAGCCTTAGAGCTAAGATTGTTCAGTACGATTAGGCCATGGAAAATGTTTCACAAATTCATAAAAAAGTAGAATCGGTGATGGACCTCCGTAACAAGCAAGAACTGTACTTCGTTTGACCATGTGTACATGTTGATGCTGTCAAACATACGTCCAATCAATGGAATATGAATATGGGTTTGACGTATGTAAGAGATAATAAGTTGTTTAATATTTGTTCAGTGTGCACAGTGTGAATATTGTCCAAGAATAGTTGAAACATGCTGACGTGCCATTGTCTTCCTACAGAGCGCTGCCCAGATGTCCCGCCTTCACTGTGTCCTGCTTCCAACTCGACATTTCCTGGTGTTCGAGAAGGCGGAGTACCATCACATGGATCCACCCGTAGTCGAGTTCCACTCTACCATGAAGCCAAGCCTCCTGAAAGTAATGATGAGAATCGCAACAAAAGCCGTAAGTAGTGGTTGTAGTTGTTGTTGATGCAGTTGGAATGGTGGTTGTAGTTGTTGATGCTGTTGGAATGGTGGTTGTAGTTGTTGTTGATGCTGTTGGAATGGTGGTTGTAGTTGTTGATGCTGTTGGAATGGTGGTTGTAGTTGTTGTTGATGCAGTTGGAATGGTGGTTGTAGTTGTTGTTGATGCTGTTGGAATGGTGGTTGTAGTTGTTGATGCTGTTGGAATGGTGGTTGTAGTTGTTGTTGATGCTGTTGGAATGGTGGTTGTAGTTGTTGATGCAGTTGGATTGGTGGTTGTAGTTGTTGTTGATGCTGTTGGAATGGTGGTTGTAGTTGTTGTTGATGCAGTTGGAATGGTGGTTGTAGTTGTTGTTGATGCTGTCGGAATGGTGGTTGTAGTTGTTGTTGATGCTGTTGGAATGGTGGTTGTAGTTGTTGATGCTGTTCGAATGGTGGTTGTAGTTGTTGTTGATGCAGTTGGAATGGTGGTTGTAGTTGTTGATGCAGTTGGAATGGTGGTTGTAGTTGTTGGTGGTTGTAGTTGTTGTTGATGCTGTGGAATGGTTGTTGATGCTGTTGGAATGGTGGTTGTAGTTGTTGATGCTGTTCGAATGGTGGTTGTAGTTGTTGTTGATGCTGTTGGAATGGTGGTTGTAGTTGTTGATGCAGTTGGAATGGTGGTTGTAGTTGTTGTTGATGCTTTTGGAATGGTGGTTGTAGTTGTTGATGCTGTTGGAATGGTGGTTGTAGTTGTTGTTGATGCAGTTGGAATGGTGGTTGTAGTTGTTGATGCAGTTGGAATGGTGGTTGTAGTTGTTGTTGATGCTGTTGGAATGGTGGTTGTAGTTGTTGTTGATGCTGTTGGAGTGGTGGTTGTAGTTGTTGTTGATGCTGTTGGAATGGTGGTTGTAGTTGTTGTTGATGCTGTTGGAGTGGTGGTTGTAGTTGTTGATGCTGTTGGAATGGTGGTTGTAGTTGTTGTTGATGCTGTTGGAATGGTGGTTGTAGTTGTTGATGCTGTTGAGAATGGTGGTTGTAGTTGTTGATGTGGAAGTTGTAGTAGTTGTTGTTGCTGTAATAGTGGTAGTAGTAGTTGTTTTTGTATTGCTGTAGTTACACATGTTGGCCGGTGATGTGAAAGAAGCAGTTGTTGGCGTCGTAATGGATGCTGTGTAGTAACTGTTGTTGTGGTAAAGGCAGTGATACATTTTCTATTTGTGGTGGTAGTAACAGTAGTTGTTGCTGTAGCTTGGAAGTGGCATTGGTATTAGTAGTTGCTGTGTTCGTTCTGTTGTGATAGAAGTCGTAGTTGTAGTAGTTGTAGTAGTGACAGTTGTAGTTGTTTCCGGGACACGTAGACTTCGTTGGCTATTACAAAGCATTTTAATACGGGATCCGCAATCGCAGCAGTGACATATTCAGTACTAGTAGCAGCAGCAACAACAGTAACAGGTCGCGGTGAACTAGTTGTTGTAGTAGCAGTAGCAGCAGCAGCAGTGGTGGCAGCAGCAACAGTAATAGCAGGTCAGGGAGTAGAAATTGTAGCAGTAACAGCAGCAGCAGTAGTAGTAGTAGTAGTATTTAGCAACAGCAGCAGTAGTAGAAGCAGGTCAATGAGTAGAAGTTGTAGAAGAAACAGCAGCAGCAGCAGCAGCAACAGTAGTAGTATTAATTAGCAACAGCAGCAACAGCAGAAGCAGGTCATGGAGAAGACGTGGTTTTAGTAACAGCAGCAGCAGCAGCAGCAGTAGTAGTAGTAGTAGTAGTAGAAGTAGTAGTATTAGTAGTAGCAGTAGTAGTAGTAGTAGTAGCAGTAGTAGTAGTAGTAGTAGTAGTAGTAGTAGTAGTAGCAGCAGCAGCAGCAGCAGTAGTAGTAGTAGTAGTAGTAGTAGTAGCAGTAGCAGTAGTAGTAGTAGCAGCAGCAGTAGTAGTAGTAGTAGTAGTAGTAGTAGTTGCAGCAGTAGTGTAGTTTTGAAATGTTTTCTCTCACTGGGTAGCCTACAGACTGCAGTTGTTTGTTTCAGTATCGGTCGATGTCAACAAACAACCGCTACAGTTCTCCGGATTTTACGTAAGTATCCGAACAATAATGATCAACAAGTCCTCCTATTCTTGTGTGAACCGATGAAGAAACAGTAGTTCTTTAGTCCTATGATATTTCGGTTATCCAATCAAATCAAAACCCCTTGCAATTTCTTTATTTGTGAATTGTTGATTCAAAGTTAAAACGGAGAATCGGATCAGACGCACTGACTTGTATAACTTATTGTACATTGTGAGAGAACGTCTGAGTTATAGGACACTTGACATATCGACGTGGTTACATTATATGATTATTAATGTGTCTCATATCGGATAGCCCATACATAATAGATTGAGTTAAAGGACACTTGACATATCGACGTGGTTACATTATATGATTGTTAATATGTCTCATATCGGATAGCCCATACATAATACATTGTGTTAAAGGACACTTGACATATCGACGTGGTTACATTATATGATTGTTAATATGTCTCATATCGGATAGCCCATACATAATAGATTGTGTTAATGGACACTTGACATATCGACATGGTTACATTATATGATTGTTAATATGTCTCATATCGGATAGCCCATACATAATAGATTGTGTTAAAGGACACTTGACATATCGACGTGGTTACATTATATGATTGTTAATATGTCTCATATCGGATAGCCCATACATAATAGATTGTGTTAAAGGACACTTGACATATCGACATGGTTACATTATGTGATTGTTAATATGTCTCATATCGGATAGCCCATACATAATAGATTGTGTTAAAGGACACTTGACATATCGACGTGGTTACATTATATGATTGTTAATATGTCTCATATCGGATAGCCCATACATAATAGATTGTGTTAAAGGACACTTGACATATCGACATGGTTACATTATATGATTGTTAATATGTCTCATATCGGATAGCCCATACATAATAGATTGTGTTAAAGGACACTTGACATATCGACGTGGTTACATTATATGATTGTTAATATGTCTCATATCGGATAGCCCATACATAATAGATTGTGTGAAAGCGTGTTATAAGAAATGTTTGCATTGAAGAAAGGTTGAATGAATGGATCGTTCATAAGCCTTTAGTTGAATGTTATTGGCTGAATGTAAGGCAGTGCACTGCTGAATAATCCAGCCAAATCTTCACGTTAGAAAATCCCACCTCCCCGCCTGAATGTTTGCTGAAGTGATGGATAAGAAGTGAAAATGAACTGGGGCCGCTCAGCTCTCCGCTCGTTGTGGGGCGGTGGGGTAGCCTACTTGTTAAAGTGTTCGCTCGTCACTCTGAAGGCCTGGGTTCGATTCCCAATATGGGTACAATGTGTGAAGCCCATTTCTGGTGCCCCCCGCCGTAAAATTGCTGGAATATTGCTATAAGCGACGTAGAACCATACTCACTCACTCACTATAATCTTAAACTCAGATATTCTCAATAAGCTATACAAGTCAATGTGTTTGATCCCATTCTTCGTTTTAACTTTAAATCAACTATTTACAAATACATAAACTAAACTCACTAACTCATTCTCCGCTCGTTGTTGTATCTCTGTGTTAAAATATTAGAGATACGATCACCTCAGCGGTAAAATCCCTTTATGAAAATGGGTCCTGATTAGTACAGTTAGATGTCGTCAAAGCAATACTATGTAAGAAGTGGCATGTTTATTTCAGTTTTCAACCGCTCCCTACGTATGCATACAAGCAGTATGAGTCAAGATTCATGCATCTCAAATCTCCAATGGCATGGCCATTCGTGGAGGGAACTGTCGAGGTAAGACAATGAGGAAATGATGCCTAGCATCAGCTACACATACGTTGACTTCAGCGTACATCTACAGTAAATACACATTGTAGCTTTACATCTACAGTAAATATACATTGTAGCTTTACATCTACAGTAAATAAACATTGTAGCTTTACATCTACAGTAAATATACATTGTAGCTTTACATCTACAGTAAATAAACATTGTAGCTTTACATCTACAGTAAATAAACATTGTAGCTACATTACAGTCTACAGTAACATCTAACATTGTAGCTTTACATCTACAGTAAATAAACATTGTAGCTTTACATCTACAGTAAATAAACATTGTAGCTTTACATCTACAGTAAATAAACATTGTAGCTTTACATCTACAGTAAATAAACATTGTAGCTTTACATCTACAGTAAATAAACATTGTAGCTTTACATCTACAGTAAATAAACATTGTAGCTACACATCTACAGTAAATAAACATTGTAGCTTTACATCTACAGTAAATCTACAGTAAATAAACATTGTAGCTACACATCTACAGTAAATAAACATTGTAGCTTTACATCTACAGTAAATATACACTGTATCATTGCATCTACAGTAAACATATTGTAGCTGCACATCTGCAGTAAATAAACATTATAGCTTTACATCTACAGTACATAAACATTGTAGCTTTAGATATGCAGTAAATATACATTGTAGCTATATATTTACAGTAAATATTCACTACTTTATCCACAGTCAACAGCAATTACAGCTATATCTTGTCATAACAATTCAATATAGCTTTCATCTATTGGAAACCTATCATAGCTTCAACTGCTGCAATCTGTTATGTACAGTAAACGTTTCTCAGCTAAGATGCAGTAAGATGTGAACGGTGACATGGAATGTTCGTGTTGCACCAGTAGCCGTATTACAACTTATATCATCGTATATTGACTTTATATTACGCAATGTAATACAGTAAACGGTTATTACGAACTCAAATGGAGCACTAACTTTAGTGTGTTACAACCATGGTGAGAAATACGCGTTCCGACCGAACTAGCAAGTGATGCTATAGTGTACTCCCCTGTGTGTTCTTGTGGAGAGACCCGTGAAGATCCGGGCCAGAATTGGTCTTTAAACATCCGTGCTTGTCGTAAGAGGCGATTAACGGGATCGGATGGTGAGACTCACTGACTTGGTTGTCATCGTATCTCGATGCTCATACTGTTGATCACTGGGTTGTCTAGTCCAGACTCTATTATTTACAGACCACCGCCATATAGCTGGAATATTGCTGAGTGCGGCGTAAAACTAAACTCACTCACCCACCCTATGGAGTGCTACGCTGTGTAATCACATTCAACATACGATGATCTGATGAAACCTTTTATTCTAGATCCGGCAGATCAGCCTGGAAGGCATGTATTTCAGGGCCAAAGATAAAGAAAACGTGAGTACCGAGGCCAGGTCTTGTGTAAACAGCTGACGCAGTAGTCTCACTCCCAGAAAATCAATTCCAAACATACCAAACAATGACGTCAGAAGGCTGATCTTTGGCTGACCAATGTTATAAGTGGACTTTAGTGTCTCCAATTACATGACAATCCAGTACGAACGTTATATAAAAATGAAAAGTTGAATTTTCACATGATAGTTTTAAGGGATAAAAAATATTGTATCCATAAAAAGTCTTCGTTCTCCGAATCTCAAACTGCCTACCATAGACTTGATGGTTAAAATGCTCTGTTTTTCCTGTGCTGTAGCTTTATGAGCTGGTAGTGTCCACTGGATAGATGAGATTCAGTATGTGATGATGTGTAAACTGTGTTATATTTCAGTTGCCGAACCTTGGCGGCCATGTTGGATCATTCTTCACCTTTGTAAGTTGATAGACACTGTACTGGAATCAATATTCACTCAGTTCATATAACAGGCGTGTTTTTTAAAATATATTGTTTTGTTTGTTTGATTAGAGCCTCACGTTGCAATATCCCACCAATCTGAACATGGTCTGTAGATTATTAAATCTGAAATAGACACTCCAGTGATTGACTGTGATATCGATCTTAGATATACATGTATCATCAAATTGACCTAATTTGTATACGGAGTGTTTATTATATGATATAAACATTTTGTACATAATAGTTGGTATGAAACTGTTCTAATGGTAGGGTACATATCAGGTCAGCGTATTATCATGCTTTGCGTACAGTTTCTACGGACAAATTGATTTAAGGATTTCGGAAGTAGCCTAATGGTTAAAGCGTTTGGTCTTCACACCGATGACCCTGGTTCGATTCCTCACATTGATACATTGGGAAAAGCCCCTTTCTGTGATCCCATGCTGTGATAGTGCTGTAATGTTGCTTAACGATTTGAAAAATCACATTCACTAAATGGTTCAATGCTCCACCTGGGAGCTGTGTCAGATTAGTGAGTGAGTTTTACGCCACCTTTAGCAATATTCCAGCAATATCACGGCGGAGGACACCAGAAATGGACTTCACACATTGTACCTATGTGGGGAATCGAACCCGGGTCTTCGGCGTGACGAGCCAACGCTTTAACCACCAGGCTACTCCTCTGCCCCTTTGTCAAATTACTTGATCATTACTTTCAGTAGTGTTTAGCTTTTTTGTTTTGAATAATTCTGTCTCATGTGTATCGTTAATATATTTTGTGTCTTCATATTCTTCCAGCTAAACGACGACTACAACGGCGGGGAATTTGTATTTCCTAAATACAAAATAAAGTTAACTCCCAACATTGTGAGTAGGGTAAACGTATACGGTGTCGTTTTGTGAAGGTGTAACATCCAGTGTCATCCATACTGCTATTGGCAGACTACGTTAAGAATAGGGCTGGGACGGGTCCAAATGTTCTACCCGGGTACCCGTTATGTTAATTCCTAACATCAAATTTGCGAGAAATGGCAATATATTCCTCAGCTCGGAGGCTATTATTTCGAGTTTTTCAATATCTTAACCATGTATACACATATTATATTCAAAAGAAGTGAAATTATGTCTAAATCTACCAAGACAATACAACCTTTTAATCATGAAAGAATAACATACAATATCGTTTAATCACGTGATCATATCGGGTCCGGGTATCCGGGTTACCCGTCCCAGCCCTAGTTAAAACTGTAAAGAACCCACGTTGCACTTGATGACTGGAATTAACACAGTTTGTACTGACACGTTCTTACTTTATAGATAGTTCACATTAACACAGTTTGTATTGATATGGTGTTACTGCATAGAAAAGACTATGTTAACACAGTTTGTATTGATATGGTGTTACTGCATAGAAAAGACTATGTTAACACAGTTTGTATTGATATGGTGTTACTGCATAGAAAAGACTATGTTAACACAGTTTGTATTGATATGGTGTTACTGTATAGAAAAGACTATGTTAACACAGTTTGTATTGATATGGTGTTACTGCATAGAAAAGACTATATTAACACAGTTTGTATTGATATGGTGTTACTGCATAGAAAAGACTATGTTAACACAGTTTGTATTGATATGGTGTTACTGCATAGAAAAGACTATGTTAATACAGTTTGTATTGATATGGTGTTACTGCATAGAAAAGACTATGTTAACACAGTTTGTATTGATATGGTGTTACTGCATAGAAAAGACTATGTTAATACAGTTTGTATTGATATGGTGTTACTGCATAGAAAAGACTTTGTTAACACTGTTTGTATTGATATGGTGTTACTGCATAGAAAAGACTATGTTAACACAGTTTGTATTGATATGGTGTTACTGCATAGAAAAGACTATGTTAACACAGTTTGTATTGATATGGTGTTACTGCATAGAAAAGACTATGTTAACACAGTTTGTATTGATATGGTGTTACTGCATAGAAAAGACTATGTTAACACAGTTTGTATTGATATGGTGTTACTGCATAGAAAAGACTATGTTAACACAGTTTGTATTGATATGGTGTTACTGCATAGAAAAGACTATGTTAACACAGTTTGTATTGATATGGTGTTACTGTATAGAAAAGACTATGTTAACACAGTTTGTATTGATATGGTGTTACTGCATAGAAAAGACTGGTTTTAGGTTTTCCTTATAGAAAGCCAGAGTTTACGCAGTTTGTACAGGCAAGGTTTTACAGTATAGAAAGCCACAGTTAATACAGTTTGCATTAACAAGGTTTTACTGTATAGAAAGCCCGAATTAATGGTTACTGTGAAGAAAGCAGTACATTTAACTAGGAAATTCCTGACCTTTGAGAGGTTCCCTGGCTTTGGTGTAGCACCACACCGAATCATATCTGGCATATGTGGTGTCTTTTTAAGCGGGAGACATTGTTAGACATGTGCCTCTTTTCACTTTGCAGTCAATGGGTACCCAGTCGGATGGGATGCTTAAGTCATCTCACCGGCACCATGGCTTTAATATAGTCCTCAGGGAGCCGAGAACGAAACTTGAGTCCGCACTGATCCACTGACTGTAGCGCATCATTATTGTTAACATCCTAAATGCGTTATAATGAAAGTTGTTCGTCATGACATGCATTGTGACACAACGCTAAACTGTGTAATGTTTCCCTGTTACGTCAATGTGATTTACTTGTATAAATGTGATTAATGTTTCTGTTTTAGGGCAATACTATATTCTTCTTCGCGACAAAAAGCACACTGAACATTTGTCCCGTTTCATATGGCGTTCAATGGCGTGAGTAAAATTCTGATTCTTACTTGGAAAGTATAATAATTTTATCTCATTGCGTTTAGAAAACTCTTAATTTTTTTCATTTGCAACAATCACACGTACAATCCAAAATATTTTATCGTACTGAGTTTAAAAAAAACATTTTAGTTTTTTTTAATTTACAAGAATCACATGTACAATCCAAACCTAGATTCTAAATATTAGATGATCGATAATTTTCTTAAATAGTTTTTGCAGTTTCTATCATCAAGTTTTGTGTTGCAGTTGCGGTTCAGTCTCTGTACGAGAGGAAGGTCAAGGGCAGGTGTCGTCTCTATGACAACGACTTGTGGGATAAGAACGGAAAATGGAAATTGGCGTATTAGTTTGGCTTCCTGGCGTCATCATTGCAGAGGGCTTTGCTCAACCTCATGATCACATCAGTCACCCTTTAACACATGTACTCAAAGCCAGTCTCAGTGTAAATGACGGTCCCCACAGTGACTGTTCTTCAGTATATTGTTCATATGTCGAGGAAGTTGAGCCTGTGTTTTATATATATCCCCTGACAAGATGGTTGTGAATGTGTGTGATGAGAGACCAAGTAACGTTATGTGACAAACTGTAGAGAATATGTATAATCCAGCAAAACGATTGCGTTTTAGGAGTCAGTAGTCGCAGAGTTTGTATAGTTCAGAAAGTTTATTTTAAACTATCTTTATATCCGTCTTCAACGAGATACGTTAGAACAGACTAGTTGTGTTCATCTTTAACTGTCTAACCACAACCAAGAACACGTTTTACAATGGTTTCAACGCTTCTCTGAGCGGTGTGTACTTAAAAGGGCCTATCTATTCATTACTACTTACCTCGACCCGTGATAGTTTGTTTCTATATAATCTAAGACCATGCATATCGTCTAGTCTCTCAGCGGACACAATAAAAGACAAGTGAGTGTTAGCTTCGAGGGCAAAATGTAACACAAGTCAGTAATATTTTGGCAGCAAAGTAATGTGGAAAGTTTAACTCTTTCTGCTGATTCTACATGGGTGTTATCATATCTGGACGCCCTGGTCATCATTTGTGTTTGAACTGACGATTTAATATGTGTCCCTTTAGGAACAATGAGTTAAAATGCTCTCATGGTCAATGTGTTTTACAGTATGGAAACGAAAGATGTTTTATTTTAATGCTGTGTATAATTATGATAAATAAAGCTTACTAAAGGTTGATGTGTCGCCTCTCAATAGTGAGCGAGTGAGTTGGGTTTACTACTTCTTGTAATTATATGACAGCGTGTCAGCTTAGTGGGGGGGTGAACGCTAGAAGTGATGCACCTGTCAGACTTTTTCCACTTTGGTGAAACCCACGATATACGGTGCCTTCAGACCAGGAACAAATCGTATTCGAACCCACGACCATAGGTTTCTTTGGCGCCTTATAAACGTCAGCCATATGTCAACACATGTTTACTCTATTTTATCGACATGTCATCTTGCGAGGTTAATACGTGAAAACACGAAGAAAACGATAAAATTAATCTGGATATGTCTCGAAGTTTTAGCTAAACATGGAAAGAAAACCCAAAGGTATCCGAGGAAATTTTAATCACATTAGTGAAAATAACGAACACGGACGGGGATTGAACTGAAAACCTGGCAAGAACCAAATCTAGGCGAATCAATAAATCCTGGCTTGAAAATAAAGAAAATATATGATTTGTTTTTAAACGCCGCACCCAGCAATATTCCGGATATATGGCGGCGTTCTGTAAATAATCGAGTCTGGACCAGACAATCCAGTGATCGACAGCATGCGCATTGATCTGCTCAGTTTGACCGATGACATGTGTCAACCAAGTCAGCGAGCCTGACCACCCGATCCCGTTAGTCGGCTCTTCAGATAATAGAAAGTATTAATAATTAGATCTGTAGACATCTATGATGATAACATCTTACATGATAAATTGGATCTGGTTGAAAAGAACGTAAAAGTCAAAGCGACAGTTACCTGTTTTAAGTGATGCTTCCATAGGTGATTCCGTCTGGGTAACTGATGTCATGAAACCACCAAAGGATGATGACTTGACCAGACAATCCAGTGATCAATAGCATGCGCATCGATCAATTGGGATGAACTTTTATGATGTGACATTCACACTGAGTCACTCGTGTCCCAACCATTATTTTTCTTTCATAATGGACAATACTTTATTTCTTGATATCCATTTGAGATAACAGATGAACCCCTGCGATTTAACCTTTGGGACAAAATAGATATACCATTCACGTAACCTCACCGACAGCCCACAACAAGTTGAGTGGAACACTTTAGAATAGGTGTGAGTCTTTGTGAAGAAGTGTATTTGAAGAACAGTATTTCAAAACAACGACAAAGAACAGGCATATGTGTTGAGTATCAGACGCGAAATCAATTTTTTGAATGAGAGAATTTCTTGGTACTAACAGTCCGCTAACATCCTATAGCAGTTTTCACAGAAGAAGAAGAAGAAGAAAAACAATGGCAATAAAAAACACAAATATTATGTACAGTGTCCGGCCAATATGGCCTATGAGACACGCAGGGCGCCACATACATATAAATAAAAATGAAAAATATCACAGTTCATACATATACATAAACTGAAAGCTATCACAAGTACAAGATCTAAAGTTAGGGGGAGAACATCCTGATACTGAGAAGAAATAAAATGTACACTGAACTAGGTTGGTAGAGGCGAAAGACACAGTTGTCTTCGCTGATACATGCGATATAGTAGCGCGGCTAGGGGTCTAACAAACTTATTATTCCGCATAAAGAATAGTCTGATCGACAGCGGTCATCTGTATGAAGTTCGGAGTTGAAGTTCCATAAATCATAGCGCAAATCTGTATAGAGAGGACATTCAGCAAAAAGTGTATTTCACACAAAGCTGTGACACAGTTCAGGGGTGTTCCTTCATACGACAGTTGTTTACACATGAGGGATTATCTTCGTTCAGGAGCCGACAGGACAACAGACCGCTGTACACAATGGCCGCCAAGGATGGCAACAGGTTGAAGCTGATCGAACATCATGGTCTGTGGCGGGTTGTGTGTGAAATCAATTCAAATGTGATCGCTGACGCCACACAGCTCGTGGTATTATGTTGAGACATCAGGAGATTGACTGAGTGAATAGTGTTGACGCCGGAACATTAACAATCGACACCGCCATTTTGTAGTCACATGACATGTCACGTGCAACTTCTTGATTGTTCACGCCGCGTTTCAGTTTTCAGACACAAACATTTTCTGTAGCATGTGTCTTGTAATTGACTTTTCAGATTTTTAATAGTTACATTTCATAGTTATATTTCGAGAGCTAATGCAGCTGGACATTTACGTTTAAATGGTAAAAATGGTTAATATGACATTAGGCTGCTTTTTAGCAACACCATCAATATCAAAACGTGGAGACAAGAAATCGCCGCCACTCATCGTCTCTTTGTGTTATTTCAGTTATATATCCAATTCAGCTTCTGTGAATAGCTTGGCTTTAACATACAACAGTGTTACATCTTTAGGTCTTCTTTCACTGTGACATACACCTTCAACATTAATTCACATAACACTTGGCAATTTTTAAATCTAATAATTTCTCTAATGTATTTTTTTTTTAAAATGAACGAAAATGCTGATATCATTTGTCCACAGGGGACATCAAATTTTTGAAAATACACGTATTCGATATTTCTGTTGATAAGCCAATAGCAGGTGAGGTTTTAAACAGAAGAGAAATGGTATTGTGTTACCGCACCATAAGCTATAAATAGCGATAGGACTATTGTATAGCCAGTCTAAGTAAATTAAGGCTCAGTATTATTCGTTACACTGCTATCCTTAGTCTAACAAAACCTAGTAGAAGGTCGCGTCAGCTAACCTTTGAGCGACCTATGACCCTCCAATCAAACGCAAGACGGCCGAACGGATTTAACCAATCAGACAACGACTACTTGTTAGGGTTCGGCGGGACTTACAAAACGGTTTTTGGATTTTCTCTTCAAACGAAAATCCGCATAAAACACAGATGTTTGACCTGCAGTATATACGCTTATGGGTTTCTAATGACATGGTTACTATTTGCTTATATTTTCGAAAGATGACATCCTTGAATATTGACAAAAACGCTATTTTCAGCGACTGTTTACTCATTGCGTGTATGACTCGGAAGCGATCGTGCGGAAAATAGCATTCGTTATCGTTCGAGTTTTTGAGTTTAAGGTTCAAACGGTATCTGCGAATGTTAACTTTCGCGATTTGGTAAGCTGTGGTCTAATTGGTCAGTCCAAAAGGTTAGCTGACGCGACCTACCACTAGGTTTTGTTAGACTCAGTATAGCAGTGTAACGAATAATACTGAGCCTAAGTTTACTTAGACTGATTGTATTGCACAAAGCGTAAATAACGATTGACATAATCCACACGTGCGATTTATCAGCTTCACCGGTTGCTCTATTTAGCAATAATATGTTCATTTCTATAGCAAAGACACAGTTTCATGCGTATTTCTTTATTTTCGACAGAATATACAATGTCTATTTGGTAAAAAGTTTGGAATTGGCTCTGCAAATATCTGGGTCATGTTCATTCTCACAAACTGTCTGAAAAAAAATTGCAAATCAGATCAGTTGCGAGTTCAGTCTTAAACAATAATAGCAAAGAAGAAATCATTTAAAACAGTGAGTGAGGTTAGTTTTGCCTCGCAATATTCCAACTATATGACGGCGGTCTGTAAACAATCGAGTCTGGACCAGACAATCTAGTGATCAACAGCATGAGAATCGATCTACGCAGCTGGGATACGATGACATGTATCAACAAAGTCAGCGAGCCTGACCACCCGATCCCGTTAGTCGCCTCTTACAAGCATGAGTTACTGAAGATCAATTTTTACCCGGATCTTCACGGGTACCTTTTAAACAAATATGTAAATGCCTTGCTGTATGCTTACGAACTTGAACACTGCTGTGTCGAACCACGGATAACTCGAAATATTTACGTGGGTCCTTCGACACAACGCTGTTTGACTAAAAGTAAATACAAAATTAGATTATATGACGAACCTCTCATATGCGTATTTGGGTCCGCTCTCGTAGGAACCCTTAGCGTTGGCCAGGTAGGCGATGTTCTCGGTGAGGTCGTACACTGCTACCTGCACGTTGCCTGTCTGGACGATGCTGACGACGTCTCTGATGATGACGCTGGCGTCAAGGTGACCGTAGTTCCGCTGTATCTGCGTGGCCAGGACCTGACTGTAACCAGGGCAAGCCCAGTCCATCCCTGCATACAGCCGTGAATATAGGTGAGAATACAAACAGAAATAGAGGAGAGAATATAGACAGGGATAAAGGCGAGAATATAGCCCCGAACATAGGCAGGAATATAGGAGAAGAATACAACCAGGAATATAGGAGAGATTAGAGGCAGGAATATAGGAGAAGAATACAACCAGGAATATAGGAGCGATTAGAGGCAGGAAATTAGGAGAAGAATACAACCAGGAATATAGGAGAGATTAGAGGCAGGAAATTAGGAGAAGAATACAACCAGGAATATAGGAGAGATTAGAGGCAGGAATATAGGAAGGAATACAACAAGGAATATAGGAGAGATTAGAGGCAGGAATATAGGAGAAGAATACAACCAGGAATATAGGAGAGATTAGAGGCAGGAATATAGGAGAAGAATACAACCAGGAATATAGGAGAGATTAGAGGAAGGAATACAGGAGAAGAATACAAACAGGAATATAGGAGAGATTAGAGGCAGGAATATAGGAGAAGAATACAACCAGGAATATAGGACTGACTGACTGACTGAGTTTAGTTTTACGCCGCTTTTAGCAATATTCCAGCAATATCACGGCGGGGGACACCAGAAATGGGCTTAACACATTGTGCCGATGTGGGGAATCGAACCCGGGCCTTCGCCGTGACGAGCCAACGCTTTAACCACTAGGCTACCCAACCGCCCCAGGAATATAGGAGCGATTAGAGGCAGGAAATTAGGAGAAGAATACAACCAGGAATATAGGAGAGATTAGAGGCAGGAAATTAGGAGAAGAATACAACCAGGAATATAGGAGAGATTAGAGGCAGGAATATAGGAGAAGAATACAACCAGGAATATAGGAGAGATTAGAGGCAAGAATATAGGAGAAGAATACAACCAGGAATATAGGAGAGATTAGAGGCAGGAATATAGGAGAAGAATACAACCAGGGATATAGGAAAGATTAGAGGCAGGAATATAGGCGAGAACAGATGCGAGAATATACTATTAGGCAATGATGCAATTGAGATTACACGCAACACCTATATTGAAATAATATAAGCGACAAAACCCTGCTACATTCATAAGGAGAGTCGATTGTAGAGTTTTTGGACGTTTGACACATGAACAAAACAACTGAAAGGAGATACGGTGCTGACCAAAGAGGTAAAACAATACTTAGTGGAATATGGGACCCGCGACGAGGATTCTGTCACGGCCGTGAGCCAAACAAACAAGACCCAGACAACTAGGCCATCGAAGCCCGCTTGGCCAGCCATGTGTATATCAGGGTTTATATACAGGTATGCAGGTAAGGACGTGTGAGTGAATTTAGTTTTACGCCGCAAGTAGGAATATTTCAGCTATATGGCGGCGGTCTGTAAATAATCGAGTCTGAACCAGACAATCCAGTGATCAACAGCATGAGCATCGATCTGCTCAATTGGAAACCGATGATATCTGTCAGCCAAGTCAGCGAGCCTGACCACCCGATCCCGTTAGTCGCCTCTTACGACATACATGGGTTACTGAAGGCCAATATTCTAACCCGGACCTTCAAGCGGGTTTATGCAGGTAGGAATATAGGCTGGAATGCAGTTACAATAAATGCCGTGTAAAGCTATAGCTAGAGCGATTGATGAATGCAAGAATATAGTAAGGAAAAGCACCAAATCAAACAGATTTAAAGAAAGAGTGAGTGAGTGAGTTGGGTTTTACACCGCTTTTTGCAATATTCCAGCAATATCCCGGCGGGGGACACCAGAAATGGGCTTCACACATTTTACCCATGTGGGGAAACGAACCCGGGTCTTCGGCGTGACAAGCGAACGCTTTAACCACTAGGCTACCCCACCGCTCCTAAAGAAAGAGAATACAGAGGGGAAGAAAATACAATCTGGGCAGGAATAACGCTAGGACTGGGGCTGGAAATATAAACAGCTACACAGACATGAATCCTGCAAGGGGGTATCGTGTCTGGACATTTTGTAACCATAATAGCATGAAGAAAGCTTCATAGGGAGATAAAGAGTTCGCGGTTGAAGTGACCCCTTGTCTCACCCCAGTACACGACATCCTTGATCCGAGGGTGCCATACTGCTAGGGGCTGCAACGTCGCATCGTCGTAGAAGTTGGCGGTGGAGGCAGAGTACTCAACTCCACGGAACGTCTGGCTCTGGAAGCATAGGTACCACGCATATAAAAATAGCACATTAACAGTTGATGGAATGTCAGACTCTTAAAGGATTGGCAAAACGCACAGGTAAACTTTGTAAAACATTAGTAGTTATCGCAATGCCTAGCTCTTGAAGCAGTTGTATATCACACAACATGGGATAGCCTTCTTATGCTGAAGATGTTTTCGATGCCTTGAGTGAGAGAGTGAGGTTAGTTTTACGCCGCGCTCAGCAATATTCCAGCTATTTGGTGGCAGTCTGTAAATAATCGAGTCTGGATCAGACAATCCAGTGATCAACAGTATTAGCATTTATCTACGCAGTTGGGATACGATAACATGTGTCAACCGATTCAGCGAGCCGTTAGTCGCCTCTTAGCACAAGCATGGGTTGCTGAAGACCAATTCTAACCCGTATTTTCTCCACGTTTTTTACGATGCCTTGACAGAATCAGAGGCTCACAAGGTTCCGTATCCATTATTTCGGGAGGAGGAGGCGACTAACGGGATCGGGTGGTCAGACACGCTAACTTGGTGGACACATGTCACCGGTTCCCCAATGCGCAGATCCATGCTCATGCTGTTGATCACTGGATTGTCTGGTCCTGACTCTTTTTTTTACAGACCGTCGCCATATAGCTGGAATATTGCTGGGTGCGGCGTAAAACTAAACTCACTCAGTCACTATTTTGGGATGACCAATTACCTTGCCGTCTCCGACCCCAAGAAGTAAGTCACAGGTCCGTTTGGCATTGGTAATTCTCTGCACTGCTTCATTGAGTGTAGTATCGTACTGTAAGATGTCTCGCAAGATGTTCTGAAGTAAGATACAGGTGAGATCAAGTAACGGAACTTATGTTATATCAAGGCACTCACAAACAAATCATCATCTTAGAGTTGATAGCGGATCTAGAGCGAGCATACCAAACTCAAACATCATGATGTAAAAGTCATGGAATGTAGCTTGTTGTATAAAGATATCATTTGCTGCTATTTGAATTCTACGTCCATCGAATCCAAATTAAAGATCCGATTTCAATGAGTGAGTGAGTTTAGTTTTATGCCGTTTTAGCTCTATTCCAGCAATATCAAGGCGGGGGACACCAGAAATGGGCTTCACACATCGAACCTGGGTCTTCAGCGTAACGAGCGAACGCTTTAAACACTAGGCTACTCCACCGCCTTCTGATTCCATATAGTGTATGAGTTTAGTTTTAGGCCGCACACAGCAATATTCCAGCTATGGGGGTGGTCTGTAAATAATCGAGTATGGACCAGACAATCCAGTGATCAACAGCATGAGCATCGATCTACGCAATTGGGATACGATGACATGTGTCAACCAAGTCAGCGAGCCTGACCACCCGACCCCTTTAGTCGCCTTTACGACAAGAATGGGTTACCGAAGACCAATTCTAACCTGGATCTTCATTGGCAAAACGCACAGGTAAACTTTGTAAAACATTAGTAGTTATCGCAATGCCCTAGCTCTTGAAGCAGTTGTATATCACACAACATGGGATAGCCTTCTTATGCTGAAGATGTTTTCGATGCCTTGAGTGAGAGAGAGTGAGGTTAGTTTTACGCCGCGCTCAGCAATATTCCAGCTATTTGGTGGCAGTCTGTAAATAATCGAGTCTGGATCAGACAATCCAGTGATCAACAGTATTAGCATTTATCTACGCAGTTGGGATACGATAACATGTGTCAACCGATTCAGCGAGCCGTTAGTCGCCTCTTAGCACAAGTATGGGTTGCTGAAGACCAATTCTAACCCGTATTTTCTCCACGTTTTTACGATGCCTTGACAGAATCAGGAGGCTCACAAGGTTCCGTATCCATTATTTCGGGAGGAGGAGGCGACTAACGGGATCGGGTGGTCAGACACGCTAACTTGGTGGACACATGTCACCGGTTCCCCAATGCGCAGATCCATGCTCATGCTGTTGATCACTGGATTGTCTGGTCCCTGACTCTTTACAGACCGTCGCCATATAGCTGGAATATTGCTGAAGTGCGGCGTAAAACTAAACTCACTCAGTCACTATTTTGGGATGACCAATTACCTTGCCGTCTCCGACCCCAAGAAGTAAGTCACAGGTCCGTTTGGCATTGGTAATTCTCTGCACTGCTTCATTGAGTGTAGTATCGTACTGTAAGATGTCTCGCAAGATGTTCTGAAGTAAGATACAGGTGAGATCAAGTAACGGAACTTATGTTATATCAAGGCACTCACAAACAAATCATCATCTTAGAGTTGATAGCGGATCTAGAGCGAGCATACCAAACTCAAACATCATGATGTAAAAGTCATGGAATGTAGCTTGTTGTATAAAGATATCATTTGCTGCTATTTGAATTCTACGTCCATCGAATCCAAATTAAAGATCCGATTTCAATGAGTGAGTGAGTTTAGTTTTATGCCGTTTTAGCTCTATTCCAGCAATATCAAGGCGGGGGACACCAGAAATGGGCTTCACACATCGAACCTGGGTCTTCAGCGTAACGAGCGAACGCTTTAAACACTAGGCTACTCCACCGCCTTCTGATTCCATATAGTGTATGAGTTTAGTTTTAGGCCGCACACAGCAATATTCCAGCTATGGGGGTGGTCTGTAAATAATCGAGTATGGACCAGACAATCCAGTGATCAACAGCATGAGCATCGATCTACGCAATTGGGATACGATGACATGTGTCAACCAAGTCAGCGAGCCTGACCACCCGACCCCTTTAGTCGCCTTTTACGACAAGAATGGGTTACCGAAGACCAATTCTAACCTGGATCTTCACGGGTGATTCCACTGAGATTGTGAAGATAAATGTAAGTCGATTAACGTTTGCTACCGCGGGTGTCAAGCAAGTTATATGCAGCACAAACACAGTATGGGTGAACACAGCACTAACACTGTATGGGTGAACAGAGCACTAACAATGTATGGGTGAACAGAGCACAAACACTGTATGGGTGAACACAGCACAAACACTGTATGGGTGAACAGAGCACAAACACTGTATGGGTGAACAGAGCACTAACACTGTATGGGTGAACAGAGCACAAACACTGTATGGGTGAACAGAGCACAAACACTGTATGGGTGAACAGAGCACAAACACTGTATGGGTGAACAGAGCACAAACAATGTATGGGTGAACAGAGCACAAACAATGTATGGGTGAACAGAGCACAAACACTGTATGGGTGAACACAGCACAAACACTGTATGGGTGAACAGAGCACAAACACTGTATGGGTGAACAGAGCGCAAACAATGTATGGGTGAACACAGCACAAACACTGTATGGGTAAACACAGCACAAACACTGTATGGGTGAACAGAGCACAAACACTGTATGGGTGAACACAGCACAAACACTGTATGGGTGAACAGAGCACAAACACTGTATGGGTGAACAGAGCACAAACACTGTATGGGTGAACACAGCACAAACACTGTATGGGTGAACAGAGCACAAACACTGTATGGGTGAACAGAGCACAAACACTGTATGGGTGAACAGAGCACAAACACTGTATGGGTGAACAGAGCACAAACACTGTATGGGTGAACAGAGCACAAACACTGTATGGGTGAACAGAGCACTAACACTGTATGTGTGAACAGAGCACAAACACTGTATGGGTGAACACAGCACAAACACTGTATGGGTGAACAGAGCACAAACACTGTATGGGTGAACAGAGCACAAACACTGTATGGGTGAACAGAGCACAAACACTGTATGGGTGAACAGAGCACAAACACTGTATGGGTGAACAGAGCACAAACACTGTATGGGTGAACAGAGCACAAACACTGTATGGGTGAACAGAGCACAAACACTGTATGGGTGAACAGGCACAAACACTGTATGGGTGAACAGGCACAAACACTGTATGGGTGAACAGAGCACTAACACTGTATGGGTGAACAGAGCACAAACACTGTATGGGTGAACAGAGCACAAACACTGTATGGGTGAACAGAGCACAAACACTGTATGGGTGAACAGAGCACTAACACTGTATGGGTGAACAGAGCACTAACACTGTATGGGTGAACAGAGCACTAACACTGTATGGGTGAACAGAGCACAAACACTGTATGGGTGAACAGAGCACAAACACTGTATGGGTGAACAGAGCATTGGTTTAGTTAATGTGCCTGTATATAGAGTACCTACAGTGAACGGGATGCCGAATCTTGACTCCTTGCCGAAGCTGGCGTCAGGAAATGATACCCCTATCTCAGATATAGCCATTTTCACCGAGTTCATTCCTGGAAAGTAAACTTGAGCTTTAGAAAATAATCATACTTATTCACAAACTCATCAATTGGGAGAAAATGTTCCTTGTCATGGTGTCTATTTCCAGTCATTCTACGTCTAGACGATGGCAGTCAAGTTTCAAGCGTCATGCTTCAAATGGAACCTTTTGCAATGTGAATAAGATTCTGCTGATTCATTAATCTTCATAGTATTTTGGGTGTTATCAGACTAACGTAGAGTGTCTTACTATATTGAGTGAGTGAGTGAGTATGGTTTTACGCCGCTTTTAGCAATATTCCAGCAATATCACGGCGGGGGACACCAGAAATGGGCTTCACACATTGTACCCATGTGGGGAGTCGAACCCGGGTCTTCGGCGTGACGAGCGGACGCTTTAACCACTAGGCTACCCACCGCCCCTCTTACTATATTGACCCTAACTTAATGGGATAGCTATTTTGCCAGTATCACGACCATAGTTTCGGGACTAGAGGTTTGGTTTGTTGTTTTACGCCGCACTCAGCAATATTCCAGCTATGTGGCGACGGTCTGTAAATAATCGAGTCTGGACCTGACAATCCAGTGATCCACATCATGAGCATCTACTCAATTGGGATAAGATGACACGTGTCAACTAAGTCAGCGAACCTGACCACCCGATTCCGTTAGTTTCGTCTCACAACAAGCATGGTTTACTGAGGATCAATTCTAACACGGATCTTCACGGGACTACAGGGTTGCAGTGCACCATTTCGCAACTGCATTAAGCGATTATTACGATGGTCGTAACTCTTACAATCACCGTATTAAGATCGTGTCGTGATGGTCGTAACTCTTTACAATCACCGATATAATATCGTGTTGTGATGGTCGTAACTCTTTACAATCACCGTTATAAGATCGTGTCGTGATGGTCGTAACTCTTTACAATCACCGTTATAAGATCGTGTCGTGATGGTCGTAACTCTTTACAATCACCGTTATAAGATCGTGTTGTGATGGTCGTAACTCTTTACAATCACCGTTATAAGATCGTCTCGTGATGGTCGTAACTCTTTACAATCACCGTTATAAGATCGTGTCGTGATGGTCGTAACTCTTTACAATCACCGTTATAAGATCGTGTCGTGATGGCCGTAACTCTTTACAATCACCGTTATAAGATCGTGTCGTGTAAGTGGACTAAGGACAATAAATGACAATTGTGCATTAACATTCCATGTTCCAAGTGACATGTGAAATCTAACAATAATTCATCAAAGTTTGGCAATATACACATAGGTCGTTTGGAACGAGAGATTCACCTGTGATAAAACCAATCAAGACTAAAAGATTCACCTTTGATGGAAAGAATCAAGAATAAAAGATTCACCTGTGATAGAAAGAATCAAGACTAACAGATTCACCTGTGATAGAACCAATCAAGAATAAAAGATTCACCTGTGATATAACCAATCTAGACTAAAAGATTCACCTGTGATAGAACCAATCAAGCCTAACAGATTCACCTGTTATAGAACCAATCAAGAATAAAAGACTCACCTGTGATAGAACCAATCAAGAATAAAAGATTCACCTGTGATAGAACCAATCCACCCCGTCCACCCGAAGTTGGCCCAGGGCTGTCCGTATGTGCTGTTGACAGGGTGGTACACGGTCACCTGCGGGAAGTCCTTGAAGGGACCTGTAATACGGGCGTGGTAAGGTGAGTGAGTGAGCTGGGATCAAAGTCGCTTTGCACAGACTTGTAAGCTAGATGTGCGAGGCAAATGCCTCCGACATTAACCTCTTCAGTGAACACTGGCGAGAAAGCTAGAAATATATTACGAGGAATCTTGGATTCGAACCAATGATTACAGGTTCTATACTAGTTGTAGAGGGCTGGGTCATTCGTGCCCAGATTCCATGATGAGTAACCATTGCAAGGTGATGTGTCTAAATACCAGCCCAACTCTCCAGGAATAATCGAAAGTTGAACAGCAGTGGTAGCGAGAGTTTGTAATGTGAAGGCTCGGGTAGCTTGGTGGTTAAAGCGTTGGCTCGTCACGCCGAAGACACGAGTTCGATTCCCTCCTGGGGTGCAACGTGTGAAGCCTATTTCTAGTGTTCCCCGCCGTGATATTGCTGGAATATTGCTACAAGCGGCGTAAAACCATACTCACTCACACAATAATGGGATGAGAAGGACCATGATAGCTGTAGCAATTCAAGCCTTGTCGCCGTGTACAGTCACTATAACTATAGCGATATACACACATTACTGACCATCCACTGCCCAGTCCAGGGCGCGAAGCTGGAGGAGCGATCCATTCCTGGCAAGACTGTTACCCCAGGCGCCTATCATAGAACATGATCCTTTTCTGGAACAATTACGGTATGTTCTGAGCATGCATGGGTAAGATTGATCGGTTTACACACGCAAGTAATATCTCAGTTATATCATGGCAGTCTGTAAATAATCAAGTCTTGGTCAGGTCTTGGTCTGTTTTTGTTAGCAAGAACCAGTGCTGCAACATGATGCAGTTATCAAGTAACTAATTGACTTGTCTTTCCGTGTGTTTATGACAGTAGCACCGGTGGTGGAGGATCCGCTCATCGTTTTGCGAAAACCTGACTACTGCATCATTACTGTAATAATTTGATACCGATTCATTGATACGTGCCTATTACATGTATGTATATAGACGGAATCGTACAGTGGACTATGCCTGGAGCAGGTGCATCTTATGGAAATGGTTTTGTCACTTTTTAATTTTATATATAAATGACTCCTGATAGGACATATGAAGGCCCACATGGGTACAATGTGTTAAGCCCATTTCTGGTGTCCCCCGCCGTGATATTGCTGGAATATTGCTAAAAGCGGCGTAAAACCAAACTCACTCACTCACTCACGTATGAAGGACAACGTTGAATTATATTATATTGAATGAATAACTTCGTTATCCACAATGAAATATATTTTTTACATATGCAAATATTCAAGTAAAGGGTTGATGACATACTCACGTTAGCTCGCCTATCAAATGGATGTACAAAATTTTCTGTAAACAAAAATGATTCTTTAATTTCAGAATTTTATCGACGTTATTCGATCGTTACATTGAAGTTTGTTATAAGTTGATCCTTAAGACAGCATTATGAATGTTCAGGAAATAGATAGATCAACTTCTACTCTATGGCTATGGTATTTCCTACTTTAAGTACAACCTACGATGTACAACTTGTTAAATATAAACTACAAGTCCAACCTTTCCTCACCCCTGTTTATGTAACAACTGGCACTCGCCTTATGAATGTGTCTTGTTGCACAGCCCGCTTCATGACATTTACCTTCGTTACAAAGAACGAACACCTGTCTAATAGCATAGTCAGGCTGCATAGCCAGTCCCATGTCTGACAAGGAGACACCTGCCTTATAGTCTTGTCCCGTGGCATCAGCCAGCCCCCTGACCTCGTCAAAAAACGCTTGCGGTGTGTGCTTCTTCGTCGCTAATAACTCAAGGTCAAGGGCAACGTCCAGACTTGATCAAACCAGAAGGTATACAATATGTTAAAACATAATGAAGCCCAACTGCACAACGCCACAATATCATTAAGTGTTGTGGGTGTGAGAGCGAACGTAAGAGATATGACATAATGATAAAACATATGACATAATGATTGATTTCTTCGCTAAACAGAGATTAACGTCATAACAAACAGACAAAAAAAAACCCAAACACTTTAGCTGACACTGACGGCGTGTTCTGTCTGCCTGTTATGAACGAAGCTTGCTATAGGGTGTATCAGGGAGACTATAAAATGTTGTAGAGTATCCCAGGGTGTATGTACAACGTGATGTGGACAGAAAGAGTACAAGCACACTGAGGTGTAGATCTGAGGGTGAATGTAAAACGTGACGTTGACATAAAACGTCTAAGCAAGTGTTCTGTGTAGATGGGAACTGTAGGATGTAGACCAAACAGTTGTAGGTGCAATAGGGTGTGGCACGAAGGATGTGTGTGTAAAGGACCATGATATACCGGTGCATGTTTTCTAATTGTAAGTTGCAATCTAATCGCTTACCCAAAAGTTGCAACATCGTCCAAGAACCAGTCAAGGAATTTCAGGTTCTTCAATCCTCCTACCTAGTGGAGAAAACAGAGGGCAAGGTCACAACGCTATCACCACATTAATCCTGGATCCGTTACACACATGACCATATCCGTTAACATTATTAGGTATCTAGGTTCAATGTCCTTTAACATTATCACACACCTAAGTACCAAGTCAAGTAGCGCAAAGAATTATTTCTACAGATTCGACAAGTTCTATAATTAATAGAACGTCAACATAAAAGATTAACAAGTTTGGATTATCCGTCGAGAAAAGATCTTTTTGAGAAATGGGTCACAGCCTCAATGTACATAAAAAGTGTTTGTTTTGCCCAACGCCACACAGCAGTATTCCGACGCCATTCGAGGACGGCTAAGTCGTGAACAGAGAATCAAATGACACGACCTCACGTTAACTGATTTTGTTGAAAATAACTACATGTGAAAGGGCTCCAGACCTATTCTTAAGATATGAGTGCTGTCAATACCGTTCAAGCCTTTAAATATACAGCTTACAATCGCAATGCTGACCGCTTAAGGCAAAAAGCTACATGGTTTTCCAAATTGGAATGACTGATGACTCACTATCTGGTCCTCCATGTACTCCCATACTTGCTGAATCATAGACGTCGCTTCGTCCTTGACGATGCTGCCCTGAGCAAACCCCATCTCGTACGGCGTACCTGCATACGTACAGTACGTCATTAGCTGGAGGAAGGGGATCTAATCGAGTCTCTCGCGATGCTAGCCATAGAAATCGAATAAGCTCAGAGTTTGTTGACACTCTTAAAAACGCAATATCTACTTAAGATTAAACTGTGTCAACACAAGCATCGTCATTATTGTATAAACTCTGCATGGTCACTGATATGTTTTTTGAGTGAGTTTAGTTTTACGCCACCTTTAGCAATAGTCCATCAATATCGCGATAGGGGACACAAAAAATGGACTTCACACATTATAATCATGTTGGGAATCGAACCCGGGTCTTCGGCGTGACGACCGAACGCTTTAACTATTAGGCTACCCCGCCGCCAAACACATATATATGGTGTCCCGGAGGGGACATCGCTTTATCGACGGAGGTAAGCCCAGAGAGGCGTCGAAGCGATAACACGAAACTAGAGAGCGTTTCATTGCTTTCTCCTTAAAAGTTCGATAAACCGATGCCCCCTCAACATGATTACCCCTACATGCCTTTTGTGGCAGTGTTGTATATATGTCTGTATTTTACATATTTGTATATATTTGATGCAATGAAATAGTGCATTAACTGTTTACTGTAATGTACAGAATAAAATATACTTAGCTCCTGGTTGATATATCTTTTATTCAACTTTAATATTAGTTAACTGCCTTTGGATAGTTAACTACATTAGGGACCATGCATAATGTATGGCTAGAGGGGGTGATGGTGATATCTATGGAGAAGTATGTACAATGTGAATGACCCCCACCACCCCCCTAAAATTTATGTACAAACTTAGTGACCCCCCTCTGCATGTCATGTACAAAATCAATGACCCCCCTCCACATTCCCATGTTTTGTAAGCCTAATTTTTAAATATTTTTATGTACAAACTTGATTACCCCCCCTAGTACACGTGTACAAAATTGATGACCCCCCCTACCTCCCCAGAACAAAATGGGTGATCCCCCCTTAAAATCATCATCACCCCACTAGCCATAACAATGAACGGTCCCTTATACCACGACATCCGTTTGAATGAGATGTGTGATTATATATGAATGTAGATATGGATAGCGATTGTGATGTACCCTTATATACGCATGTGTGTGTGTGTATATATATATATATATATATATATATATACACACACACACAAACAAATATATATATATATATATATTGCTATGTATATGTTTCAGGGCGTTTTGTTCTGACTCTGGCTCCTCAAATAAATCCTTGAAAACTCAAACACGACCTGTGTGTTATTCCTGAACAACCCCGGTTATACTCTGAAGCTCCAAGTACCGTCGAGCTCACATGCTACCAGATTACAACCATCTCTAAATGGTATACAGCTGTACATCTAGTTGTGTGTTACACCTACCATACACATGGAGGATGTAGTATGAGTCTTCCCCAGTCCCTACAGTGAACAGCTTGGCGTTCTTGATCGTCCTGACCAGGAGGGGTGGCCGTGTCTCCACTGGGAGGAGGTTGGGGACGGCGCTGGGAGAGGGCTTTTGGGATGAAATACAGTCATTGTTGGTCACGATATGGATGAATCTGACGGCTGATACGATCGGATATGCAATTTGATTGCATTCCTGCTCAGGCATCGAACTCTCTAAAGATCCTAAAACCTGACTCTGTTCCGGCAGCATTTGGTTACATGATCTGTCCGATCACAAACACCTTGTATATGGCTCAGTCTGGTATTCCGAGAGAATCTACACTGGTACACTTACTTCGAGAGCATCCAGCCAGACATCAGACGTGAATAAATTCAACTGAAATAATTTCGAACTAAAGAAGTAGCAAAGTTAACCCCAACCGAACCGCAGTCCACATTCACGATTGTAATTAAACATTATTAAAAACAAAGCAATGCCAAAACACAAGCGCATGGATGTCATATCTCCATGGAAACACGCTCGCTGCCAGTATAAACTGACCCAGTTCAATGTGACGTGAAGTCTACACGTCCTACATGCTATTATATAGCTACCTGTGGGTTTACTACTTGTGCTTATCTGTCTGTGATTGCACTGAAATACTTGTGAACATCAGAGGTAATCACTGTCTGCCATACAGACCTTGCAACAAACATATCCAGCACAGCCCATGCAAATCTAGAATGTGTGGCAAGTCTAGATTATAACAGTTTCAGGTCTGAAAATACAGAAAGTCTCTGGGGTCCTTTCAATACTTTAAGACTTCGTCTTGAATATGTTCATTTCAGAGACTTGATGTTAGTCTAAGGTTATCAGTGTTTCAGAGAATAGATTGGGTGCTGAAAGGTGATGAAAAAGACCATTACTGGTTCGTCAACGTGTTTTCATTTACAATTTCACATTAAGACTCATATTTACATCTATAAATGTATTACTGGTTCGTCAACGTGTTTTCATTTACAATTTCACATTAAGACTCATATTTACATCTATAAATGTATTACTGGTTCGTCAACGTGTTTTCATTTACAATTTCACATTAAGACTCATATTTACATCTATAAATGTATTACTGGTTCGTCAACGTGTTTTCATTTACAAATTCACATTAAGACTCATATTTACATCTATAAATGTATTACTGGTTCGTCAACGTGTTTTCATTTACAATTTCACATTAAGACTCATATTTACATCTATAAATGTATAAGTAGTTTAAGTCTCAAAGCCAAATTTTTTAATTTTTAAGATTACAAAGGAACTACCGTTTACATGAAGTCACCAAGTAATGTTTTCTCAGGTTCGTTTATTCGCCAAAGGTCACACATGCTGTTTATTTTACTGACTTGCCAAAGGGAATCAGTTTGCTCGGGTGACATAAAATCACTGTGGCGGAATTCCTTCAATGTCAGTCAGTCTATCCTATGCACATGCGATGATGTTACAAGCCTGATTAGTTCACATTGTTCCTCGAAGGCATGCAGGTATACTGTCATGAAAGTTCTGTTCTTTGTCTGTCATTTGTGAAGAAATATTTGAATGTTTGTTTTTCTAATCAAATCGATTTGATGGTTCCAGGGTGATTTTGACAGTCTGCACAGTTGGAGAACTGGCACTTCCAAAGGCCTAAACATTCTTATCATCACATTTCTATATGAACGTTCCCCAGGACTGATTGAGTGAGTGTATAATAGTGCTCCATTATTATCATAGTGTATCAGTTCAACGCATGAGGAAAGCCCGAAGCTAAAGATCTGAGGAGCATGTACACTACTTGACCGAACCCCACGTGCACGACTATGGTGCTGACAATCCAAATCATTGGTGCGAACCTGGATTCGAACCCAAGGTCGTAGGTTCCTGCGTCCCAAGAGACCCAACTCTGCACAGTTTATTATGGTAATAAACGATAGGACACCAATAACATGTCGGTTGACCATTCAAAGTGTTTTCGTGAGTTGTATTTCAACCGATTTACTAGCAGTTATCAACAACCAAGTTTATAGGTTAGACAGCTGTTTATCATTTTGCCAGGCAAAACTCGTCACGTTTTGAGTACACATGATCTAAGAAGTATGTACTCCTTCGGTACAGTTTGAATTCGTCAATTCGTCAATTCGTACCCGTGAAGATCGGGGTTAGAATTGATCTTCAGTAACCCATGCTTGTCGTAAGAGGTGACTATCGGGATCGGGTGGTCAGGCTTACAGACTTGGTTGACACAATGTCGTCGTATCCCAATTGCGTAGATCGATGCTCATGCTGTTGATCACTGGATTGTCTGGTCCAGACTCGATTAATTACATACCATATAGCTGGAAATTGCCGCTTGCGGCGTAAAATAAACTCAGTCAATTCGTCAAGCTGTTGTAGTTACGTGATTGACCGGGATTCACGATCGACAAACAGCTCACAGTGGTATTTGATTTGGTTTCGATCATTGTTATGTAACACTATACATTTTCACTATACATTACATCTTGCAGACTATGAATATAAATTTCTTCATCTTCTCGTCACTCACTAGTTGTCGATGATAATTTGAGGGAAACAGCTGCAGTCAGCCGTAGGATTTCACTTTTGTGTGCTGAGGTTAAAAGGGTTTCACCATCGCGTCTATGATTTGTTTCACAAACATATAGCGACGTGCTTGTACGTACGTGGGTGGATGCTTGTACTTGTCTGGTGTGAGTGAGTGAGTTTGGTTTTATGCCGCCTTTAGCAATATTCCAACAATACCACTGCGGGGGACACCAGAAATGGGCTCCACACTTTGTACCCATTTTGGGAATCGAACCAGGGTCTTCGGCGTGACAAGCGGACGCTGTAACCACTAGGCTACCCCACCACCAGTACTAGTATGGACATTAGTGCCAGACCGTTGATATATCACGCTGTATATTTTAACGTGAATGGGATAATCAAGACAGAGTAGTCGGAGGTTATTGTTTTATCTCCGTACTGCCGAACATAGGCATGGCAACAACAAATACCATATTATAATGTCTTTTGTCATGACACAGACAGAGGAATCGAACCACCAAGCTCCCGCTCCCCGACAGTCCATTGTATTAAAAGTAAAATTAAGGCAGGGTTCACTCAGTGCCAATATTTACAAACTCCATTCACAGTGCCAGAAACAAATGCCTGCAGACTAAGGGATCTTCTGGTCAGACTCGCTGACTTGGTTAAAATATGTCATCGTATCCTAATTGCGCAGACTGACGCGCACGATGTGATTTAAATTACTGGGTATAGATCGTCCAGACCAGATTCTTTTAACAGACCAGTGTCATAGAACTGGAACACAAACAAACATATAAAAACAACCAAAGACACATTGTGTCTGGTACTGACCGAGCCATCGCACTCCGCCGTCTCAGTGTTGGAGAAGCAGGAGACCACAGTCAGGAAGATGAGATACACTCGCATCTCGGTCACATCAAGTGTCAAACAAACCGAGTAGTAGTATTTCCGTTAAAGTCTCAAGTGTCACAGAAGTCGTGTCAACTCACCTCATTCTTCTCGTGTGAAGATCAGCAGGTGACAGATATGATTATTGAACTTATACAACTATGACGTGAGGACGTTACAGCTCAAGGTCGAATAGGTGGAAAGTCTTTGGCCATTTTAGTCTACCCTCAATACTGTTTGTCTCCAAATATTCCATTATATTTCGGCATTATTTACTTCTATAAGTGGACAGGGAAGATCCGGGTTAGAAATAGTCCTCAGCAACCCATGCTTGTCGTAAGAGGTGACTTACAGGATCGTGGTCAGGTTCGCTGACTTGGTTGACACGTCATCGGTTCCAAATTGCGTAGATCGATGTTCATGCTGTTGATCACTGGATTGTCTGGTTCCGACTCGATTATTTACATACCGCGGCCATATTGCTGGAATATTGCTGAGTGCGACGTTAAACAATAATCAAACCAAAACTTCATTAAGTATCTTTGACTCAGAGAATAAATTACTAAAGGAGTTCAACTTAAGAGTCTAGAAAGACGTCAAGACGGTCTAAAATTAAGAATTACTATTTTCCTTGGGATATGCAATAGCCTTAGTCACGGTTGATGGGTGGTGGAAGTCTTTTGATGAGGATGACTTCTTGGACATCCTGAGTATAAAATGAAATCTTTGATTAAGTGGAAGTGGATGCTGTGGAATGGTCTGATAGAGTGAGTGAGTTGGGTTTTACCCCCGCTTTTAGCAATATTCCAGCAATATCACGGCGAGGGACACCAGAAATGGTCTTCACACATTGTACTCTTGTGGGGAATCGAACCCGGGTCTTCCGAGTGACTGCGTGACGTGCGAACGCTTTAACCACTAGGCTACCCCACCGCTCCGGTCAGATAGAGCTGACTCAGAGTCTAGTTTTGAAACTGAGCTGTGTTGTTCTTTAATTCGGGTTTTGTGGGGTTTTGATGTTTCACAATCTAAACGTGTCCAATTTTATACGGAATATGGTATACTGTTCGTTGTGCATGTATTTGATACTTCAAAACAAATATTTTCCTTACTTCCAACCAGCACGTTTTGTATAATTATCAAATTGCCGCATTTTTGTAAACTTTAACACATCTTCCTCACTTAAAAAATGTATGTTGTACTGGCATATATTAAAGGTACAAAGCATACATATTTCACAATTAATTCACCACTCTTTGTACACGAAATCAGCATATACTCCATACTTCAAAACAAACATCTTTAATACTTCAAGCTGGCATGTTTTTTTATGTAAGATTACCATATACTGATAATTCAAAACATGCATCTTACTCAATTCAAGCCACCATGCCGTGTATGCTTACTTGACTTACATAGGATTCTTCAAATCATACATCTTTCATAGTTGATATTTGCACATACAATATATGGTGTCTTCATGTAGGAATGGAGGCGTAGCCTGGTGGTTACAGCATTCGCTTGTAACGACTGTAGGAATGACATTAATGAACACCTGGCAGTTTCCTCCATACCTACAGGTTTTCAGCTTGACCTGAGCTACTCTACATATGCATGACCCGAGAGGTCAATGGCACAAACGGCTGGTTGAGTTAACTTCATTAAATAGGGGAGGAGAGACTGTTGTTATTGTTGCGTTCGTGCGAAACATGCATACATGGATTCGTTACAGAACTTGTCCCGCAAAACAACACTTCTGAAAAAACAATTCAATTAAAACATGAATTGTTTTTACAGTCATATGCTATCTAGTTTGGTTTACAAACTTAACGATGTAAAGTCAGTTACTTTCAGAATCCAATTCACTCTCGCTATAAATCTCTCCACCTAGTTCAATTATCATTTTTTTCTATCGACCTTGTCTCGGCTGTTCGGACATGTTGACAATCTGCTGACAAAGGCGCACCCCTTCACAGTAATAGACTCAACCAGTTGTGACACGGTCAGGCAATGCATTAGTATTCACTTGATCAGTTCAAGCTGAACAACCTGTAGTTGCAGATGATGCTAAAAAATGTCTGTATCCAGGGTAACCAATGTTCCTGATGTTAAGATAGTTCTTAATATTTCAACAGTTGAAACTGAATTAAACCAGTTAGATTTTACAGTTTTATGTATTTATAACTGGTTGATAAGCATGCAGTTCCAAACACCCTATCTGACAATAGAACAATACTATAGCAGGAAATACACATCCAGTTTTAAATGAGTTCAAACAAGAATCTAAGTTTTTGTCTTTATTTTTTTGGTAGAAAATATTTTAATATCCCGACTTTTATCATAATGTATTTGCTCCACGTGAAAGTGGCCCTCCAGGAGGGTGAGGAAGTTTAGGTCTCTGTCGTATCTGATGCGACATGACAGGAGAACAGATGTGTCCTCTCTCGCTGTGTGGATCAGTGTGGTCAGCAACGCCTGGAACGTGTCCTCAATGTAGATGATATCAGCCCCGAGGATGATATCATACTGTGGGTGAGCTGACAAGTCGGTTGTCCAGTCAAGTTCCTTCACTGTGATACTGCCTGGGCAGCTGTCCACTCTGTTGGTGTCCACTGTCTTGCTGAGATTAGGCATCGCTTCCCTCCTCTCTGTCACAGTCACATGACCACCTGAATCCATTAGTGAGTGAGTTGGGTTGAAAGCCACTTTGGAAAGTGAGTGAGTGAGTGAGTGAGTGAGTGAGTAAGTTTGGTTTTACACCGCTTTTAGCAATATTTCAGCTACATCACGGTGGGGGACACCAGGAATGGGCTTCACACATTGTACCCATGTGGGGAGTCGAACCCGGGTCTTTGGCGTGACGAGCCAACGCTTTACCCACTAGGCTACCCCACCGCCCCTTTGGAAAGTATTTAGATTTATTACACTGTATCGGCTTCAGCATAAACACAGGCATGATATACATAAAGCCTGTGAGTGAGTGAAAGTTGCATGAAATGGAAATCATAATATCGAGAAAAGACAATTTCCCTGATTTAAACCATACTGTTTTCTTCACTAACTCTACTTTACCTAGATATGATACCACAGTGCCGACCAGGCCTGTCCCTGCCCCAAGCTCCACCTTACCTAGATATGATACCACAATGCTGATCAGGCCTGTCCCTGCCCCCACCTCCATCTTACCTAGATGATACCACAATGCTCCACCTTACCTAGATACAAGGCCACAATGCCGACAAGGCCTGTCCCTGCCCCTAGCTCCACCTTACCTAGATATGATACCACAATGCTCCACCTTACCTAGATACAAGGCCACAATGCCAACAAGGCCTGTCCCTGCCCCTAGCTCCACCTTACCTAGATACGAGGCCACAATGCTGATCAGGCCTGTCCCTGCCCCCACCTCAACCTTACCTAGATACAAGGCCACAATGCCGACAAGGCCTGTCCCTGCCCCAAACTCCACCTTACCTAGATACGAGGCCACAATGCTGCCCCAAACTCCACCTTACCTAGATACGAGGCCACAATGCTGATCAGGCCTGTCCCTGCCCCCACCTCCACCTTACCTAGATATGATACCACAATGCTCCACCTTACCTAGATACAAGGCCTGTCCCTGCCCCTAGCTCCACCTTACCTAGATCACGATGTCGACCAGGCCTGTCCCTGCCCCCACCTCCACCTTACCTAGATATGATACCACAATGCTCCACCTTACCTAGATACAAGGCCACAATGCCGACAAGGCCTGTCCCTGCCCCTAGCTCCACCTTACCTAGAAACGATGCCACAATGCCGACCAGGCCTGTCCCTGCCCCTAGCTCCACCTTACCTAGAAACGAGGCCACAATGCCGACAAGGCCTGTCCCTGCCCCTAGCTCCACCTTACCTAGAAACGATGCCACAATGCCGACCAGGCCTGTCCCTGCCCCTAGCTCCACCTTACCTAGATACGAGGCCACAATGCCGACCAGGCCTGTCCCTGCCCCAAGCTCCACCACCTGCTTCTGTCTGACAACTTCTGGGTGCAGTTCCAGGTACTCACACAGGACGATGGCCTGCCAACATTCAGAGAAAACATCCCTATAAACACAGAAGTTATTTGTAACAAAGAGATTTCTTTTTCTTTTTATAAAGTGACATTTACTTTATCAGTCTTACTATTGACCTTGCCCCTGGTCTCATTAACAGCCTCACCTAATGGTCTTACTATTGACCTTGCTCCTGGTCTTACAAATGACCTTGCTCCTGGTCTTACTATTGACCTTGCTCCTGGTCTTACAAATGACCTTACTCCTGGTCTTACTATAGACCTTGCTCCTGGTCTTACTATTGACCTTACTCCTGGCCTTACTATAGACCTTGCTCCTGGTCTTACTATTAACCTTGCTCCTGGTCTTACAAATGACCTTGCTCCTGGTCTTACTATTGACCTCGCTCCTGGTCTTACAAATGACCTTGCTCCTGGTCTTACTATAGACCTTGCTTCTGGTCTTACAAATGACCTCGCTCCTGGTTTTACTATTGACCTTGCTCCTGGTCTTACAAATGACCTTGCTCCTGGTCTTACTATAGACTTTGCTCCTGGTCTTACTATTGGCCTCAATGATGGCCACGGTAGTAGCCTCACTACTGGTCTTACTATTGACCTTGCTCCTGGTCTTACTATAGTGTTCCTACTGGTCTTACTACTGCTCTTTCTAGCGTTTCTACTGGTCTTACAACTGCTCTTTCTAGTGTTTTTACTGGTCTTTCTACTGCTCTTTCTAGTGTTTCTACTGGTCTTACTACTGCTCTTTCTAGTGTTTCTACTGGTCTTACTACTGCTCTTTCTAGTGTTTCTACTGGTCTTACAACTGCTCTTTCTAGTGTTTCTACTGGTCTTACTACTGCTCTTTCTAGTGTTTCTACTGGTCTTACAACTGCTCTTTCGACTGGTCTTACTACTGCTCTTTCTAGTGTTTCTACTGGTCTTACAACTGCTCTTTCTAGTGTTTCTACTGGTCTTACTACTGCTCTTTCTAGTGTTTCTACTGGTCTTACAACTGCTCTTTCGACTGGTCTTACTACTGCTCTTTCTAGTGTTTCTACTGGTCTTACAACTGCTCTTTCTAGTGTTTCTACTGGTCTTACAACTGCTCTTTCTAGTGTTTCTACTGGTCTTACTACTGCTCTTTCTAGTGTTTCTACTGGTCTTACGACAGCTCTTTCTACTGGTCTTACTACTGCTCTTTCTAGTGTTTCTACTGGTCTTACTACTGCTCTTTCGACTCGTCTTACAACTGCTCTTTCTAGTGTTTCTACTGGTCTTACTACTGCTCTTTCTAGTGTTTCTACTGGTCTTACTACTGCTCTTTCTAGTGTTTCTACTGGTCTTACAACTGCTCTTTCTAGTGTTTCTTCTGGTCTTACAACTGCTCTTTCTAGTGTTTCTACTGGTCTTACTACTGCTCTTTCTAGTGTTTCTACTGGTCTTAATACTGCTCTTTCTAGTGTTTCTACTGCTCTTTCTAGTGTTTCTACTGGTCTTACAACTGCTCTTTCTAGTGTTTCTACTGGTCTTACTACTCACTGCATCCCAGACCACTGCAGCCACCCCGAGGCTCCCCCAGTCCTGCTGGATGTGGATGTCCTGTCCCCCCAGGTGGAAGTCCCGTGTGGGTCGATGGTGAGGTAGCAGCTGGCCCTCTGTGTAGGGAACCACCGCTAGTGCTGTGACTGGGAGAGAACAACGGGGTACAGTTACTCACCACATACAAACACATGTTACAGGTTGTGGTAACAATAGGTTACAAAGATAGCTGATCTAAGTCACTGATGATTTCAGATACATATGCAAAGATAATGATTATAATTTAATGAAGACATCATTTACAGAAATGCTGACAAATAATGTCCAAATTAATGTAACTAGTTCCATATTTCAGCATCTAGAAAAACAGGTGGTGCTTTCAGTCCTAAACAACTTTGAACATGCCATCTTGAAACCCTCATATAATCCCCAATACATTGTATGAGTTAGTGACATTGCTACTTTGAATATGAAATTTGAGGTTTGTCAGTCAGATCTATTGATGGGATTAAGATTATGACAGATTTCTGGACTGACTGAAAACTGACCATGAAGAGAAAAGAAAAAATCATGATTCAGTATTTTATTACTGAATCTTTCAAGCAAATAAGTACAGGCAAAATAGCAAATCTCCTAAAGGTTTTTCACAATGTACTATACACTGCTACACATCTACGAACACAACTAATTCAAACAGAATCCTGTAGGTATCCCGGGAACTAGTAGAAATGCAGGCTATAAAGGTAGTATCTTTTCATGTCACCCCTTTTGGGGCTAGTATTTGTAAAACTTTCAGGTCAATTTCCTCCACCATTTGTTGCAGTTGAACAACTCTAGTCAGTTTAATGTGGGAAGACTAAAGATCCACAGATTATATGTGTTTACAACACTGGTGAAACTCTTGTGAATTTGTCCATGCTACACGGTTTTGGATAGGTTGGGAGACCCCGGGTTTAAAGATCTGATGCTAGTGATGGCACTCTGTTATGCCTTGAGTTAAAGGTAATTATGAAATAAATAAAGATATGAAATAGACAACATTAATCGTTTGACACTTTTTGTTGCTATTTTGACCAATAAGTATGTGTCTGTTTAACTATAGCTATATGATAGGCCCCTCTATTTAACGGGTGTAGGTGAATTCGTAGACCAGACTGGTTCATAAACGTGGAAATCCGGTGAATTCGTATGCGGATTGAGCGGTGGATTCGTAGATGTTAGTAAAATGGGGAAAGTGATGATGATCAATGATGATGAAAATCGATAATATGATACACCCAAGTGTTTGCATTTTGTGAAATAAATAAAATATATTAGGTAAGTATGATAGGTGATGAAACTATAATATGCTTCACAGCGGGCCGGGTCCGACAAATTCTATGGGACGACTTCCAGGCCGCTGATATATTAAATTGAGTATGGTGAAATGAAAAAAAAATATATATATTAGGTAAGTATCGTCAGTGACGAAAAAAAATATTCAACGTTCAACTACGCAGACCAGCAGAGAAGTAGCAACAGAGAAGAAGGATAAGGTGGGTCACCGGCAAAGTAATTAAGAAAACACTTCAGTATACACACAGTATTTCGCAATCAAAACAACTCACCACTTCCTAATTAACATTCACAACATCTCAGAGAAAGTTGAAACCTGTTAATCCACATTCACAACAACTCAGTGAAACCTTTTAATCCACCCACAATGAAAACAATTTCATTATTTTCTTCTTGTTGAGAAATTATGATGAGTAGACTAATGTTGTCTGATCCGCCGACAAAGTTTACGTGTACAAACACTTATGGTATATAAACCTCAAGAAGGTAAAAGAAAACATTCAGCATCAACCATGGCTCTATGAGTTGTATGTGTGAAAGAAGTGCGTCCTAGACAGCATGCCACCCTTTGAGACACAGGAATCGACATCGCTACCTACCACCAGATGACGAAAGGGCACCTGCAGATGGATTTCACCTGTAAGAGATGTTCACTACCCCCGCCGTCTCCGACTCTTCCTCTGTCCCCGACCCTGCCGCTCTCGCCACCAAAGTTGTCAAACACTACATCTCCTACATCGCCCGTGGACTCATCCTTCGACCTCACTGCCGCCACCAACCATCAACGCTCCAGAGGATGTATTCTAGGAGTGAGTTACATTAATTTCATTATCTATTCATTTAATTTCAGTGAGTGAGATAAAGATAATTAATATAATTACATTTAATTTCATGATTTTATTTATTATTTCAGTTCTATCGCTGACCCAGACCCCCAACCCCTGCCCGACGACCATCAGCCTCAGCCCGAAGTGGAATATTCTCCCGACCGGCCGCAAGCGTGGCAAACCACTTTTAGTGGACAACCACGGATTTTCCTACACCATCCAGGTAATGAATCATGAATAATGAATATAGTCCTACGTATTTGATTACTTGTTTGATATTATTTAACTATGTAGACATTGTTGAAGATGAAACATGAGTATAATGTAGGAATTTCTTCATTTTAGAAGAAATTCAACTGAACCATATCAGAAACTAAGAATAAAGAGATTCTCACACAGCGATACCCGGAAACAACCACTCTGAGTCACATCATACAATTGTATTACAAATAAACTATCAGGGGAATTATTAAATTCGAAATTTGTTGATCAATACCCGATTCAGATGGCAGTTCCATTTCGTGACAGTCCTGGGTAAACTTGTTGCAGTAGCTCGTACTTTCATCAGCAATTACATTATATACAGTGACTGAGATACAACAAAATATCACAAACAGCATTTCACATGAGTCACATCGCGGCATGTAATATTTCCCCAACGATCCAGCTAACCAAAATCAAGCACGTGTTCATGGCGCGTTTTGTTTACACCGGAAATAGGAAGTTGCCATGAGTGTTATGCCCCTAACGACTATTAGAGTTATTTACTTATAAATTTAAATCTTTACATTAATCCAGCAATTATTTGGTGAGAATATATACATATATATGAAAAGTTTTACCAATTAAAATGTTAAATCCTGAGATTTTATTGTAATGCTATCACAGTTAGTTTGGGGGCTATATTCATATATAGTTTGTTTGAACCATATAGTTTCTGACCAAGTCTCGCTGACTCTCGTGATGTCTGTAACTATGGGGATGTGTACAAGTATGGTTGTTGTACAATGTCAGTGTAAATAATTCAACAGTCGCATCCACAGTTTTACAGACACATCCATATTTTCAAGATGACGATGAACCAGAAAATCAATGAATGTGGTGAGTAGATGTGATTGGTAATCAGTAATTAGTGAAGTTTCACGATAAGCCTTTGCTAGCTTGTGCCCAAATAACTCGATAAGGACAATGTAAGGTGACAGAATCTGAAAACAGCGTTCTGCGTTTAGGGTTAAGTAATCATTATCAACGGTCCATAGGGTTCTGTCCATTGGTTATAAGCAACTTTTCAATCATGGTTTTATGTCTGTTATGTCTTTTAAGTGGTTACAGTTTATTAATGTAGCCCGCATGCATTTGAACGGACACTTTTAAATAGAGTCTTGAAAAAGGGTGCCAGTCAAATCGCCCCAGCTTCAAAACGCCCCCGGCAATTTGGACAAAATACCCCAGGTTTGGTCAAATTGGCACAGGGGGGTAGTCAAAATGCCCCAATTTATTTAAAATGATTAAATATATACCTTAAATGCATAGCTTTTGTCAAGTTTCATATATAGTAATATTTCTTATAAATTTTCTATTAGTATACCGGGTACTGATAAGAGCAAAAGTAATATTCATGTATAGACAACACTGTAATACCAATATTTGCATGTTATTAATGCTTTTGTAAAGAATTACAAGAATAAAATGAAATGTTTGCATAAAATGTTTATTGGCTGTAAATACATAGTTTTTGTCAGCAAGCATGGTATAATACTTATCAAAACAATCTAGAGCTTTTTGTTGATTAATCTTGTCAAAAAGTGTGGATAAAAACAGGCTATTAAAACATGTTCAGTAATTGAATGACGTGTTTAGTTAAAGGAAATGTTGAGGCACTGCTGAACTGGAGCAGCTTGAATGTATGAGCATTTCAGGCTATAAAAACTTGTTCACTAATTGACCATCAATGCTATGGTATGTTGAGGAAGAGCAGTGTGAACATGAGCCTTTCAACTCCTTGTATAAATTGATTTTGGACCAAGGGTAAGTCATTCGCTTCTTCCAACTGACAAGATGACCATCAACTGCAGGAAATGTGTTTTGGTAGTAAGTGAAGGCCAAGAGACAATCTTGTGGGGCAACTGTGAAGGCCATACAGACGAAAGTTATAAGACATGTGATTTCCTGTATGAGGATTATAATGTCCCAGTTGACAAATCTCTAGATTGTTTTGATAAATATTATACCATACTTGTTATGATTACACAATGTCATTTGTTGACCAAACACTATGCGTTTACAGCCAATAAACATATTATACAAACCTTTCATTTTATTCTTGTAATTCTTTACCAAATAATTGGTATTACAGTGTTGTCTATACATGAATATTACTTTTGCTCTTATCAGTATACTAACAGAAAATGTATCAGAAATATTACTATATAATATTATATGAAGTATATGATATGAAAGCATATATTTAATCATTTTAAATACATTGGGGTGTTTTGACTACCCCCTAGGGCAATTTGACCAAATCTGGGGCATTTTGACCAAAATCTGGGACATTTTGACCAAATTGGCTGGGGCGTTTTGTAGCTGGGGCGATTTGAATGGCACCGCTTGAAAAATAGGGCGATAAAGGTATAAGTAAGCTTGCATTTGCATGATTGAATTTGGTTATACTGGGAAACTGAAAATAAAAGCAAAACATAATTGTGGATTTTCTGCGAATAGGATCCCCAGTTAGATATGAATGGGCCCTGAGTCACAGCATTACTGCCTCAGCAGTGTACCAACCAACAACAAATTTGTTGGGAGGAGGGTACTGGAGGCAGTCATGAATTTTACGTGAACATTTGTCACCTTATGGCAAGGGCTCACAAGTTCTTCTTTGGCTTCCATGATGCTTCACTATCATGAAAGTTACTCGCCCACAAAATAATTCACTAGCCCGAAATTTGAATGTAGAAACTAAGCAAAAGATTACACAAAGGTATGCTGCTAAAATGATGAACATTTTTATCAGGCCATCATCTTGCATGATTTAAAAGTGTATGATAAGTCAGAGATAGTTATTTATTTACAAAATGACCCCATGAAAATTCACTAGCCAGTGACTGTGGAGATTTACTGACCCGACTGGTTTTTAACTAACCATGGGCTAGTGGGCCAGTGTCTATTTTGCACACTGAGTTTGACTAAAATAATAGTTTCAGATATATTCAGTGCAAGTTAAGTTGTGACCTTTCTATCATTGGAAGTTAAGTTCTGATCAAATTATGTTACCCATATCAGCAGTAGATTTGGACGAAACTTGTACATAGCTGATTGCTTTTTTGCGCTACACATTTCCTAACATTCATATATATCGTTTATGTCATTTCAGGCTGGTTTTATCATGCACCATTAAAACGCAAGGAAGGGGTTGAGCCAGTTGAAGTTCCTATAACCTCCCAGATTCCAGGTCTCAGTGACCTCCCGCCAGAGTTTGATGATAAACCACGTGAAATGTACTACAAGGACACAGATACAAAGTACATCAGACTTGCAAAACAAGGAGGCAGAAAAGGTGGGTGTGCAACATGCAGGTGATGTGATGCATTCATGATATGAGTGGGATGCAGGTGCTGTGACAGGGTTGGGATGCAGCATGAATGTGTTTATGTATTCTTGTCAGGGATGGGATGCAGTATGAATGTGTTGTGGATGTCTTCTTGTCAGGGATGATCCAGGGATGCAGTATGAACATGTTGCGGATGTATGCTTGTCAGGGATGGGATGCAGTATGAACATGTTGTGGATGTATTCTTGTCAGGGATGGGATGCAGTATGAATGTGTTGTGGATGTCTTCTTGTCGGGGATGGGATGCATTTTTGACGTGTTGAGGATGCATTCCTGACCTGGGTGGGATGCAACATGCAGGTGTGAATGTATTGAGGGTGTTGTCAATGTATTCATGACAGGGATAACACAGGGGATGCAGTATTAATAACATTCTGTATTAGATGTATTCAGAAAAGGGTTGACACCGATGTTGCTTGGAACTTTTGTGGATGTGTTCAAGATGTGTGGGATGGAACATGCAGTTGTAATGTATTCATGAGGTGAGGTGAAAGTGGGTTTTACATCGTGCTTGAGAATATTTCGCTCATATGACGATGTGCATGCATGTGTATGTGTATGTGCAGCTGCTTGTACTAGCCCAGACTTAAGCTGGTTTTATAGTGCTAGCCCACTGAGATACCATGCCGCAGTGAAGCATGAATACCCCACTCAGACACATTATACTGACTCCGGGCCGACCAGTCCTTGTTGTACCCATTAATGCAGAGCGCCAGGCAGGGACCAACAAGTACCATATTTTAAGTCTTTTGGTGTGACGCGGTCGGGGATCGAACCCGCGACTTTCCGCTCTCCGGGTGGACGCTCTAACCACTACACCACGGAGGTGGTCTAATGTATTCATGACTTGGATGAGGAAGCATGACAGGACGTCAGATGACTGCAATTCATGGTTGCTGTAAGGGATATGTCATAATGCTATATAGATATATGTCACTGCTAAAAAAAATAAAAATTTAAAGTCTGTCAGTCAGCAACCATATGTTTTACAATTATGAATTCTGCGATACCATTCTGTGATTTATATTAAAAAATGATGTTAAGGTGTGTTCCCTCAACAGATCTCCTCACAATAAATAACTGTACCCCCAAGCAGCGTGAGCCCAAGGGGTACCCGAGAGTGGACTGGTTCTACCTGGAAGACAATGCTCAGGAGGATGCCGTCAAAAAGGAAGAAACGTATGTATTTAATAATTGTACTGGTGTGTAACTGACCCCTTATGGAGACTCTGGGTTAGAATAGATCTTCAGCAACCTATGCTGGCGGTCACAGGAGACTTAAATAAATCGGATGGTTAGGCTTGGCGATGATGTTGTTGTCATTGTACGTGATAGCAAGGATCGTTTCACAATCTTGAAGGTCGATGCTCATGACATATCAATCACTGAATTGTCCGGTCCAGACTAAGTTATTTACAGGTCACCATATAAATCTGGATCATCTTAGGAGAAGGTTTCTGCCATATATATTGATCTGCAAGCAGTTTTGTGTCCTGCACCTGAAATGAATACTGACTTCTAGTCAGGTGTGATGATTTACATTATTGATTTGAATGAATAAAAAAAGAATGGAAATTACCCAGAAGTGTTATTCCCCAAAGCTGAGACAATCAGATGTCTCCATTTGTTTGAATCTCGTAATGGTTTATGGCAACAAACACAGCTTGATATGTTGAATCTGCTGAAATAGTGAGAATGTGATTCTTTTCTTTATTCTTGTCCTTAAGTTAAGAATATGTCAAGGATAACGTTGGAATGTAATCTTTGCTTTCAGGGTTTATGTTTTTTATTAAATTTGAAGGTAAACTTGTCCAGGCAAGGCAAGGTATTTCAAATATAGTTGTATCTTTTCATCACAGCCAGTGGGAGTTTCTGCTGCCGGAGTACATGGTTCATGATTCCCAAAAGCCTGCAGTACACTTTGAGCCAGAGAGTGTCAGCAGTCTGAAGGAGAGGCGGGCCCCTTATGCATTTGACCTTACCACAGCATATGAGAGGGAGGGACAGACACTCACAGACAAGACGGTCAAGCTGCCAGAAGAGATAAAAAGTGGGTATGGCATCCGGAACAGCAAAGCTCCTCATTCCAAGAAGCAGGCCCCTCGGGAGCGAAGAGCTGTTGCCAACACGCAAGGGGACAAACCCAAACCCAAATCTGCACAGTCGTAAGTTTATCTGAATAGCGATATCTTAATTCATGGTTACTATCATGTGCCTTATTTATCTACCGGTAGTCACCACGTTAGAATTGGTCTTCAGCAACCATTGATTGTTGACGTAAGAGGTGACTAACGGGATCGGGTGGTCAGGCTCGTTGACTTGGTTGACACATGTCATGGTATCCCAATTGTGTAGATTGATGTTAATACTGTTGATCACTGGATTGTCTGGTACAGACCGCCGCCATGTAGCTGGAATAATTCTCAGTGCAGCGTTAAACAACAAACACACAAACCAAACCAAACTTTATCTGGTCATCTAACTTGCTGGCAGAATTTCTGGATAAAATGTCAGTACAATCATTACCATACTTGCCATATATGTAAGTTAAGGAGTTACAATTTAATGTCACAGGCATTATTTCACTGTGTGATGGTGACATATGTGACGTCTGTTAGCATGACCAATCAGATTTCAACCAATCAGATTAAAGAACACAGAATTTTGGTTTACAATTTAGAAAATTCTAGATTTCGTATTTTATGCTCGGCTAAACTCAAAGTTATGCTTGGTGTTTTGTCTGTCCAGTCCATCTGTTAAGGACAGTTACTGTTTCTACATCTTTAGCTCCTTTAGCTATTGGTGAAAATGAAAAAGTCTGCATGAATGATGATCATAGTGTACTGACGACGGTGTGGCCCTGTGGGGCTCCTATAACATGTGATTCTAGGCACCCCACAAGTGTTTGGGCAAATTAAGGACCCCTCAGTATTCATGGTCAGTTTCCAACACATTATTAGTGTTATAAAACTATTTGACCAAGTCAATGTCTAAATGCTGATATATATAGAACTACCATTCATACCACTGCATATCGTGTCTACCCAGCCCCAGACACCTCCATGAAGAAGATCATTACCAGGGTATTGGATTGCATCATAGTCAGTAATATCTCAGGAAGAACAGGCTCTGTATTGGCACCAATGGGTTGTGTTCATGTCATCTAGAGGGAGGAGGGGAAGTCAAGTCACAGGTTAAAGCATTTACTTGTCCCGCCAGAGGTCCAGGTTGGATTAACCCATATGGGTACAATGTGTGAAGCCCAGTTCTGGTGTCCTCTCTTTCACTCACTTCATCTTGAATCAGATATTGAACATTGTCCTGCAGGTTTGTGAAATTGTTGTAGAGTGTATTGTCTACTAAAATGATGGTGTTTGTAAAAAGTCCAACATTATGAACATTAAATGCGCATTTAAAAAAAGTCTGCTTAATGTAAATGCTGAATAAAATGACAAACATATGGTTAGAGTCCTGAGAAGTCTATATCCATCTACAATTAGAGGACATCTTTGACCACAGGTCTAAGGCTACAGGTGAGCGACCTGCCATGGACAAGCTGTTGTCATATGCCTATGACAAGGAGTGGCACGGCAAAGTGAAGGACCTCCATGAGAAGCAGGAGAAGCAGGACAACAAGGTGGTAAATAACAGTCTCAAGTCGGAGTACAGAGACACCTTCCAGAAGTCGGGCGGGACCACTCGAACCAGGTATGCTTTCTTACACATGTATAATTCCTTGCACAGTCACAAACGTGCAGGGGAAGATTTAACAGTACTCAATAAGACCAACAAATATGACATTAAATATAACTTCCCTAATTTTTTACTTTATGGATTCTGTATTGTTTTTCAGGAGAGATCGTACAGTAGATATTCTTTCTGAAAAGATTACTGACAGATCATCTCCCGGACGCAACAGCACAGAGGAGAAAGAGCCATTCAAACTTACAAAGTAAGTTCTTTCTTCATATGGCATTTGGACAAAGAGAAATTAAGAAATGTTTTGACAATTGGTTTGTGGCTTCCTGAGCCATATTAGTGTATATATTATTGTATATTATTAGGAGTGTTAATATTAAGGTAATTTGTAGTGCTATGTTTTGTTAGTGTTTGTTTAACACCACACTCTGCACTATTCCAGCTATATGATTGTGGTGTGTAAATAATTGAGCTGGACAATCCAGCGATTAACGTCATGAGCATTGATCTACACAACTGGGATAGGATGACACATGCCAAACACAATCTTGTTAGTCACCTCTTATGACAAGCATCGGTTGCTCTAGATTGGTTCTGGGCGGTGGGGTAGCCTAATGGTGAAAGCGTTGGCTCGTCATGCCGAAGACCCGGGTTCGAATCCCCACATGGGCACAATGTGTGAAACCCTTTTCTGGTGTCCCCAGCCGTGATGTTGCTGGAATATTGCTAAAAGCAGCGTAAAACCAAACTCAGTCAGTCAGTCAGTCTAGATTGGTTCTATTCTGGGTCTTCACACTACACTATATTTCCACACCACACTATGCTCAAAGTGCAGCATTATTCCTACATCAAGCAATGAATCAGTGTGCCTGATTGTCATTCTAAGTTTCATGGGGAATATACTCCCTAAGCTGGCTGTGAGGCACTGGAAGGTTAACACATGTGCTACTGGTAGAGACATGAACATGATCCCCAGGACCACAGGAGTCAAGATGCCTAATACATACAGCTATCCAACTTTTATTGGTTCAAATGGTAACTTCACCAGATTTGTGACCTGTAAGCTGTAAGCAGGAAACTGAAGCATGACTTAGACAGCTTCAAACAACTGTATATAGATACTTGTGGGTGTGGTACCCATGAAGGTTCGGGTTAGAATATTGATCTTCAGTAAGCTATTGCTTGTCGTAAGAGGTGACTAACAGGATCGGGTGGTTAGGCTCGCTGACTTGGTTGACAGGGTTCCCAATTATGTAGATCGATGCTCATGCTGTTGATCACTGGATTGTCTGGTCCAGACTCGATTATGTACAGACTGCCACCATATAGCTGGAATATTGCTGAGTGTGGCGTAAAACTAAACTCACTCACTCACTTGTGGGTGTGGATAAGTATGGAACTGAATTTAAGAACATGATTTTACCATTTTTGCAGGATTTTACTTCACACACTAAGTGAAGGAGGCTAAACCAATTTGAGGCCAAAAATAGTACCTGCTGGATGACCTCATTTGCATATTCAGCAGATTGTGATTATGTGATACCAAGTATATTGTTTTAGCCTATTGCATTGATAACATCCATTATATTAGAAATGTAAGTTGTCTTACAGATTGGGCTATCTCACTATCAGTTATACAATTAAAGATGAAATTTGTGTTTCAGGTTCAAGAATGTTCCAGCTCGCATTGACACTCACCAGAAACCGGACACACAAAGGAATCAGGCTACAAGTGAACAACAACAAGGTTTATTCTAACTTCAGTCCATTTTCAGTTTTTCTGTTTACATTAAGTTATATAGATATGCAATGCCATACAGTATGTTTCATCAGAATATGTACATGTGTCAGTGCTACGGGACTTGAAGGTCTTTCAAAATGGGATGCTTGATGCCCTTAAGTGTACATTTGTTCAGTTGTTAAGTTCATCACTCACTGTACACTGATGGTGCTTTAGTTTCTCATGGTTACCATAGAAACAGTAAGATTCCACGGAGCCAACACGAGAAATGATTTGATTCATTTTGTTGTTTTACAATTGCCGTTTATCATTTTTATCACTTCCACAATATACATCTACATTAAACATTTTAAACCTGCTCACAGACAGTTTGTCAGAAAGAACTGTTGACTTTTTTGTTGAATTGTTTTACAGAAATTATTTGCAAAGTATTGTTTTTACGATATCTTGTTAAATATATTTGTCAATGATTTTTCCTGTACTTGACAATGTTTCACAAACAAAATAACTCAGAGGTTAAATCCAACACATTTTACATTCCCGTTGAAACATCTTCCTTGAGCAACACAGCATTATGATTGTAATAACAAAAACGTATAATGCTATTTTTGTATTGTGGGAGATCATGATTTTTACTGTGATATTAATACATTTGATTGTTTAATTTCCATTGCCAAAAAATAAACTAATACCTGAATTTTGTTGTTTCTTATCTGTGTCAATGACAACTGCAGAGTTGGTGATTCTGTTTCTGAATGTGTAGATGCTGGTTCATAAAATATTGCAAACACTACCAAAACAACTGTATCTGTCTACTAAAACTGGTGTTGCCGGTCACAGATTTAAAGTAGGAAAATAACTGATGTCTAAGGGAATAACGCTTTTAGATTTGCCATTTTAAAAAAATATTTGTTCCAGAGAAATAAATAATTTTGGTCCAAATTGGTATAATCCAGACAATTTTGTAAGGAAAGAAATACTTACTGAATATCATAAAAGAAAACTGTAAAAAGAAAAGAATATTTTCGAAAAGCCAAAGTCTTCCCTGCGATAGGAAATGGTCCTGAAATGCACTGTATTATTTAATCAAGAAAATATACACTTTCACAAAGGGAAAGTACACAAAACAATTAACAGAAAGTGAACCACAATAATATTTCATCTGTTGTGACCTGTTGGTCAAAGAGAGTGAGTGACTTTAGTTTTATGCTGCTTGTAGTGGTGGTGAAAGAATGCATAAAACAACAAAACTGTGCTGGTGTATATTTATTCCAACACTTAAAACAATTATTTACAGTCATGGACATTATTTATATCATACCCTGAAATAACACTCATCAGAAATGTATTCAGTGGACATATTTCTTGTGAACCTTTAAGCATGTAAAAATACAACAACATCTCTGGCTATACAAGTCAACATATTTTACAAGTTCGTACACATAAGGAAATACATCAAGAAATTGCATTGGCATTATTTTTTGGAAGACATCTTGACAATGAAACTATGTATTTCAAAACCTTAATGACGGAAAACAAATAATGCAGCCTAAACACTTCAATTTGGAGATTGTTGTGAATGGTGCATGATACAAAGAGCGGTGATGAAAAGGGCATAACCCTCCCTCTTCTGTAGGTAGGCTAATACAAGTGGCAACTCTACAACGTCCAATAAAGCATAGGAAACGTAGAATTTCTTACAAACACGATGCCGGTGTTACAGTCAGTTACAACACTTACGATGATAGTCAAGTGAAGAGAAACATTCTCAGTGGATTTGTATATATTTTTTCAATTTTGCATGTTACTGATGGACAGACCATGTCTGAGATATACTGTATTACGAGATGCTTTCGTCTTTCAGTACATTATCTATCTAACCAGCTGTATATCAGGAAATGCGGTTAGGCATATGAAGCTGTTGGAGATTTAGCTACATGGACACGTAAAACCTGTGATGGTTGACTTCCTGATATGTATATGTTAACCACACAACCAAAAGGGATGGATTGTATTGTCAGGGCAGGCCACTAGGGTGGTGAGGTCTGAGACCTGCATCACTTGGGGCTTTCCTCTGACCTGAAGCTGTCATGCTTTATATGCCTGCAATGCAGTTCGAAGCTGTATTAAACTGAACTAGCTGAGTTCATGATTTGGACTTGGTTTATTTACACAGAATACTTGTTAAAATCTGGTCTCTGATTATGTGACATCTTCGCCAATATACGCTTCACTGGAAATCTGTAACTGACCATTCATGATAAGTTTCATGTCTGTAAAGAAATACTGCTTATTCAGCAGCTTATTCCTAAATCAACTTGATTTTTCAAAATAATGAATCTACACTCATTTATAATTTTGATAAAATTGGTGAAATGGAAAACCCTCTATTCTGAGGGTTACACGTCTTGTACCAGCCATGTGGTTTGGACAATGATGAAGACGCACATGATGTCATGGTTTGTATATATATATGTAACGATACTGCCACCTTGCATCCATAGTTACACAAGTCACTAAGACTAGTGAGCTGTGGTGATACAGTTATGCAAACGTGATTGGTCCATGGAGAAGAATGGACATTGGAATTATGCAGTCACAGGCACATGGTGATACTATACGGCAATCTGAAGTAAACCCAATTATAACATTGACTTGTTACATTAAAAGCATTATATAATGACTAGTCTCAAAACTGACACACACAAAAACAACCCACATGTATCTAGTATCCTGTAGGGCTTGGACAGGTGTCTAATCAATGTCATATTAGTAACTTTGTTGCAGTAACCTACAATCACATTGTCACATGTAGCATGCTGATGTCCTTCACACTAACACACCATCTTATAGGCCAGCCCCTGTAAACTTTGTACTTGCATGGGGTCACTTCCGTGTCTGGGATTAGAATTTGGATGCTTATATACAATCTAACCTATAACCATTCACGATGTCTGTGTCATGGTACAATAATACCTGACGTGAATCTTTAACATAATGCTGCAGTCCAACAGAACATTTGTTGACTTCTTTATCTCAAGCTACTTTTAAATGAGAAAAACAGCCTGTCATCTGTACAAGATTATGCAGCCTCCTCCGTGTCTACGGAACTGTCCTACTAACATTTGAAGGCACTGGTGTTAGAACTTCAGGAACTTACATCATCATGACCACTAATCACAAAGACACATCACACCACCATTGCAAATACGTAACTCAGTGTACATACAGTTTTACCATATTTATTACAATCAAGTTGAAGCTGTAAGTCTTTGTGAAAACATGTACTAACCACCCCCTTGCATGGTAAAATACCTTTATCACGGGTATATATATTACTCACAAGAACACCAGATTGTTTTAATATTTCTACAGTTAATCTGCTATATGCTATATGAGATGAACTATAGTACAACGTAAGAATCGGGTGTTCGAGTGGTATATTTACTGTGTATGTTTAAGGCTGTCTTAATGTGTCTGGTACGTATAATTTGACCACGTCGTTTTTTGGCTGACATATTGCCGATGCGACGCTAATTATTCACTCACTCACTCTCTCCTAGACATGCTCTTTCAAATCTCCATATCTCCTCCATGTTCCTTGGAAGGTGTGACGTTTCTCAACGGTACCTCTGTCTATCTGCCTAGAAGGTGGGGGTCACTCTAGGTCCCCCTGGGTAACAAGTCCGGCCGTGTCATGTTCCACGTCTTCCGTTGGGTCTAACGCCCGGGGAGGGGGCCGGTTGTCGGCACTTCCGTTATAATGTTTTTTGTCGGAATGAAAGGCGTCAATGACATCCGACGCTTGTTTGGGTGGTTCAAGAGATGAGTGTGGTATGGATATCGACTCCTGGACGTGTAGGCTGTCATACATGGGGTTACAAAAGTTGGTCGGAGAGGTAGGGTCGTTTATACTCGAGATGGGGTCTGTTGACGACTCCTGTTAAGAGATAAATGATAATCAGCATTAATTCTTATTAATCTTCAAGACACAGATTCGATTCCTCACATGGGTACAATGTGTGAAGCCCATTTCTGGTGTCCCTCGCCGTGACTTTACTGGAATATTGCTAAAAGCGGCGTAAAACTAAACTCACTCCCTATTAATCTTCCATTTTCTATTAATGTGTCCATATTCAAGCTAACGCTCCGTGGTCTCTAAAAATCGTGCATGTGGTTGACAGTATGAGCATGGATCCATTCTCATGCGATTACACATAATCAGGTTAGCCCCGGTAGGAATTGGTCTTCAGCAAACCCTTGCTGGTCGTAAGAGGCTGCTGAAAGGATCGGGTAACACATGTAATCGTATCCCGATTGCGTAGATCGATGCTCATGATATCAATCACTGGATTGTCTGGGTCAGACCTCACTATATACAGATATATAGCTGTAATATTGGTGAATGCGTCGTTGAACATAATGTCATAAAGTATATCCACCTGGTCATTTCAGCAGCATTTTCCAACAAGCATGTCCCCGAGAACAGCTGTAAAATTGCTGATGCGGCCTTAAGCAACATTTACTCACTCACTATTTAGCTGTGGTATTTTGAAGGGGCCTCAGTAGTTACTTACAGCATTCAAGCCCGTGGCGCCGGGAAGGTCGTACGTTATTCCCGGCATCCCTAACTTCCCATCGTGGTAGGACACCACGCCCTGGGGTTTGTTCTCAGGGTCGGACGACGGCGTCTTAGACAGGATCTTTTTAAAGTTAAAACCATATCTGAAACAGAGACAATCGTTTTAAAGCCGCCCAGACTGGTATGTAGTTCCGTCACGAATCTGTCACTGACGTCTTTTAAATAATGGAGTCGTGGGAATACTGTGTTATTTGACGTACTGCTCAGTGACAGTAGCACTACATCTTGTATTGAGCGATTATTGTACCACGTGTGTGTCAGAACTATCCTGAGATAGAGCGAGGGTAATACATGAATCCTTACACAGACACAGCCTAACCCAAATATGAGTGTTATAGTTTTTATTGTCCATTATTACTCAACGTCAACAATCTTCACAAATGACGTCGTTTCTAGTGTCACCTCACTCCGACGTTATATTACAATACGATTCCACTAAGGTCAGCAGTACCGTCCTGGTGACATAATAACAACACACTAGGGTGCATGAAATGATACTTACACGATTTGCATTACCTGGATTATTTCTAACCTTACATGTAATCGAAACCTATTTCAATGCCACATTGGAATACTTGTAACTGTTTCCAGTTCCTTGTACGGCGCTGTGTAAAAACGCAGCATTCTCTGCAGTCCCGAGAACTGATAGTGTTTTCAGATACGTACCCTTTCCTTCGTACTACCAATAGTATGACGACCACGAGAACAATGATGGCAAACACCAGCACTATCGGCACTACAATGGCAGCTGTGCCTGAAATATGAAGTGACAGACATGATTGCCTTTATCCATGAATACTCAACATTTTGCAACATCGTTCAGTTCCTACTAGGAAACCGTTACCTTTATTTAAAAGTTTTAGGGTAAAAGCGTGTCTTGATTACTTGAAAAAAACCTTCAAATGAGATATCAGTTGTGGGACATCAAGAACGAAACTGGTGCTATAATTATACGTAGGACGTACCCTGATGATGCTGAAGGTCGCTTTTAGTTCGTTATATAATATAATATGGAATAGATTGTTGAGTATGTGTACTTGCAATTCGTAACAGTGAATAGATTGCAGTGAGTGAGTATGCATGCTTTTACGCAGCTTTTAGCAATACCAGCAATATCACGGCGGGGACACCAGAAATGGGCTTCACACATTTTACCCATGTGGAGAATCGAACTCAGGTCTTCGGCGTGACGAGCGAACGCTTTAACCACTAGGCTACCCCACCGCCCCGATTAGATAGAGTGTAGGTACTTGTAATTTGTTATAGTGAACAGGTTGTAGAGTATACGTACTTGTATCATCCTGGGAAAGATGCTGTGGTTGTATATTTTCGCAATATTGTCCATAAAACCCTGAAAAAGATGTATTGTAATTATAGTGAAAATATAATGTCAATCTCATTTTGACGAATTCGTATTTTTCTGTCAATTTTGATACATAGAACCGAGTGGTCGTTCTTTACCTGCTATACAGTCGCAGCTGTAGGTGTCGTTGTCAGCGACTTTCACACAGGTTCCTGCGTTCCGACACTTGCAGCCTTCGGGAATGGGGATCTCGACTTCTTCAGCTTAAGAAAAAACGGGGGAATTTGAGTCACACATGGCGAAACAACGTTGATAGTAAAACAATATTTGGATGTGGGATTATACGTAAGTGAAAAAAATATTTGAATAATATCGCATCATTCAATTTGGGTGAAAACAGGACATGAAGCTTTGGTGAAACTAGCGACTGAGGCAAGGACCGTTCATAATTGGGTTTATCTCGGAGATTGGAATTCGAGATCATGGCACGAACGTAACTCTGAATAGCAAATATCGATGCTTTTATATCAACGGGCGTTTGATATTATGTAATTATGCTTGTGCCCCAAAGCAGACAGAAAGGTAAAGGGGAACTTGGCTACCATACACACCCGCATCACATATTGTTTCACTTGGATCAGCAAAGTTGGTGCCATCAGGACAGGCACAACGGAACCCGTCAGGCACGGAGAGACATAGGTGGCTGCACGTGGCTTTTGCGCACGCGTTCTTTACTGGAAGATAGAAATAATGATCCCCTCAATATCATGGTAATAAATCGTATTTGTGTCAGTGGCATCGTGGCTGATCAATATCCAAGGGTCATGTGGTCTTGGGTATATCCAGCTTTCGAGTTTACACGGAACTTCCAAGTGAAGCTCCGTGAAATAACATAGTGCAGATCTGAATAGCTGAGAAACTAAGGTTACATGGACAGAGTATACACGTTCAGCAGTAAATTCAGTTCTCGAAGATGAAATAACCGACTGGTATAAAGTCGTACTTGTGAGGTCATATCTGTTGTAGTGGTATATCTTGATGCCTGTGGGCAGCACCAGTCCGGTCTGAAGGGTCCTGTTGTCCCCTAGACCAAGCTTGTCCATGGAGATGATCTGACCCAGTTGCTGAACAACAACAAAGAGGCGACCTTCAAACACGTCCAGACTCACGGGATGCAACAGATCTGAAAATAGGCAATGCGTACTGAGTCAAAACCCTTTCCTTATTCATAAGATGTATCTGGTTACAGCAGAGCCGATTGTACAATTCCATCCTCAACATGTCTACCACAACAGATTTGAAAGCTTCACCGAAGCCTTGAATGCTATATCCTGTACCAAAGAGTGAATCTAAAGACACGTGTTTGCTTCATGGGTGCAGTTACTTAAATTCACTTCTGGTGTCCTCATTTGTGATGATGTTTGCATAGTGCTACTTACTAGGCTTAAGATGGACGCTCAATGGAACTTCCCATTATAAGATTTAAAGAAGACGTGACAGTAGAAGACTTAATATATGATGTATCTAGACACATGCCAGCCAGTTCAAATATTGCTTTAAAGGTCACATAAACCCTAGGGGGTTAAAATACATAAATCACTTACTGGCATCGTTATAAATGAAACCCCGTCATTAAAACTTCTCATTTCGACCTTTAATTGACTTAAATCGACCTTTTTGACAACAGTGCACAATTCTCACCCGCGAACGAAATTTCAACCAATCAGAGCGGCGCGACTCTGTGACGTCATATGAGGAATAGCTTTGAGGGCCGATGCAGAATTCATCTACATTTTAGGGGGTAAATTATCTTGTTTACAGGCTTGTATAAACCTGAAATCGTGACAATTGTTGTGGAAAATGAAAGCTATATGTTCTCACAATCTACTGTCATTTAATTTTGTCTTCTGCTTTGCCTAGTTTCCGAGTTACAACTTGTTTTCATAGACGCTTCTGTCACAATTGATTGGTGTCGTTAGGCCCTATTTGTATAATGACTGATCCAAATTGATCCCATTTCTGTGTTTTTTTACCTCGATATTTAATCATGTCATGTAAAAATCTGTTTGTAAACAGTGTCGGCCCATAAGTTTTCACATGCAATACAGCAATTAATACTCCCTTGTTGTAACCCGTGTTAGGTGGTATAAACCTACACATGTTATTTGTCATCATTCACTTGATGGTCAGTTAATGAATTTATAACAGGTATAATTAGTGGTAACACACTTAGATTACCCGACAAAGGTTCCCATTGGTAACCTCCCATTACCCCTACATGCCACTACCCCTACAGCTTATAACAACATAGTTTATGGTCTGTTGCATAACTTATCTCCTGCCTGTTACCTATTCCATACAGTGGACTGGTCCACTTAAGATGCACAACATGACACAAGACAGATTTTAAAAGTGACTTTAATACATGTGTTATCACCTTCTGGCTATCCTCTGGTGGGTGATTGTGTTCAGTCGTATTTCTTACCACATCGCCAACAGTTGTGACTCTTCCTTTGCATGTTGACTGCACACACTTCCAGTGTACACAGGTCTGTCGCTCAACATTCTTAGTGTGAAGATATCCATCCAACAGAACTTGACGGCTACCTCTCCGTGACATAACAAACTCAACATTGCGAAGACCAGCCATGTTGATGCCATGTTTGTTTCATGTCAGCACTTATATACTGTATGGAACAATCTCAATTTCCTGTATCATCTCCACGTTTTATTTCTCTCAACTTCTCAACATTGTAATATATGTAACATTAAAGTGCACTATAACAACTTTTCTTAACAACATTTAGCAATCACAACACTTTTCCAATTGTATGTTTCTTCTACTCATGGTTGAGGTTTGTTTTCATCATGAGACCACTAATTTCCTTGCCACAAAAGACTAATCACATTTATGCATCCCTTGATCTCATCTATGCTCCATGCACTAATCCCTCTTTAGGATTAGTCTATTATATCAGACAGGTAAATGCTAGGTGTTGTTTTAACTAGCTGTAGGGGTACTGGAGTGTAGGGGTAGTGGCATGTAGGGGTTATGGTAGGGGTTATGGGTGTGAACCTTCCCATTTGGCATTTCTTGTGTCTGGAGTAAATATTCAACATTATAAACATCGATCAAAGGATTAACCGATAACACGCTGATTGATTAATTACTTTTATCTTACACAGCGGAATTGTCAAAAGGTAGTGTTTATGTATGTAGATTTACTAATCTATACTGAATACACTCTGCCGTGTCGGTGTCTGCGTAAAAAACAACGTCCTTCTTTCAAAGGATTAACCGGCAATACATTGATTGATTGCCCATTATTGGCTAACTAAATTACTGTTTTTAATGAAAGGCGGACATAGGTGTGCTATCTTGGGTGACCAATGAGACTATACACCAATACCTGAAAAGATTTATCACTTTTTCGTATATTAAACTGTTAAAAGACATATCATTTGGAACAGTTTTGTGGATATTGATGGATACATTCCTCAAACAAGGTAATGGCCTGATATTGTTCCTATAACTTTAATCTGTTTTAATTTTAATATTTGCATTTTGTTTTTTATTCATTTGTCGTAGCATTCAACAGAATCATTGTTTTCACCGTGAAGTGTAATGAGACAGACAACATACACTAGGGTGTGTGTGCGAATTATGATTCACATTGGCAAACTATCAAATGTCTAGATATTACAGTTCTGTTATAAATTCACTATAAGTATCAGCAGATCGTCAGCTTTTTATTTAGTTTCAAAATGCATAAAAGTATGATAATAAACTAGTGGGATTATAAGACCAAATATAAAGACGCACATTGACTAGTATCTACATACTGGTGAGTGGACATTAACCATGTGAATGTAGCAAGAAATTTATGGCGCAGTATTGTGACTTCGACCCCCACCTCGCTTCCGTGGAAGAGATCGTTATGTTATAAGTTGTGTCATGCAAAATCCTTTTGGTTATGATTCCAATACATATTTAACTACGAGTAGAAAGTAGTTTTGATTTTCTAACTTGATGAAAACAAACTATAATCTCATTAATTCTAACAGACTTTACGATTTTCAAAAATGGCGGCGCCCTGTCGGGAACATCCGCCAGTCTGTGGATAAATGCTATTTAGGTTTGTTTTCACCGAGTTACTAAAATCAAAACTACTTTCTACTGGTAATAAAATATGTATTTTATTGATAGCCAATAGGATTTTGCATGACATAACGTATAACATAACAATTCTCTCCTGGCAGCGAGGTGGGTGTCAATATAATACTACTTACATTATTATTGTTACTTCGACCACAACCTCACTTCCGAGGAAGAAATCGTTATGTTACAAGTTGTGTTATGGAAAATCTTTATGGTCATCAATCATATACATATTTTACTATAACTAGTAAGTAGTTTTGATTCTTTAACTTCCGTGAAGCGATCTGAACACAAGTAAGATATCGTTTCAGGCTTCCACAACGCTCGCTTCGCACTCACAAACATAACCCATTTAGCACGAACTGCGGGGTCCTGTGGAAATCTGTGCATGGTGACACCATCACCCGACCCCTAGGAGCAATTGACGACAAAGCAACGATTCGGCATGTCGTCGTTCATGTCGAGAAATCATCAAAATGATGAGCGTGCTACACACTTTCTATACAAGTAACTGAAAATCGTTCCTCATATGACGTCACTGCAGTGCTCTGGCGACAGAGTTACGTAACCTGTCTGTGGTTTCGTTGGCGGGCGAGAGGGAAGCAGGCGACTTTTTGGCCACTTTTAATCGCTCGGTATTAATTAACCACAAGTTTTTAAAGAATAAATTTGGTGTTCCGCATAAGACTAACCACAAATCTTTCATATGTAATGGTTAAAAGAGTAACAAAAAACAAAGTTTAGTGGTTCTTTAAGGAATGTTGGCATTTGTCGAGTCATTATGCAGAGAAGACAATAATGCATAAAAAAATAGACAATTCTTCCGACAACCGAACATCCTCATTTGACAAATAGTTGAATATCTTACTCTTTGCTGTGACCACTGCCCTGTCCGAACCGTCTGGTTTCATGGACTCAATGACGTTCTCCTTCGCGTCACACCAGTACACACGGTCGCCCATGAAGAAGTCGATTGTAATACTGGTAGGCCGGCCGAGTTTGGTTGAAACCAGAACGGACCGCTTGTCACCAGTTGTCCATGCACGTTCGATCTTGGGGTGGGTTCCACTTACATCTGTCCAGTAGAGAAACCTGCAGTGGAAATCAGTATTTGTCAATATTTGTCTCCGTCCTTGTACCGACAAGATTGTGTAAAAGTATACTTCATTTTGTTTTTAAATGTTTTAACGTTAATTCGGAAAGATTACAAATTTTGTAATGTACTTCAAAATGTTGGAAGGAACACTACATGAGAAAGTTCAGGTGGTAATTACGTGATGGACTCTCAGAATTATTTTGTTTGTTTTATAGTTGTTACGACAAGCATGGGTTGCTGAAGACCAATTCTAAGCCGGATCTTCACAGGTACACAAGGGTGTGAGATGAACGCATTCAGCTCTGATGGTCATGGAACATTAGGACTCGTCGTGAAACTAGTTCGATGCAGTAATAGTTGATATGATGTTAGTATTTTTATTAAAAAATTTACCCGAGCCTTGGATTCACAGCAATTGCCGATGGGCTGTGAAGGTTCTTGCTGATAATGGTCCTCTGGTATCTGCCATCAGATTTGGCAACTGACACAGTCTTCTTAACGGAGTCCGTCCAGAAGATGTTCCTGGAATAAATGTATTCTTAAATATTCTTACAGACACGACGAGAGCAATATTCCATCCATATCACGGCTTCACACAATTGTACCCATGTAGGGAATTGAACTTGGAGCTTCGGCGTCACGAGCGAACGCTTTAACCCACTCCCATCACCGAGAGTAAATGCAATCAGGTTTATGTATTAGTGACGTATATTAGTTTACCCTGATGTCCCGAAACATAGGTCAAAGCCTGACCGTGTGACATCAATATAATCACCATACATATCAGCAGTATATAGTGTAGTTAGGGGCACTGGTAGCAATGGGTTCTTGACGGCCAGGGGCTGTGGGGTACCCTAGTGGTCAAAGCGTTCGCTCGTCACGCCGTACATCCGGGTTCGATTCCCCACATGGGTACAATGTGCGAAGGACATTTCTGGTGTCCCCCGTCGTGATATTGCTGGAATATTGCTAAAAGCGGCGTAAAACTAAACTCACTCACTCTTGGCGGCCATATTGTCATAGATGCCACAACTAAATGTTACCATGGGTGTCCCTTACCTGTCCTTACAGGCTGTCGGGTTCAACACCTAGCTAATGGTCCTTCAATATCCACGTGGTATTACCATGCCAAAATTTCAAAACTAACCACAACATCAGATTGCCAAAGCAACATAAAACCTCAACTATTAGTAATAACCTACTTTGTTACCCAATCCACTGCCAGACCCTCTGGTTGTTGTAGTCCGGATATTTTCAAGCTCTGAGCGAACCCCTGCATCGTGGCCTCTTTGGGCATTGCTGCCCGCCGTATGCTACGTTGTGACGTGTCGGTCCAGTACAGGAGCTTCCAGGCGGGGTCCACGTCTAGTGCATGGACCCGTTGTCCAGCCACCACCGCGTCAGTGTACTCCTTGGTGCTAGTGCGGTACTGGCGGATCTCAGAACCCATGGCAAACAGCAGGACAGCGTTTCTTTCTGTGGAATAAACAATGGTTTGGATACCATTAATGCATTATATACTGGACAAAAATAGTTAGGGATATATGAAAATTTTGAAATTATGAATACTGATCTATTTATTCATTTACACACTGATAAAATATCAATCATAAATATATCAATATCCCTAACTTATTTTGTCCAGTATAGAAACAGCAGGACAGCGTTTTGTTCTGTTGATTAAACAGCGATTGATGAGGGATTAAGGAATTCGATGCTATAGCTTTGCCTCCTCCAAATTTACAAAAATATGAAAAGCAAATTCAGGTACCAAATACACAACACAGGTAATTTAATACAAATTCTGTTTGCTCAGAAGATTCAAATAATATACAATTTCAATTATAGCCAAATCTTCTGACGTATTTGCAATAAATATTAGTTGGACACTGAAAGGCTAATTAGGTCAATTACTACCTGAGATGAATCTTTACAAATACGAACCTTTGGACTTGCACAGGGTGCCTTTTCTGTTGGTGTCGACGAAACCATCAGCACATTGACATTTGTGGGTGCCCTTGATGTTCTGGCAAAGCTGTGGACAACTGTTGCCCCACCCGGCGCACTCGTCAATATCTGCGAGAACAGACACATGGCGTAAACGCCCAGAGATACACAGAGCCATGAACCATCACGAACAACAATTTTACCTGGACCCTTTTTGCGGCAAAGGATTTGGTCAGACAATAGGAGAAAGATCTGCAAGATCATACATAATCCTTTCAGTAATTATAACCTTAAAGTGACGTTTCAGAGATGCAAATTGATCGTAGTCATGATAAGCTACTGAAAGGCTCGGGAACAGAAGATTACTATAGTAAACATGAAACAATCAGGTGGTGCTAAACCGTTTCGTCTTCTAGAACACTTCCTACGGTATCCGCTCAAAATGATGAACAGATTAATTGATAAATGTAGATCTTTCTTTGGGATGCACAGTGAACGAAAACTGGGATGACTAAAACCTTCAAAATATTTGGAAGAAAATCCAACGACAACACTTAGATTATGGGGGAATAGTCACCTTCGCACGTCTTCCTGTCGTAGGCAGCGATCTTGTAGCCTTTGCGGCAGCTACAGAAGTAGCCTCCCTCGGACAAGTTGGTGCAGTTGTGTTCGCAGCCGCCGTTGGAAGTTGAGCAGTCCCTGACACCCACGTCCTTGTCTGCAGAACATGTATATCAATATAAACCATATATCACCTATGCACCCACCGTTACGTTTTGTATGTACTTCAGGTGTGTGCAGATCAGATGCACCAAACTAAGACAACGCAGTCACAAAAACCTGTTTCAAGTATGGATCAAGTAGATTGTAATGTTCGACATAAACGTTGTACTCACGACATCCTTCCTCATCTGAGACATCGCCACAGTCGTCCACGTTGTCACAGACCTTATCAGCGTCCAGGCATTTGGAATTGCGACACTTGAACTGATTGGATGCACAGATGGTTGTCTTTACAGTACCTGTGAACATAGGAATAATCTGTTCTGACTAACTGAACACAAACATAGGGGTAATAACTGAAAGTAGGCCATGGGACAATTTCTAAACAAATGCATAGGAATGATGACTGAAATTGGCATAAATACAGTTCCAGATCATAGGCACATGGATGATTACTGACAGTAGGCACATGGATAATTCCTGATGGTAGGCATATGAATGATTACCGAAGAAAGGCAAGGGCAGTTCCTGATCATAGGCATAGGAATGATAACTGAAAGTAGGCACATGGATCATAATTCCTGATCGTAGGCATGGGAATATTAGGCATGGGGACAGTTCAAGATCATTGGTATGGAAATGATTACTGAAAGTAGGCATGGGACAGTTCTGATCATAGACACAGGAATTATTACTGGAAGTACACACAGGAGTAATTTCTGATCATAGGGATGGTAAACTGAGGTCTTATAACACAAGACTGATAGAAAACAAAGTCAGCTTCAAGCATAGTTTAGCCATGATGATCCAATACTTACACATATTCGACCTTTCGTCCGACTGGTCCCCGCAGTTGTTTACGCCATCGCACAGCCGCCATCTTGGAATACACTTGAAATTGTCGCATCGGAACTTGTCATCAGAACACTCCATGTTTTTACAGACTTCCGCAATCTCGTCGCTGTTGTCACCACAATCGTCGTCTCCATCGCACTGCCAGTTTGTAGGGATGCATATCTGGAACATCCAACGTGTTGATATATGTCACACAGGATATGGTTGACACACTGCACGAGGACCCTCACACAGCAATATCGTTGACAAATTAAGTGTGCGTCACTGCAAATAGTTGACACATTGCAAGTGTATGTCACTGCAAATAGTTGACAATGCAAGTGTGCGTCACTGCAATTAGTTGACACAATGCAATTATGCGTCACTGCAAATGGTTGACACAATGAAGTGTGCGTCACCGCAAGTAGTTGACACAATGCAAGTGTGCGTCACTGTAAATAGCTGAGAACAACAAAAATCAGCTACATTTAAATTATGACACTTTAATATCAATTGTGAGACCGGTTACGCGACACTGACGTCACGCCGAGTGTATGAACAATTCAATGCTACTCACATGGTTGCTACACTGGAACTTGTTGTCAGGGCAGTAGCGGCCACTGGGGAACCTGGCGGTGCAGTTGAGCTCGTCGGAGGTGTCTTTGCAGTCCCGGCGTCCGTCACACACCGTCTCCAGGCTCGCGCAGTACCCATCTGTGCACGTGAACTGGTTGTCCGCGCACACGTGAGTATCTGAGTGAGCATGCAGAACAAAATATAAATATATGGAAATTCAATAAAAATGAAATCGATATTTGTAATTTTATCAACAAGAATCATACGGAGTATATATTTATCAAAAATATTTTATTTGCCTTTTTATAAAAAGGCAAGATGATATAGGACTTATCGTCCCGCTCAAGATCACTGCTCTTACATAGCGTTTGTGTGTGTGTGTGTATGCGTGCGTGCGTGCACATTCAGGTTCATTGTGATGCTTATATAACATACCACAGTTTTACCGTGACACCCCACACAGACACGCTGTACTGTACCAGTCCTTGTTTAATACCCTTATTGCCGACCCCCAGGCAAGGTAAAAAGTCCCCTCGTTTAACGCGATTAGGGATCTAACCATGGGCGTCTCCCACTCCGTACAGACACACTATCCACTCGACCACATACCTTGTCAACATACCATTGGACATTATCGTTGCTGACCACTGGTTTTCACAGAGGAAATGAAACTGAAAAGTAGTGCTTTAACTTTACCTGTGCATATCTTTGGGTCCTCGTCTGATCCATCCCCACAGTCGTTGTCATGGTCACACTTCCACTGTCCCTGCACGCACTTCTTGTTGTCACACCGGAACTCGGACTCGGAACACTTCCTGTATTTGCTCTCTAGTGATAGAGAGAGACGCGGGTTATTAAGTTCTTTTTCCGTTACACAAAATACTTAGAGTGAAAACTGGTCAGTTCATTCATTCATGCGTGAGTGAGTTTAGTTTTACGCCGCACTCAGCAATATTCCAGCATAGCATATCGTGATATGCATCGAATCGTATCGTTCCAAGATATCGCGATACGTATCGTATCGTGATATTTCTGCATCGTCACACCTCTTCATGTTACTACACTTAATCTGTCATTAATCTATCAGACGAACTTTAGTACTAAGACAAAATCGTCCTTAATATTTTTGAGTAATATAAAAGGGGACTTTACTTGATTATTCGTTATACCGGACATGTGTCCTCCAGCATCTGAACTAAAACAGTTTCACACGTGTTATATACTAGTGAGTGACTGAATGTCAGCAATATCCATCGTGGGACACAAGGGTCCCGTTCCTCAAAGCGATCGTAGCGCTACGACTGTCGTAAGTTTATGTGACAGTATTGGAGTTACGATCATCTTAGCGCTACGATCGCTTTGTGGAACGGGGGACACCAGAAATGGGCATCACACATTGTACCCATGTGAGGAATCGAACCGGGTCTTCGGCGTGACGAGCGAACGCTTTTACCACTAGGATACCCTATCGCCCCCAAGATGAGAACAAAATACATTCAGGTTACGTATTACGTGACATTAGTATACCCTGATATACTGACCAACGTGCCGCAAAAATATAATCAGATTAATCACCATACACATCAGGAGCATATGCTGTAGTTTGGTGCTCTGGTTATGTCCCTTAGATGTCCTAAATCTAATGTACGAAATGCTTCGTTTCTTTCGTGAACCACTTACCACAGTTTTCGCTGCCTTCATCAGAGTTATCTCCACAATCGTTGTCAAAGTCGCACAACCAACGCTTAGGTATACAACGTTTGTTTTTACACTGGTAGTCGCCAGTTGGATGGCACACTGGACAATTCTCCTCAAGCTCGTCGGAGTTGTCCCGGCAGTCGTCGTCGCCGTCGCAACGAGCGACGTTGGGCACGCAGCGATAGTTGGTCTTGCACCTCCACCATCCGATTGGACACGCACGATTCTCTGGTAGCGGAGACAACAACATTAAAATAAAGAAGGCATTCAGAAGATGAATAGCAATTTCAGAGCCAGCCAGGGAAATATGGGAAGGAAGCCAAAGCTAAGGCAGATCGTAAACATAAATCACTTTGGTGAAAGCCATGAATAAGGTGTACCATGGATCAAACTCAATGTAGATGAAGAAATCGTTTATCTTGTTGTTTAACGTTGCACGCAGCAATATTCCACCTATATGACGGTGGTCTGTCCATAAGCACGTCTGAACAAGACAATCCAGTGGTTGACATAATGAGCATCGACCTTCGCGATTGGGAAACGATGAGACGTTTAAACCAATTAAGTGAGCCTGTAAAATCGATCCCGTTTGTCGCCTCTTACGACAAGTATGCCTTGCTGAAGACTAACTGGTACTGGGTCATGTGGACGGCATTGCTTTCGGTTGCAAAGCTGGCACTAGATTTGATCAACATAGTGATAGGCTTCAGGCAATATATTCTCTTACCACAAAGGAATTCCTTCTTTTCGTCAGAGTTGTCGCCACAGTCGTCGTCGTAGTCGCATTGCCAGGACGACGGAATGCACCGTCCGTTGTCACACTGGAATTGGTTCGTCCCACATGTATGATTTCCTGCAAATGATGACCGTATTATGACATTTCTTCGAAAATACACATTTATGTATGTAATACATAAGCCTGTAAACGACAACGAAACCTTATCATCAAAGATATCTCCATTGGGCAATCTTCGATTCCTTTTTCTCTTCTTGTGAAAAACCTTGGCGTTCTTTTGGACTCAAACCTCAGCATGGACAAGCAAATAAATCATCTAGTAAAGACCTGCCACTACCATCTGAAGAACATCGGCAGCATCCGCAACGTCCTAACAAAAGAAGCCACTGCCACCCTTGTGCGGACACTGATTTTATCCCGCCTGGATTACTGCAACAGTTTACTGTTTGGCATCTCTTCCTCTCAACTCCATCGTCTTCAGAAAATCCAGAACAAATCTGCACGCATCATCACTCTCACCAGTCCTCGCTGTCACATCTCTCCCATCCTAAACTCTCTACACTGGCTCCGTATTCGTGAAAGGATTGATTTCAAGATTCTCTGCCTCACCTACCAGTCTTTCTACAACTCAGGACCTTCCTACCTTCAAGACATTCTGACACATTACTCTCCAGAAAGAACCCTGCGCTCATCACAACAACTGTTACTTGCTGTCCCGAGCTACAATCTCAAATCATTTGGCTCAAGGACCTTTTCATATGCAGCAGCTTCTCTGTGGAACTCTCTCCCTATCGAGTTAAAATCATCTCCTTCCCTAAGTACATTCAAAACACGACTAAAGACTCATCTATTTCTTCGCTACAAGTGACTTCCAATCATCCGTACCTGCCAACTGTATATAGTTTTAACTTGAGCTCAGGAAGCGCTTTGAGCATATCCCTGTGACGTGGAAAGGCGCTATATAAATGGCCTATTATTATTATTTATAAACAAAGTATTTTGTTGTAAATATACATTTTAAAACACAGGTCATAGAGACAGCAGAGTAATATATGTTTCAGTATTTTGGTTCAGATGGCGTGTTGAAAGAAGCAAAGTCATAACTTCGTGATTCTTTGAAATAATCTGGTACAACAACAAATGGTAAAATCTGAAATACTCATTTGAAGTGAATTGTGGATTACATATATAACAAAAATTGTTGATTCCACCGACAAGGAGAATTGTTGATTGCATATGTAAGCCGAATTTTTGATTACATATGTAAGCCGAATTGCTGGTTCATTTGTGTGGATTACCTTTGTAACATAAATTGTAAATTACATATCTATGGTCGATTCTAAATCACATAATAAATTATATGAGGTGCAATCTGGATCACTTGTTTAAGGGGAATGGAGAACATGTAGTGTAAAATCTTTTGACTAACCACACGAAGCTTCATCGGAGCCGTCGCCGCAATCGTCATCTCCGTCACAGCCCCAGCGTCGCGGGATGCACTTGTTGTTGCCGCACTTCAACTGCCATGTTTCACAAAGCCGGCTGTTACAGTTTTCTTCGTCAGAGCCGTCACCGCAGTCGTCGTGAAGGTCACATACTCTGAAGGAGTAGGTGCAGTTCAGGTTCTTGCACTGGAACTGGCCAACTGGACAGTGGCTAACCGCTTAAACAAAAAGAAATGTTACAGGAAGTGAGTGAGTGTGGTTTTACGGCATTTATGGACATATTGACGCAGTATCACGGTGGGAGTTATCAGACATGTTTCACATATTGTACTCATGAGAAAACCAACTTACGCGGCTTATAGAAATATTTAATCACTATCATGGTGGGGGACATCAGAAATGTTATACATATTGCACCCATGTGGAAAACGAATTAGCTTTTGATGTGACGGCGTACACCATACCCACTGTGCTAAAAGTTAGTGATGAAGTATCAGTATGAGAGGTTCCTGCTGCTACTTACGACAGTCCTCTGGTTCGTCCGCTCCATCCTTACAGTCCTCCTCCCCATCACACTTCCACAGCAGAGGCACACAGCGGTCGTCGGTCGCCCCGCACCGAAACTGGGCGCTGCTACAGTTGGCCACACATGTCTTACCGTCCTGTGATAACAGGAAGTCGTCTGGGCATGCGCAGGTGTAATCACTTCCGCCGGGCGCTATCAGACACAGATGGGAACAGCCGCCATTGTCTGAACCACAGGGGTTTGGAGCTGCAACCACATTGCTATATTACGTCAAGTTTTCAAATATGTTTAGTCACAACATAGATTTCCGAAAGTCAGCTTCAGAATTCATTACACAATGACGGAAAAACGTAAACACCATATCGTTTTATATGATTACGTAAACAGTCACCAGATTAGATCTGGAAGCAAACCAGTCTGTAAAGATGGCTTAAATAAGTGAAAAGCTTATCCATGTTATCCAAGATTTTCACTTATACGGGAAAATGTACAGTCAGTCCCCCGCCCCCACCACCACCACCTCGAATCGATGGTATGTATCTACCAGCTGACGGTTTCTGACGTTGCATAAGGTGGTAGGTATATGTATATAGTTCGGCCTATGGAACTAGTGATATATGTAGCCAGTTTCTGCCCGAACTGGTGGTTTATATGAGGGAGAGTGATTGGTGGATATGTATACACCTTGTTTCTGCCTCAGGGGATGGTATATATGAGGGAGAGTGATTGGTGGATATGTATTTACCTTGTTTCTGCCTGAACGGGTGGTATATATGAGGGAGAGTGATTGGTGGATATGTATACACCTTGTTTCTGCCTCAGGGGATGGTATATATGAGGGAGAGTGATTGGTGGATATGTATATACCTTGTTTCTGCCTCAGGGGATGGTATATATGAGGGAGAGTGATTGGTGGATATGTATACACCTTGTTTCTGCCTCCTCAGGGGTGGTATATGATGAGGGAGTTTGACTGGTGGATATGTATATACCTTGTTTCTGCCTCAGGGGATGGTATATATGAGGGAGAGTGATTGGTGGATATGTATACACCTTGTTTCTGCCTCAGGGGATGGTGGTATATATGAGGGAGAGTGATTGGTGGATATGTATATACCTTGTTTCTGCCCTCAGGGATGGTATATATGAGGGAGAGTGATTGGTGGATATGTATATACCTTGTTTCTGCCTCAGGGGATGGTATATATGAGGGAGAGTGATTGGTGGATATGTATATACCTTGTTTCTGCCTCAGGGGATGGTATATATGAGGGAGAGTGATTGGTGGATATGTATATACCTTGAGTGATTGGTGGATATGTATATACCTTGTTTTCTGCCTCAGGGGATGGGTATATATGAGGAGAGTGATTGGTGGATATGTATATACCTTGTTTCTGCCTCAGGGATGGTATATATGAGGGAGAGTGATTGGTGGATATGTATATACCTTGTTTCTGCCTGAGGGAGGGATTGGTGGTATATATGAGGGAGAGTGATTGGTGGATATGTATACACCTTGTTTCTGCCTCAGGGGATGGTATATATGAGGGAGAGTGATTGGTGGATATGTATATACCTTGTTTCTGCCTCAGGGGATGGTATATATGAGGGAGAGTGATTGGTGGATATGTATATACCTTGTTTCTGCCTCAGGGGATGGTATATATGAGGGAGAGTGATTGGTGGATATGTATACACCTGTGTTTCTGCCTCAGGGGATGGTATATATGAGGGAGAGTGATTGGTGGATATGTATATACCTTGTTTCTGCCTCAGGGATGGTATATATGAGGGAGAGTGATTGGTGGATATGTATATACCTTGTTTTCTGCCTCAGGGGGTGGTATATATGAGGGAGAGTGATTGGTGGATATGTATATACCTTGTTTCTGCCTCAGGGGATGGTATATATGAGGGAGAGTGATTGGTGGATATGTATATACCTTGTTTTCTGCCTCAGGGGATGGTATATATGAGGGAGAGTGATTGGTGGATATGTATACACCTTGTTTCTGCCTCAGGGATGGTATATATGAGGGAGAGTGATTGGTGGATATGTATACACCTTGTTTCTGCCTCAGGGGGTGGTATATATGAGGGAGAGTGATCGGTGGATATGTATACACCTTGTTTCTGCCTCAGGGGATGGTATATATGAGGGAGAGTGATTGGTGGATATGTATATACCTTGTTGCTGCCTCAGGGGATGGTATCAATGGGGGAGAGTGATTGGTGGATATGTATATACCTGCTTTCTGCCTGAGGAGTGAGGGATGGTATATATGAGGGAGAGTGATTGGTGGATATGTATATACCTTGTTGCTGCCTCAGGGATGGTATATATGAGGGAGAGTGATTGGTGGATATGTATATACCTTGTTGCTGCCTCAGGGGATGGTATATATGAGGGAGAGTGATTGGTGGATATGTATATACCTTGTTGCTGCCTCAGGGGATGGTATATATGAGGGAGAGTGATTGGTGGATATGTATATACCTTGTTTCTGCCTCAGGGGGGGATGGTATATATGAGGGAGAGTGATTGGTGGATATGTATATACCTTGTTTCTGCCTCAGGGGATGGTATATATGAGGGAGAGTGATTGGTGGATATGTATATACCTTGTTTCTGCCTCAGGGGATGGTATATATGAGGGAGAGTGATTGGTGGATATGTATATACCTTGTTTCTGCCTCAGGGGATGGTATATATGAGGGAGAGTGATTGGTGGATATGTATATACACCTTGTTTCTGCCTCAGGGGATGGTATATATGAGGGAGAGTGATTGGTGGATATGTATATACCTTGTTTCTGCCTGAGGGGTGGTATATATGAGGGAGAGTGATTGGTGGATATGTATATACCTTGTTTCTGCCTCAGGGGATGGTATATATGAGGGAGAGTGATTGGTGGATATGTATATACCTTGTTTCTGCCTGAGGGGATGGTATATATGAGGGAGTTTGACTGGTGGATATGTATATACCTTGTTTCTGCCTCAGGGGATGGTATATATGAGGGAGAGTGATTGGTGGATATGTATATACCTTGTTTCTGCCTCAGGGGATGGTATATATGAGGGAGAGTGATTGGTGGATATGTATATACCTTGTTTCTGCCTCAGGGGGTGGTATGTATGAGGGAGAGTGATTGGTGGATATGTATACACCTTGTTTCTGCCTCAGGGATGGTATATATTAGGAGAGTGATTGGTGGATATGTATATACCTTGTTGCTGCCTCAGGGATGGTATCAATGGGGAGAGTGATTGGTGGATATGTATATACCTGCTTTCTGCCTGAGGGGTGTATATACCTTGTTTTCTGCCTCAGGGGATGGTATATATGAGGGAGAGTGATTGGTGGATATGTATATACCTTGTTGCTGCCTCAGGGGATGGTATATATGAGGGAGAGTGATTGGTGGATATGTATATACCTTGTTGCTGCCTCAGGGGATGGTATATATGAGGGAGAGTGATTGGTGGATATGTATATACCTTGTTGCTGCCTCAGGGATGGTATATATGAGGGAGAGTGATTGGTGGATATGTATATACCTTTGTTTCTGCCTCAGGGGATGGTATATATGAGGGAGAGTGATTGCCCATGGATATGTATACACCTTGTTTCTGCCTCAGGGGATGGTATATATGAGGGAGAGTGATTGGTGGATATGTATATACCTTGTTTCTGCCTCAGGGATGGTATATATGAGGGAGAGTGATTGGTGGATATGTATATATACCTTGTTTCTGCCTGAGGGGATGGTATATATGAGGGAGTTTGACTGGTGGATATGTATATACCTTGTTTCTGCCTCAGGGGATGGTATATATGAGGGAGAGTGATTGGTGGATATGTATACACCTTGTTTCTGCCTCAGGGGGTGGTATATATGAGGGAGTTTGACTGTTGGATATGTATATACCTTGTTTCTGCCTCAGGGGATGGTATCAATGGGGGAGAGTGATTGGTGGATATGTATATACCTGCTTTCTGCCTGAGGGGGTGGTATATATGAGGGAGAGTGATTGGTGGATATGTATATACCTTGTTGCTGCCTCAGGGGATGGTATCAATGGGGGAGAGTGATTGGTGGATATGTATATACCTGCTTTCTGCCTGAGGGGGTGGTATATATGAGGGAGAGTGATTGGTGGATATGTATATACCTTGTTGCTGCCTCAGGGGATGGTATATATGAGGGAGAGTGATTGGTGGATATGTATATACCTTGTTGCTGCCTCAGGGGATGGTATATATGAGGGAGAGTGATTGGTGGATATGTATATACCTTGTTGCTGCCTCAGGGGATGGTATATATGAGGAGAGTGATTGGTGGATATGTATATACCTTGTTTTTCTGCCTCAGGGATGGTATATATGAGGGAGAGTGATTGGTGGATATGTATACACCTTGTTTCTGCCTCAGGGGATGGTATATATGAGGGAGAGTGATTGGTGGATATGTATATACCTTGTTTCTGCCTCAGGGGATGGTATATATGAGGGAGAGTGATTGGTGGATATGTATATACCTTGTTTCTGCCTGAGGGATGGTATATATGAGGGAGTTTGACTGGTGGATATGTATATACCTTGTTTCTGCCTCAGGGGATGGTATATATGAGGGAGAGTGATTGGTGGATATGTATACACCTTGTTTCTGCCTCAGGGGGTGGTATATATGAGGGAGTTTGACTGTTGGATATGTATATACCTTGTTTCTGCCTCAGGGGATGGTATATATGAGGGAGAGTGATTGGTGGATATGTATATACCTTGTTTCTGCCTCAGGGGGTGGTATATATGAGGGAGAGTGATTGGTGGATATGTATATACCTTGTTTCTGCCTGAGGGGTGGTATATATGAGGGAGAGTGATTGGTGGATATGTATATACCTTGTTTCTGCCTGAGGGGGTGGTATATATGAGGGAGAGTGATTGGTGGATATGTATATACCTTGTTTCTGCCTCAGGGGATGGTATATATGAGGGAGAGTGATTGGTGGATCTGTATATACCTTGTTTCTGCCTCAGGGGGTGGTATATATGAGGGAGTTTGACTGGTGGATATGTATATACCTTGTTTCTGCCTGAGGGGGTGGTATATATGAGGGAGTTTGACTGGTGGATATGTATATACCTTCTTTCTGCCTGAGGGGGTGGTATATATGGATGTCCATAGGCCGATGTGTGATATTCCGCATCACCGTGTGGTTGGCGCCCGTCAACTTGTTGGCATATTCGATGGTGAGATGGTTCCAGTCTGTCCAGTACATAGTCTCCTCAAAGATGGTCATTGCGAACGGGTGGGGTACCCCTTCTATTACCGTATGTCGGTTCGTGCCGTCTAGGTTGATGGACCTGTCAAAATAGTTGTTTTTGCTAAAACCATGATCAGCACAGAATACATGTCACGGTATACTCCTAGAATAATTAGATAAACGAACCAACACTTTTCTTAACTCGCCTTTGACCATGGCAAATACGTTACATGTTCTATTGAAACCTAGTTATCCAAAGCAGATAAAAATATCATATTACTTTCAGGTTTCGGAATGGATACTTTGGGCTCTACACATATCAAGTAGGCACCTGAGAATTGGACTTCGCCAAACAAATAGCAAACGTTACTCCGCTGAAAACCATAGCCGAAACACAGCCACAGGCGGATCCAGAGAGAGATCAGGAGTGTGTGTGTGTGCAGGGGTGTCTATATAGGTTTTGTGACATGGCCAAAATGCCGCGATACACGTACACCATGTAGTATGATGTTTTGACTATGAAACTACTTTAATACTTTTCGTGTTGAAGATATACAAGAATAGGAGGTTCATTTATTAATTCACACTTTAAAGGCTATTCGGGGGAACCTACACACCATTGTTGACGGTACTCACTCTATGATATCTAAGTGAGCGTCGGCCCACCACAGTCTGTTCATGTCGTAGTCGATGGCGATGGCGTTAGGCCAGCCCATCTTCTCCGTGATGTAGCTGAGGGAGAGATTCGTGCCATCCAGACCCATCCGGCCGATGTAGGGCTTCGCGCCCCAGTCAGTCCAGTACATGTACCTGAAAGTGTCAAGACGAATACCATCACAATATATGGTAGACCCGTGAAGATCCGGATTAGAATTGATCTTCAGCAACCCATGCTTGTCGTAAGAGGTGAGTAACGGATCGGGTGGTCAGGCTCGCTGACTTGGTTGATACATGTCATCGTATCCCAATTGCGTTGATCGCTGCTCATACTGTTGATCACTGGGTTGTCTGGTCCAGACTGGATTCTTTACTGGCCGCCGTCATATAGCTGGAATAGTGCTGAGTGCGGTGTTAAATAACAAACTAACCAACCAACATTTCATGTATGTCACAGTTACGGAAATGGATCTCACTGTAAGGTAGTGTTGTGTCACATCTTATGTGTAGTGAGGCCATCTGGCTTCTAGAATCAGTTCCACTTCCCTCATTGTCACACGTCATGCTCACTCTCCCTCACTTTTCATGTTTCACGGTAAATTTGGTTGGGTGTGCCGATAATGTGCACAATAATTAGGATTACAAAACTGTTTATCTGTACTACAGTTATGACCAATATATTAATGCCAAAATGTCCAAAATTCGAGTTCAATGTCATAAAACAAATATTGTGTGCAAATTTGTAACCATACAAATACGTCACGAAATTAGTCTTCAGTCTCTCTGCAGAATTTCTGCCTTACACAGTGAGAAAGTAGCAGTAGGTTGCAAACACAAGCTGAACACCATGCACTCTACTTGAATCATCAAGGAGCCGGGTTGACTTTTGCGATATGCAATATGCGGTGGTTAAAATATTGTGTTACAAAAACATACCCATACAATGTGTTTTATACTCAGAGACTTATGAATGAGAAAGGTTAATTTGTGTTGTTTTGTTTCAAAGCTGTCACAAGAACTGACAACATCAATGCAAATATCACATTACAATTTGTCACCAGCCCATCCAGTTGCAGAGACAGATCGATCCTTTGTTATTTGCCTATCGAAACATATATACCATGGACCGTAGTCTGTTTTATACGATCTTGTATGAGGAATAGTGGGCACGCGTCTTGGCGTCTCATGTCTGTTAGTATCATGCTCACTGCATTCCACAATCAGCTTCCTTCAACTAATCTTACCCGCCAAATGGATCCACAACCATGGCCCTGGGACGTTCCATGCCTCTCTTTAGAAGTGTACGCCGGTTTGTGCCGTTCAACTCTGACACGGAGATCTCTATATTCTTCCCGTCCAACCAGTAGATTTTCCTGTCAGTCATAATTCCGTGATGAACATGCATTCTTTAACTGTCCTTAGAAGAACTGCAATGGTCTAACTAACAGCAGCAATCCAACTGTTCACATTTGAGGTAACAAACATTATGTGATGGAACACTGTGCCCTATACTGAATAATCGTAATGTGAGTAACATCCTGAAATCCAAGCGTCAAGGTTCCTAAATTATTTGTGCCGCGTTGTGCCCCTTGGACAAGTTGGTAACCTAATAGTATTATCGGGTTCGAATCCCAGTTCGCCCGAGTATTTGTGCAGCTTCGTCAGCACCGTATCCGTATTTGTTGGTTTAACAAACGTGATAAACATCTTAGACTTGAATTACTTTGGGCTCTCCTTCCACATTAAGCTGACATACTGTGATATAGTAGGAATACTGGTTAAAACTGGTTAAACCAACTCACTCATCCTACATTCTAACATTTATACCTTCCGATCCAGTCAATCGCTATTCCTTCTGCACTGGGAACGTTATGCCTCAGTACTACTTCAGGACCTGTGCCGTTGAGGTACATGCGGTAGATTCTATGTTCCTTGACATCGGAAAAGTAGAGACGATCATCGCTGTAGTCGAAATCAAGAGCAACTATGTTCTGGTAACCCTGTGTGACCCGTCGGTAGTTGTCTCCCTCTATTGACAATTCCCGGATGTAGTAGCGGTTGGCAAATATCAGCCAAGGTGTAATATCTGGAAGTGGGTGTCAATGATTTATAATGAAGCATACGTACATAGTAAAATATAAATTGCATGGACAAAATAAAATGGGTACTTACATCACGCCTCTCATTATGATTTAAATTAGCCTCTCATAAGCGGCATCATGTTTCATCTGGGCCTTGGGGTAGCTCAGTGGTTAAATCAGTCGCTCGTCACGCGGAAGACCCGGGTTCGATTCCCCACATGAGTATATCGTGTGAAGCCCATTACTGGTACCCCCACCATTATATAGCTGGAACATTGCTAAAAACGGCGTAAAACTAAACTCACTCATGTTTCGTCTCTTGAATCATTTTTTCCTTGCTGGAATTGTATGTTAATGGGTCGGCTTAGAAGCCATGTGGTTAAAGCTGTGACTCGTCACGAGGTTGACCCGTGTCCTATACAGTCCCAATTTCAGTCCCATGAAAAGTAACTCACTGTCGGTCTTCTTGCAGGTCCTGCCGTCGGCCAGTTTCTGGTAGCCTTCAGCACACTTGCAGATGTAGCTGCCCAGTGTGTTCTCACACAGCTGACTGCAGGCGCCCGGCTGCTCCACACACTCGTCGATATCTAAACAGGTAACACCTCTGTTTGCTTACTGCATCACAGCTTCATGCACGCTGTAATTATCGTTAGATTTGTAATGTCAAATATATTATATTCATTAAGGTGGTTTCAGAAAGTTATCACTATTTGTGATTTCTTAATTTGATATTGCTTTATAAAGATATAACAAAAATGAAACATGGGAGTAAGGATTTGAACCTTAGACTCAATGACCCATAGTAAAGTCAGAATATTATCACATTAACATAAAACATGATAATAATAATATCGTAAATGAACAAAGCATATGTTCCACCAGTAATAGTGCTATTTTAGATGAACTTCCCATTTCACCTTGATGTCTTCACTTAACGGTCTCATAGAATGCCCTTTCCTGCATACTACTGAAACGATCTAACAGAAGAAAGGAATGTCGCTCATGTGCTATTTACCAATAAACATCCTTTGATTAACAACCTTAAAGTATGTAAAAGATATGTATCTATATACTTCTGTGAATATATTCGTGTGCCATTTCTATCAGCCAGGGGATTCATGAGAATAAACATTCTTCATTTTCGTTTTCGATGTCATCAAACCGTTCTACATTCCTTCCCTTATAAAAGTTGGACATCATCTATGGTACTCTAATTAATCGTCAACTGTGCATGTTGCGACGTAAATAATGCTAGGGATGCTATTTTCCGCTGATAAATAAGTGTTTTTGTTGCATCCGATCTTGTAAACCTGGGAAAATTTAAACTATAATGTCGAAGCTCTTGCAAATGTAGTGGTGTTCCGATGATCGAAAATAATCGAAAATCGATCGAAAGAAGGATTAAAAATGATTATCGATTGTAAAAAACATATTTTCGATTAATTTGAATTTTGTTGTTTTAGTTTAACACACTTGAATGAAGTAAACTAGCGATTAAATTTGACGAATATTCACGAACAAACATGCGCTCAACAGCGTAAAGCTATGCGCATTGTAAATTTTTAACTACTTTTAATGTCTAATTACAATTCCAGTGTCTTTCTTGCATGCATGTATTTCATTGCATGACAGTATTAGTTATAAGGAACATTTATTAGAAAAAACCTGGGGGAAAACCCTTCAAATTGGTGATTTCATTAAAAATGTATATATTTCGATTATAATCGATAATCGTTCACCACAATCCTCCGATAATCGATAGTGGATTTGGTTTCCGATTCCCAACACTACTGCTTAGTCACCCAGCTGGATGTACATTTAATAAGTTCCATACATCTAGGTGGTGACTAATCGCAAAAAAGACTATCGTATAATACATATTATGTAAATGAATCAGTTCACTCAGGGATCGTATTGCTTCGCAGCCTTGAAAGTAAATGAAAATTCTATTATTATCAAACAACATACAACAACACAAATTAACTGTACTTACACTTTCAACACATTTTATGTTCCTTGCAATACCAACATATGTCTACAAAACACAGATGTTAATTACTATACTGTCATATCCAGTCGTCTCTCCATAAACTTACTGCAGTGTGACTCATCCGAGTTGTCGCTGCAGTCGGGGTTCTTATTACACACGTGTTGATAGTTGATACAGTTGCCGTTCTCACACCGGAACTGATTGCCGGGACACGTTGGCTCTGGTGTCACTGTAACAAAGGTGAAGGTCGGTCAGGAGCAGTCGGGTCAAAGATGTCGTAAATATTGTATGGGAGGTGCCATAATATTATGTACAGATATATGGTACTCACAACACAGGTCTTCCTTCTCGTCGGAGCTGTCTCGGCAGTCGTTATCGCCGTCGCAGACCCACCTGTGCGGCACACAACGCTGGTTGTCGCAGGTGAACTGGTTACCACTGCATGTTGAGTAGTCTGAAATTAGTGTGTGAGTGAGTATGGTTTTACGCCGCTTCTAGCAATATTCCAACAATAGGGTGGTCTGAAATGTACCTGATCTGACAACACTGTTTGTCTACATGGATTTACATGCATTCGGATCAAGTTTACGTCAGTAGTGACAAATCAACAAGTACGATATGGAGTCCCACAAACCAGCTAGGGCATATCAGAGATTCGAACTCAGGATATGGCATGTCTAAGCGACGCAACTCTACGTAGTTAACAGCGGCGTCAAGCTTCAATAAATATCCGTAGCTTCAATTAATTTTAATAAAAGTAGTTCTAATGGGGAAGTGGAGTTCAGTTGTAGGAGTACAATAATCCAACACAAATATATATTTGGTGTTAATGATAGAAGAGGGTCATTACAATGAAGTTTGTTTGTTCTGTGCTTTTACATTATGTAATATATACTCATGGAAACAAATAAGGGAACATATGAAAGTACAAGTGTTTCTTTATTCTTTTCCAGGTTTCTTCGCAAGGTATGTATTGCACTGTGAGTGAAATTCTGGAAATAAATAAAGGAACACTTGTACTTTCATGTGTTCCCTTATTTGTTTGTATGAGTATATATAATTATTCAAATAACACCCTTCTTGCAACAAAAGGGCATCTAATCCGTAGCTTACCGCAGTCGTCGGGCTCGTCGGAGTTGTCTCCACAGTCGTTGTCGTGGTCACACTTGAACCTCTGGGACACGCACAACCCGTTGGCGCACTGAAACTGGGTCGGTCGACATGACCGCGGCGGGCACGTCTGGGCCTCGTCCTCGCCGCCATGACAGTTGCGGATGCCATCACAGACGCGCCTCCGATCAAGACATGGGTATGTGCCAACCTGTTTGTTAGACTCGCACGTAAATGTGTCGGGAGGGCAGGTACGCTCAGCTGTAAGCAGATGGTACATATATAGGTATCACTGACTGACTGAGTTTGGTTTTACGCCGCTTTTAGCAATATTCCATCAATATCACGGCGGGGGACACCAGAAATGGGATTCACTCATTGTACCCATGTGGGGATTCGAACCCGGGTCTTCGGCGTGACAAGCCAACGCTTTAACCACTAGACTACCCCACCGCCCTATATAGGTATCAATAGATTCGAAGATGATATATGTACGTTTAATATACACTAGGTTACAACGTCAATCATCATTCTAAAGCTGTTGAGGAAAACATGACACATATATATTACACTTATCAGATCAAATGTGTGTAAACAATTTGTAACCTTGTATATTGCCTAGTCTAAAATGATATTTTGCATCCTATGATTGTACATGGGCCGATGGCCTACTTCCAGAAAAATATTTTTTTCAAAAATTCAATACACAGGGGCGAAATGAAACAATCCACGACCACTGGAACCAGCCCTTCATCAAAGAGACATGTGATTGTTTTACTTGTGTGTTGTTTAACGCCACATGCAACCATATTCCAGCTTTATGGCGGTCTGTAAAACAATCGAGTCTGGACCAGACAATCCAGTGATCAACATCATGAGCATCGATCTACTCAAATGGGATACGATGACCAACCAAATCAGCGAACCTGACCACCCGATCCCCTTTACTCGCCTCTGAACATGGAGTCTCTATCGTGCCATTGCACCCATGCTTAAGGATCAGCATCATATGTACCTTATGGTATTTGGACTGTGCAACCAAGTACTTACAACAGTTGAGAGTTCCTGCCTCGTCTGACTTATCTCCGCAGTCGTCGGCGCCGTCGCACACCCATCTCATGGAGATACAACGACCGTTGTCACACGTGAACTGGTTGCCGAAACATGTCCGGTTGCTGTAATCTGTTAAAATACGGCATATACAGGGCATTGTGGACATATCTGTTTTAAAACATTAATACAAGGGGTATATGACCGGTTTATTCCAGACTGCCGCAAATGCAATCATTTATGTCGGGTAAAATCATGGTTTACATGTTATGATTGTCACTTCAGCAAATTTGTTTTGCTTCTGTCAGCTGATAGGCTGATAGGCTCACATGCAATTTGTTCCACAGTAAACAATAAAAATCCCATCCGGACTTATGATCGATGATAATCACGATGTTACACAGACAACATGGAGTATTGAATACATATTCTACGTACTGCAGTAGTCGGATTCATCCTCTCCGAAGCCGCAGTCATCGTCCCCGTCGCAATGCCAAGTGCCCGGTATACACTTGTGGGACTTGTCGCAGTAGAAGTCTCCTGTTTGGTCAATTACACAGTTTGTAGAACAGTAAAATATTCAGTTTTAAGGTGTATTTGAGGTGTGTGAAAAGTATGACATATCGCCGATCTGCCATTGAAATACTACAGGGCGTTGTTTGAGTGTTTCTAGTTATTGTTCTAAAACATCTTTCACATACACCTTTAATTTTATGAGGGAATATACCATCAGGTGAAAGGTGTTTGCAAGTAATAGTGATAGTATTATAACTAAAAAAAATTTGTTAGGGTGTATTTGAGGTGTGTGAAAAATATGACATATCGCCGATCTGCCATTGAAATACTACAGGGCGTTGTTTGAGTGTTTCTAGTTATTGTTCTAAAACATCTTTCACATACACCTTTAATTTTTATGAGGGGAATATACCATCAGGTGAAAGGTGTTTGCAAGTGAGGTGAGGTGAAGTGAAATTGGATTAACGTCGTGCTTGAGAATATTTCGCTCATATGACGACGTGCATGCGTGTGTATGTGTAGGTGCGGCTGCTTGTACTAGCCCAGACTGAAGCTGGTTTTATAGTGCTAGCCCACTGAGATACCATGCCGCAGTGAAGCATGAATAACCCACTCAGACACATTATACTGACTCCGAGCCGACCAGTCCTTGTTGTACCCATTAATGCCGAGCGCCAGGCAGAGACCAACAAGTACCATATTTTAACGTCTTTTGGTATGACGAGGTCGGGGATCGAACCCGCGACCTTCCGCTCTCTGGGCGGACGCTCTCACCACTACACCACGGAGGCGGTTGTTTGCAAGTAATAGTGATAGTATTATAATTAAAAAAATTGGTTGGGTGTATTTGAGGTGTGTGAAAAATATGACATATCGCCGATCTGTTCTGATACGCCATTGATGCTTGTGATGCTTGAGTGTTATAGTTCACTAAAACTTCTTTCTTTCTTGTTAATCTTAGTATATGACAAAACTGGAAAGGTGTTTACAACGCTTTTATATATATATCTTCATTTCGATCTATCAACAAGACTAAACTAAGGTTTTAACGAACTCAAACGTTAACATTGTTTCTGTAAAACACAGTTTTACCCATAATGCCTCACCAGAAGAGCATGTAACCTGCTGACAGAAGAGAGGGTTCTCGTCCGAGTTGTCGCCGCAGTCGTTGTCGCCGTCACACATGTATCGTCGGACGATGCAGATGTTGGTGGTGGGACACTTCACTTGACCGGATGGGCAGGAACGCGGAGCTGTGAATATAATCGTATATACTATCTATGTCAGTCGGTATAACAGCGCAAGTCTAGTAAATGTGACAGTCATATCTTATGGGTGGAAGCAAATCCAGGTATTCACATTTAGGGGAGTTGGATCCCTATTTGGGACGTTGAGATAGCGTTCGCTCGTCACTCCGAAGGACTGGGTTCGATCACCACATAGTAAAATGAGTGAATCCAGCGTCTGGGGAATCGAACAAGGTTCTTTGGCGTGACGGGCCAACGCTTTAACCACTTGGCTACCCCACTGCCCTTGGCAAGTTGTATTGGAGGAAACATTTAAACTTACGACAATCAGCCTCACTGCCCTTGGCAAGTTGTATTGGAGGAAACATTTAAACTTACGACAATCAGCCTCGTCTGTTTTATTGCCGTCCCTGCAGTTGTCGACGCCGTCGCACTTCTGGGCTAGGCTAATGCACCGAGAGTTCTGGCAGCTGAATTCCTCAGTGCCACAAGTGGGGTAGGCTGGACACAATATGGAAAAGTTATAACATTTGGAATACTTGTACACCGTACAGGTTCTTCACAATCATACTGTTAATATATGGATTTCATTTGTACTTACGGCAGTCAAGTTCATCAGAGTTGTCTCTGCAGTCGTTGTCAAAGTCGCATCGGTACCTGAGAGGGATGCATCTGCCGTTGTTACACCGGAAGTATGTTGGGTCACATGTGTGAAGAGCTATAAATAGACACGAGGAGAAGGTCAGAAATTATCAGAAATCATCAAGCGCAACGATAGATAATATCGAAAATAATTGGCACAAAAACATAAAAAACATTTTCAACGAAACACATTTAGTTCATGCTACTTGTGTAGACTATAGACTGGGCAGGTATCTCCGTTTCTGAAATCGTCAGAAATCGGCACAACGTTGTGGGAAATAGCGATTACAGAGCTGAAACTGCCAATCATTCACATACGTCATGTTAGAGTGCATGTTTCATGAGTGGCTGTTTATCATGCTTATTGATAAACTATGTTTGTGTAATACTATATCTTGAGAGGATTCAGGTTACTGGCTGCGAGTTGTGACCAAATAGATGGTTAGGCGACGGCGTGCATCGTTGCTCAGAATATTGATAACTGGTTTGTCTGAGCCAGACTCCTTTCTTATGCCGAGGTTATATCTGGAAGATTGCTGAGTATGGGGTTAAATATCAAACAAAGAAAAATACCGAACGTACCACACAAGTTGGGATCTTCATCTGACTTATCCTGACAGTCGTTGTCCATGTCGCACACCCAGCGCTGAATCAAACAACGTCCATTTTCACAGACAAACTCGTTTTCGGAACAATTGTTGCTTTTTGGAACGCACATCTTTCCTCCATTTCCGACTTTAAGGTCAAGGCCGTCGTTACAAGCACACTCGGCCTTGCCGCCAGGGGCCGGATGACAGCTGTGACTGCAGCCACCGTTGAAGACGTCGCAAGGGTTGGTGTTACCTGTATTACCCATATAGTATAGATACCAGTGCACATAGTAGCATACATACATGAGTGAACTTTACGTTATATTGTTCATCTAATCTCATTATAATTCCTCAAATAATGAAGACAAAAATGATATCCCTCACTTAGTGAGAACACAAAAAAGAAAATAAGGTAATAAGAATTAATAACTGGATATACCCTACTTTGTCAGAAGAATATACAAAGAACAAAGGAAATAACTGGATATCTCATACTTTCTGACAACAATATGGACAGAAGTAAGGCATGGCGACCTTCTTGTGATGCCTCGAAAGACCTTGACCTTGTGACTCACATTTCTGTCTGTCTGCTGCATACACAGTTAGTCCCATAGGCCGTGTGGAGAGACCCTGGATTATCACCTGCATGTTGGACCCCGTGAACTTGTTGGCTCGGAACACACCGCCTGCATAGGAAGACAACATCACGTATCAAAACTGGAACAACTGCAGGACATACAATGTAGGTATGGATGAGGTTTACTATTCATTAATACTGAATTAGATAAGTGGGTATGGTAGCAACGGGTAACATACTGACAAGATAAGTGGGTATGGTAGCAACGGGTAACATACTGACAGGATAAGTGGGTATGGTAGCAACGGGTAACATACTGACAAGATAAGTGGGTATGGTAGCAACGGGTAACATACTGACAAGATAAGTGGGTATGGTAGCAACGGGTAACATACTGACAAGATAAGTGGGTATGGTAGCAACGGGTAACATACTAACAAGATAAGTGGGTATGGTAGCAACGGGTAACATACTAACAAACGAGCAATCGGCATCAAAATACAATTATACAAATAACTTGCGTTTTGTATGCTCTATCAGTTGCCTTCCCCACAAAGTTCGATATTACGATTACTAGTTTCATATATATACACTTCATCTGATCCTGCGTTGAGTGCCTAATGTAGTACAAAGTGAGTGAATGCGTTGGATGTTACGTGGGAAATCGAACCCGGGCCTTCTGCGTGACGAGTGAACGCTTTTTTTAACCACTGGGCTACCCAACCGCCATACAGTATAGATATCTCCGGCCTCGATTGCCTTTCATACAAAGTTCTATATTAAGGTGACTCGTTACATGTATGCATTTCCCCTGAACGTTGGGTGACCAATAAGGCATGGACATTTCCTGCTGCCAACAGCGGTTTGAATCTGGCTGATCCAGCAGTCGGTCCTGACGACACACTGCAGCAACAGGTTTTTTCACTTACGCAAGGTCCAATCTGTCCAGTAGATGTGATCCCGAAATATGCTCATCGAGAATGGATGCACTGTGGTCTCTATCACGACTTCACGATAATTTCCATCAGTATTGGCTCTTTCAATCCTGTCTCTAGTTTGGAAGAAAGGAAGATGCAATACAGAGAATTGAACATTTGAAACAAAAGGGTAAAACATAGAACGTCAGTGCAAAAGAATAGTTACCCGGTCTTGACTGTCCTCAGAAACAAATTCCGTTTGGTGTAAAGGGAATAATAGCTGTAAAATTATATGCAATATCATAATGTCTTAAAACAGATAAACATATACCATCTTAATTCGTTAAGAATTATATTCATATACAGTCAAACACCGTTGTGTCGAACTTAAAGGGACATACATAAACACTTCAAGTTATTGGAAGTTTGACACAACCGCATAATTTTGACTAAAAAAGGGACTAAGCGTTTACTTCTACGCAACCGTAAGTTCGACACAAGGGTGTTTGACTATACATCACTGTGTGAGCAGCCCGCCACGTACTTCATGGCATCTGCCCAGTATATCATCTGCTGCTCGTAGTCTATGGCGAGGCCGTTGGGCCAGCCAAGATCCGTGGTGACGATGGAGGTACGCTGGTTCCCTGCCATCGTTGCACGCTCGATCTTTGGGCTCCGACCCCAGTCCGACCAGTACAGGTATCTGAAACAGACACACATCAGTGTTGAGACCCTCAAATACATACACACTCCTCACTTCAATCTAAAAGTGGTTCCTCAACAACGTAAAGACTACAGAAGATCTAATGCTTTCAACAGCTAGTATACATATATGACTCTAGTATACAGTGGGTGATTTGGGTTGAACATTATAATTTTTAAAAGTATATCCTTGCGGGAGACGACAGAAATATATCATAGAATCCTGGCCTGTGGTGTGGCGATTTCCACTTTAGCCACTAGACTTCCCAACTCCACTAACCCCTTAGTTCAAAGACTACTAAAGCTACTGACGTACCCGCGGCAGGGATCGATGGCTAGAGCCCGAGGGCTGCTGACAGATGCTAGCGCCACCTTGTTGCTGTGGTCGAGGTTCATGCTGTAGATCTTACTCTTGAACAGATCTGCCCAGTAGATCTTCTTGGACACCCAGTCAAATGCTATTCCCTCAACAGAGGTGATGTCATTTGTAGGCCCAAACTCTGTAAGTTAATCATCTGCTGTGTAACCGAATACAACCTTGACACAACTGCTTGTTATGAACATTATTCAGATTAATCCTCTTTTAGATCCTGTTCCCCTGCATACAGAGCTTGCTTAAAATGAAACAGAGCGATGATGATGTTACCCGATGATGATGTATTCGAATATGGTGTATCACACATTTGTTTATAACCTTACGTTTTCAGTGTTCCTGCTACTCTTTAAGCCAAGTACCTTGTGATAAAGTTTATAAATGTTTAAGCAAATTCAATCTTAAAGTAAATACGTTTGCCTGGCAGCCTAGTTACATTGTTGTATCTGCGTTCAAGGTGCATACACAGTAATATTGTACCGACTCAGGCCCTGTTGTATTTAATGGACTCTCAGGCTTCCTTTATACCGTATTCACTCTATCTGAATCTGTTGAAATAATTGTGAAAGAAAAAATCTACACATTTATGTTGTTAATCATTGAGGTAAACACAGTGCAACAATAAACATAGTACACCAAGCTCTTGAAGACTGAGTTCTCCTACATGTGCAACAAATGTTTCAAGCGCTAGGCTTCCAGATTGGCCATGCATACATACCCGATAAGTTGGACTTGGCTACAAGATCCTCCACAACAGTCTCTCCTTTCATCACTCTGCTGATCTTCTTCTCCCCGACCTGGCTGAAGTAGATGTAGTTGTCATTGACGTCGAAGTCGACAGCCACCGCCCCCTTCAGCCCGGTGATGGTGGGGATGGGGAGGGTGCCGTCATCGGGGTTCAGGGACAAGCCGCGGATCTCAGTCTCCGCAGCCAGGATGAGGAACTCGGTCAAAGCTGGACAGAAGAAACCATATGAAATCGTCAATATACCATGATGCATTTGAGAGAAATAACATTCAGCAACAGAACATGTTGAATGTCAGAGAAGGCATGGCATATGATCATGACATCCTCCAGAATACAACAGTGCATGTCAGCGAACTTGCGTTCTTCAACAGAGAATGCTGAATGTCAGAGAAGGTACATGATCATGACATCCTCCAGAATACAACAGTGCATGTCAGCGTACTTGTGTTCTTCAACAGAGAATGCTGAATGTCAGAGAAGGTACATGATCATGACATCCTCGAGAATACAACAATGCATTTCTGAGAACTTATGGCGTCATCGCCACACTTTGTGAATTGATATTATACATCATTGTAACCATCTCACACACCTTCACATGTCCTCCCATCTGCAGCAAGCTGCCCGGCTGAGCAGGAACATACGGGAGTGGTCTCCCCTGGCATGGAGAAACACAGCTGTTGACAGCCGCCATTGTTGTTAGTACACGGACTGGTTCCACCTGGCTGGCTAGATTTGTCAAATATGGCGACATCTCGTACATTCAGCAAACTGGACTTGATGACTTCCGGCTTCTGCGACTGGTCGCTGGTTTTGGATATTCTGTACAGCTTCAACCGGGGAAATATTGCATTAATGCTATTTCAACGTGAAATAAATGTGGATGGTGATGTAAACATGGAATTGTTATTTTTATTGCCATTGAAGGGTTTAACAAAATGCAGTCGTTTCTGTTGGTGATGTGCTGGACTAACAAAGCAGACGGTGGTAATGGAAACACAAACCATCTTTCATTGCTTTATCATGTGTGTATCAAAATTGCCCGAAAACATTTAGTCACTTATCTGTTGTCTTTGTTGTAGATCAAATTCCGATAATCCGATAGTGTATCTTTTAAGACATCTTTATCTTAAAGTATGGATCGCTAGGTGTATATTTACCTCTTTTAGGTTTTTGTCCACCCAGTAGATATAGTTTCCGTACAAGGCCAGGCCATATGGGTTGGGGAGATTCAGACGTACAGTTCGTCTATTTCCTCCGCTGAAGGAAACACTCTACAAGAAAGCGGTGGATTACTTATCAGTTCCACTCGGCAGAATTAATATATGTTATACATTACACGTTGTTAAAGTAATCCCAAACAATAACAAACATAATTCTTAGACAAGGCTAACACGGATGTACATGCTTTTTACAAAGTATTTTCAATGTAGCAATGCATTTGCACTACATGTAATACTGTGGCGTATGGATCAAGGGTTTTCTGTTTTCAACATCTGCTGGCGTTAAAAATACACGAAGAAAACCCATTTTAAAAAAAAAAATGTACCCCATGACAATGTAGGAGGACACTGACCCCAGGGATTTTAAAGTTTTAGTATCAGTCAACAGCACCACGGTACCTGTATGGCGTCTATCATGGAGTCTACCCAGTACAGATTGTGAGTCTTGTAGTCGATGGCTAGGTCGCGGGGGAAGCTGATGCCGTTGGTCACGATGGCGGTTCTGTTGCTGCCGTCCAGTCTAGAGCGTTCTATCTTAGGTTGCTGGCCATAGTCTGCCCAGTATAGATACCTGATGGATGGAGGTGCAGTGAGTGAACACTACATTAATCCCAGTCAAATACACTTCAGCTGTTTGAATAAACGAGGCTGGCCCCTAAAGCCTTGTTGCTGACAATTAAAGCAACGATCTCGATCAGAAACATTGCAAGGATACCGATTCATTCAGGCCACACACGGCAACTGACCGATCTTATTTTCGTTGACTTTAAATTTATTACCAAGGGACAGTTTCACGAGGCAATTTTAACGCAGAGATTGTGGTACGTCTGTATAATATATTTTAACTTACATACTGATCGCTTTGTGAAACGGGACCCTGGACAATCTTGGCTTAAGATGTTACAGTTTGCTTGACATAGTCTTACCGGTGGACATATAAGATAAAGATTACTTAAAAACTCAAGGATTGTATTGGAACATAAAAAATATTCATATTACACTGTATACCTATGTACCATAAAAACTAAGAATATTTCTAAAAGTGTACCTCTTGATGGGGTTCACAGCAATAGCTCTGGGAGATCCATGCTGAGATTTGACGATGACTCGTCGGTGGGAACCGTTAAGTCGAGATACTTCGATGAAGGTTTCAACAGCAAAAGCGTTCGTGAAGTATATGTTCTCTACAAGACAAAATGAAGTTATTTAACATTCTACTGCTACCCAGTAGGACCAAATCTTAACATTTGATCGTCACACCAATATGATCATTGAGATTCTGACTTTGACTTACGGGCAATCCAGTCCACCGAAACACCATGGATTCCTCCAGTGCCAATTCCGGAATTGATGACGTCCTCCATTCCAGTTCCGTCTGGTTTCATCCGCCTGACACCACCTCGTTTGGAGCTGGTCTTGCCAGGTGGTGCTGCGTCTGCCCAGTAGATGTACTTACCTGCCATGTACACATCAATCTGACTTGCTGCACGGCCTGCAACAGAGGATAAACGGAAACTTGTGTTGAATAATAGATGACATTCGGTGGGCATCAACACCGCCTGTAGTCGTTATATCTCAAACGGTGCTTTGTGTAAATTATTCTGATGATGGCTTAGTGTTCCACACACGTAATTTATTAAATTTGCGACTTTAGTCAGACATCGGCTCACCTGATCCGGCTATAGGCATCATGGTCTCGCCGTGGTCGCCTCCCGTCAGACCAAATCCTCGTATCCTGCTATACTGGGACACAACGACGAAGGACTCTACACCTGCACAACATAAAGAGATGTGGAGATGTGTACAAATGTATTGTAGCGTTCATTGTAACAACGGGAACAACACGTGACAAATGAGAAGAAAGGCCATATTTCATGACGTCACAGGCGGTGTTATGAATCGTAATTCTACACTCGGGAAATATGACCAGTAATGTCTCGGAAAAGTTTAAGTGGTACTTACTGGTGCAGGATCCATTGTCCTGCCTGATGAAGCCGGTTGAGCACTGACATACTGCCTGTCCTGCTGGCCCGCTGGGGAGACAAAGCTGCTCACAGTTGCCGTAGTTGGTCTTACAACCTGTGTGACCACCTGGTAAAACAATGTCTGAGTGAGGAGAAGATTCTGTTGATCGATGCCATCACCATGAGTCATACCACCTGTCATTTACACCTATGTAAGAAAAACAACCTGTCCCTTGTGCGTGATGTACGAAGGCACCAACAACATGGCAACTCCCTCAACAAAAGATGGCTAGAGATGTTAAGGCATTCTCAATATCGATCTGGTCAATCCGAGAAAGAGTTGGTCTTTTATGCCGCTTGAAGTAACATTCTAACAAAAAAAAGTAGTTTGACCACTTGAAATGGGTTTCAGATATTGCACCCATGTGGGGATTCGAACCTTGGCCCTTGGCATGAAAAACGAATGTTAAAATAGCGCCGCTACCCAGCCGCTCAAGATATATGAATTTTAAGCGGTTTAATAAAACCCCGCTAAATTTCTAAATGCCTTGTCAAATGCACTGAATTTGTAAACGAATTGTGATAATAATAATTTATGTAACTATTCTATATTCGCCATCTTGATTGCATATTTATGTTAAAATGTATATCATTATATTCTCATGTACCACCGTGGGTGTTGTTTTTAGAGAATAAAATATCCCGTTCTATTCTGGTACATGTTCTGTAATCTCATTTCCGCTGGAGAAGAAACCGATATATCAACGTAAAGAATAAGATGTTGACTGAGAACAAAACCTTTACTATGCCTGTCATGGTAAACCCGTACTGCTCCAAGAGACTCCAGGTTGTTGCGGAGGGCCTGAGGGTTGTTGAGGTCGGACAGATGGGGCGGAGTAGATCCTCTCGTAGGCGGTGTCGGCGAAGTAGAGGATGTTGTTATACACTGCAAGGCCGCTTGGATGGCCCAGGTTCTCCACTGCTTGGGACCGAGATCCGCTCCTCAGCGAGTGGCGGCTTATCTAAACAGTCAACAATACTTCTGTAGCCTTTGAACATTACCTACGTTACGAAAGTTAACTGGGCACATACAGAACGGAATTGAAGAATATCAATGGACAAAGGAGATGATTATTATTTAGGCCATGAATATTTCATATTAAAATGGAAAATTATTGAATGAAACCATTGAGTGAGTCATCTTTTAACAATATTCCATATCACGTCGTGTGGTGTTAATGTGGGAGGAGGGGGCGGTGGGGTAGCCTAATGGTTAAAGCGTCCGCTCGTCACGCCGAAGACCCAGGTTCAAATCCCTACATGGGTACAATGTGTGAAGCCCATTTCTGGTGTTCTCCGCCGTGATATTCCTGGAATATTGCTAAAAGCGGCGTAAAGCCAAACTCACTCACTCACTAATGTGGGAGGAAAGCCCGAAGTAATGCAGATCTTAGTCGATTACCGCGTGAAAAATTACGACCACTTCCATCGTGCTGACAAACGTAGAAATATACACATGCGGTGAGCTAAACTTGAATACACAATGAGGTTTCTGGCACGCCAAAGTGACCTAACTCTACACTGCGGCATCGTGGACGATAGGCTTACCCCTGTCATAGCAATTAGAGTTACAACATTCCTTCTGTTGCAGGGAAACATTAACACCGAGAATATAAACTAATACACATGTGTATTGTACAACTGACTTTTGTTGAGTGCTATTTTATAACTTTTCACAAGTGCATATTTCCATTGCATATTAATGTAATCTTTAAACACTGAGGGAAGATTGAATATCTGTGCATACATCAAAATGCACAAAGCATTGTCAACTAAGGATTTCATACAGGAATACCAACGATAAAATATGTGTGAAACCTTTGAGACCTTTTGGTAACCTTCTTGTGAGGATTCCAAGTATATTGTCAAATTTACATATAGGGGTTTGTTCAGAAGGAAACAAAGGGACCAAGCTGGCCAACTGATGGACCTAGTAGGGAAGTGTTATGATGGAGCTGCTTACCCTCTGGTAGAAAGGATCCGACCAGTACAGCATGTCATTCTTAACATCTAGGGCCAGGTACTCTGGCTTCCGGAGACCACTGTTGACGAGGATGGTGGGGTTAGAGCCGTCCATGTTCATCACTGCAATCTTCATCTGTATCCCGTCAGTGCCTTGATCTGACCAGTACAGCTTGCTGGAATAAAAGCGACATTTTAACATCTTGGCCTTTGCATGGACAGACATTGTATAGTCAGGAATTGCGGAATGTAGCAGCATCGACGCTGATTGACTGGTTAGAAAGTTCACAAAAAGTGGCCTCATATCGTGTCATAGGATCTTCACACAGGAAGGTACAAGATCTGGTTTTAATGAGTCACCAGCTACTGATACTATTTTGTAGAAAATATCGATGAAGGTTTCTCCAAGAACGCAACGAGATCGGCTTGTGAAACTCACCCCTGTATAGGATCCGCGGCCAGAGAGAAGGGTCTGGCACAGTCTGTGGCCTTGCCGGTATTGCTGAGGATGATCTTCCGGAAGTGCTTGTCGCCGTCAATCTTCATCACCTCGATGTATCCGGCCGCCATGTTAGCCCAGTACAGGTTGCGGGAGATCCAGTCGACCGCTATGGCGTTGGGGTAGCCCTCCACAGCAGCTGGGACAAACGTCGACTCGTTCATACCGTTAAGGCCGATACGATTAATACTACCCTGAAATTAGAAATAAGATTCAATATTTTGTCGAACTATTGCCATTGAGGCTTGTGCATACCACAATGCCAGTGACATAAGTTTCAATAAGTACTAAATGTATAGGCAGGATGTGTTCACTGTATATATCACCAGGTGAGACGCACACATGTCCTGTAACGACATACCAATTAACGTTGCCTCCATACACAACACATGATTGTACATGTATGGTTAGAGTTACTGTGTTAAAAATCACTGAAATTTTCCCCTTAGACAATTTACAAAACGACCAACACATATATAATTATTATCACGAATAATCAAAATATTTTGAAGTTGAATTTCGTCATTATCATCACCACCATCAAGTATCATCATCTGAACATGAGGTGATAATAAGGAAACTAAGTTAACGTACATTTATCATTCATTTTTGCCTCCAATCCAATATAATTAGTTCTTTGTGATGTTTAATCCCCTTCGAAATTCTTAAAAATATTTAGTCAATCCGTCAATTAAATGAACCGAAGTGTATGTTTTAGAACACTTTACAGAGGTACAGATAAGCTGCGTATCTGCGTAAATTACGCAAATATTTAAGTGAAAACTCAGTTCCTTGTAAGTCTATTGCGTAAAAGTACGCTTGAAGTTTTTGAAATACATTTGATCTTACATGCGTAGACACAAAAATGTCAAATCTTAACTTGTGTACCGGTGGATAGATAAAATAACTGAGGTATATTGAGAGGTTCTATTTCAACACATGAATTTGGCAACTTGCAGTCTTCCCTGTCGTTTCTCAGATTACAGATCAAATATAAATAGCAAACACATAAACCAATATTTAAACATTATCATATTTTTACAATTTATGGAAAATGGCAAAATACCCAATTGAGCTTGAGTAAGGTTGGTACAATTTATTGAGTTAATCATAGGAAAATTAGGATACCCAATGGAGATGAACACAAGCGAGTACATAACTCAATGATCCAAAACGTTATCTGTAGCTTTGACTTATATATTTAGGCATTTTGTAAATTTCCCAAGTCAATCACATTTAACACACTGGTGTCTACATATAAAATGCCAGGTGTAGGAGGTAGGCACTGAAAAATAGACAAATTTAACTGAAAAACGTTCTTTTACTTACCACCTTTGACTGAACATAGTAGATAAATTTGTCTTCGCTGTCGTAGTCGAAGTCCAGGCCGCTAGCAATGGCACTGATGGGTACAAATGCCGCGTCCTCTTTCTCTGCAAGGTTTATTCCTGCGAGCTGGGTGTTGGTCATGTACAGAAGAACATTCTCATGGGCTGCAATAGGACAAGAGTATGACTTTGTACATTGTTTGTGAAGGGAGAATTAACTTGGGTAAACTGTCTCCGATCAAGCATTATTCCTACAGTTTACATAGTTTACCTTTTATCATGCACAACACTCTAGCCCTTAAATGAATTTTCATTACACAATAAACACTCCGTTTGATTTCATTTAAAACAGATGAATTGCTCACTAACACAAAATCTAATAACTGCAACAAAACCACTTTCTGGTAAAATAGCCAGGTAATCTACAAGCGTGTGTTGTGAAATTGAAATTTCACACATGCAACTCGCACACCTGGCTGTTCTACCAGCAAGTGGTCCCCCCTCGTAAAAAATGGCGAAAAGTGACAACAAGATAACGATCGTGTGTTAAACAACTTTTTTATTCGGGTGTCCAAAATTATGAGACAAATCATCAGAGTTGGTCTGTCGATTTCATGTGACTGTGCAAAATTTGGTTTTGTTGCAATTATTAGATTTTGTGTTGTGAGCAATTCATCGTTCTTAATTGAAATCAAACGGACTTTAGACGTTTCACAAGGCACAAGGTCTTGACCTGCAAGTAACAGAATTCATCAATGGATCGTATTTCCAGTTCAACAATTCAGTTTTATCTCTAAAACACCTTCATCTGGATACGCTTCTAGATGAAGCGGGACCACGGATGGCCCTGTTGTTCTAGGGCGCGATAATTCACTGTGCAAAGCTGGTTGTAAAGTAAACGATACATTAATTCTTATTTGCACTAAACTACGTTGATTCACCTATATATTGCCATATTCCACATTCCGAAGTGATGCATTAATTTGTGTTTAAAATGGTACCGCGCGTGTTACCATGGACCACAATTACACGATCACTACAGTCAAAGTTCAATACCTTCCACACAGTTGGTATTGGATGCGTCCAGCTTCATATCGACAGGGCAGGTGCAGGTGTACCCAGGGTTGGGGTTGGGGGACAGGAGACACAGGTGGCTGCAGGGATGGTTGGCACACGGGTTGGTTACTGGAGCAAGAAGTGTAAACATGTTATACTTGAGATTACACTTTATCCGTAGAATACAGATCCTAGTACTTTTGGGAGTCGAGTCTCATCCGGGATTCCAATCCACACACTCAGATTATGGCACCTAATCGCCAGCATATTCTCCAAACTGGCACAACATTTAAGTTAACAAAGGGCGTTTTTCAGGAATTGTTACGAAATGGGTCGCTGAAGGGGAAGTCATAGGATATATACCATACAAGAACAGCGATAAGATGTCTTTATAATAGTGGAGGGCTTGATACACGCTGGGTAGTCAACCTGTCGAGCAGCAATGAATCTGCTCAAGGCGAATACTTGTGTATTTATTCTTCTGATTAATGATTATGAAACTTTCCTCCAATGATTGTATGTTGTTTTTTTATTGTTCCCATCAATACAAATTTGAGTATATGTGTAGCTTTATGTGAGTATACATTGCTGAAAGATCAAATATATGTATATATTGCACATTGAGTTTCAGTGGTTAACAATGGTCATTCTGGATCAAATACTGGGAATAGAAGAAACCATATTTTGGAGAATTTATCAAAAACATTGTTTATATTTTGATCATATGTTGTTATCACCTGCTTTCACAGCCGGTGGGAAGCCAACGAGCTTGGGCTGGCGAGACTGATGATACGACACGATGCCTAGAGGTCGGTTGAGGCTGGCGGCTTCCACGGTTCTGTTGGAACAGTCGAACTTGTTGCAGCGTGAGACGCGACTGGCTGCTCGATCTGTCCAGAAGATCCAGTCTTCAAGGATGGTGAGGGCGTGGGGATGTCGTAGAAACTACAATCACAGAGCCAATGGGTGAACAAGTGATTGAGTGAGTATTAGTTTCACGCCGCTTTTAGCAGTATTCCAGCATTATCAAAGCGAGTGATACCAGAATTGGGCTACACACTACCAATGTCGGGAATAGAACCTGGGTCTTTGGTGCGACGAGTAAAAGCTTTAACCACTACGCTACCCCCGCCGCCCCAGAGGTAGAATCATAGGGTATTAACTATTTGGAAAAGGATACAGGTGACATTTCATTCAGTTACTTTTAATGATCCTCATATGCATCATGTTGATTGGTTAGTTCCTTCAAATTCTTCTACCGTTTGCACTGTTACAGACGGGCCTTACCAATGTGACGTCATATTGAATATGGTGTCATCCATGTTTCTTGACGACAAATGCTATTTCATGTGACGCTAACAGAGGTAAGGAAACAAGCAAGGCAAGAACAATGACTATAACAATAATAAAGAAAAAGAAAAAGAACAATGACTATTCAACCCGTGGCTCGAAATTACGGTATGTGTCCCTCGTGAATTAATGTTGACAGATACTGGGTAAGCGTGTGGTGTTATCGAAAACAGAACAATCCGATATTCCTTACGTGGTCATTGGAGAACACTTTCCTCCTTTCTGAACCGTCGTAATTACACACGTCGATGAAGTCCATTCGGGCGTCTGCGAAGTAGATTTGCTTGTTGGGGTAATCTAGTGAGAGCGCGTTGGGCCAGTAGATGTTGGTGGAGACGATCACCTCGCGGTTGCTGCCGTCCAGACCAGACCGCTGAATGCTTGGGTTTTGTCCCCAGTCGGCCCAGAACAGAAGCCGGATTCTGCAAAACAACTCCTTTACAATACATGCTTTCAAAATAGTGCAGAAGTTAGTGCACTCGTTACGAGTGATTGAGTGAGTGAGTTTAGTTTTACGCCGCTTTTAGCAATATTCCAGCAATATCTTCTACAGCAAGTGGGGGTGGGGGTGGACACCTGAAATGGGCTTTACACATTATATCGATGTGGATAATCGAACCCGAGTCTTCGGCGTGACGAGCTAACGCTTTAACCACTGGGCTACCCCGACGCCCCGGTCGTTCCGAACATGTATTTAAATTAAAATAATCTATTTAGCACTACTAGGGGATGGAGCAGTTTTTCTATTTCTGACGTTTTTCAGTTGCATCTATGTGTTTAAAATATTCTTCTCGATTGAATAGCTGACAGAGATTAGTTACAATATATTTGACTTCGTTTACTAAAACAAATGATGTAGGTATTTGATGAACTATTACCCGTCTCTGGGGTCGACCTCTATGCCGCGGGGGTTGGTGATGTTCTCGCTGAAGAGCACGACCCTGTTTGTGCCATCCACCCGGGACACCTCCACCGTCTCCATCCTGTAGTCCGTCCAGTACAGGTTCCCCGCCACCCAGTCCACAGCTATGTCCTCCACAACGTCGATACCCGTTGTCACGATCTGCGTGCACAACACATCTCGATATATAATGAAACAGATAAGGCACTGTAATGGTTAGTCATCTTCTTGAAGAGTGAAGGCCTGGGCAATATTTCAGTCACGTAAACACGGAAGTAATATGGCTTTGCTTCTTTGCCGTTTACTACCACACGGCGCTATTCCAGCCATATCACAGCGATCTGTAAACATTGAACTCTGGGCCAGACAATTCAGTGACTGATATCATTGCATCGATCTACGCACTCGTGACATGATGACATACATCAACCAATCAGCGAGTTTGAGCCATTTCGTTAGTCGACATGTATGCGTAGATGGACCAATTTTAACCCGATTCCTTCAGGGAAGTCTGATTCAAGGTATTAACAACTATGCAAAAACAAAATGCTTTATAACAGTTATGGACTTATTTGCCACATGTCTATGTGTTACCTTGTACAACAATTTTCATTGTTCCACAAAATGTGAGGGTTTTATGGCATGTACAAACTATCTCCTAGACTGTACCTCAGTTAGATTTGTTCCATTATAGGTGGTCCTGAAAATCTTCTTGAGTCCAGTGTCGGAGAAGTAGATATAGCCATTCCATACATCAATGTCCAGGCCCGAGAGGGATCTGAGTCCAGACACCGGGAGGTCACTGTACAACTTGGCATTGAGCGTGGACCTGACCAGAGTCTTCTGGGTCGCTACCATGATGTAGAGGAGGCTGGAATCTGGGGATACGGAACATAAGCTACAGAGTAAACTGACCACTCCAGGATTACCATTCCAGAGACACAGCTTAGCTCTATCAGTTCCAATGAGGCAATGCTATTTGTTTGTTTTTGTCTTTGTTTGTTGTTTAACGCCGCACTCAACAATATTCTACTATATGGCGACGGCCTGTCAATAATCGAGTCCAGACAATCCAGTGATCAAGAGCATGAACATCGATATACGCAACTGGGATACGATGACATTTGTCAACCAAGTCAGTGAGTCTGACCACCTGATCCCGTTTGTCGCCTCTTACGACAAGCATGTGTTGCTGAATACCAATTCTAACCCGGATCTTCACGGTGTCCCAGAGCTGGTCTTCCAGGGATCCGTAATAGATCTCACCACTCTAAGAATACAACGCAAGTCAAAAGCTAAGCTGTATAAGCCTAACCGCGCTAATGACACTCATGGCTACTATTCCAGGAATACGTCGCAGGTCTAACCATTACGGTGGAATCTTCTTTCTGAGAATATCGTGACTGAGTATTTCGCGTACATCTTCTACTGAAGGATCGCAACGCTGTGTTTATGTTAATGGCGATGAAGGTACATTTGCCTTCTCTAACAAACGCTGCACAGCTGATGCTTACTTCGGTTGGCCTGGCAGTGGACTCTGTCGGGCATCAGGTCGTAGTAGGGTCCGCAAGAGCACTTGAACGATCCCTTGGTGTTCGTGCACTGCTGACTACATGCTCCCGGTACGGCACACTCGTCCTTGTCTGGAACAATACACGGTATCACATAACTGTGAGTGGTGGTGGGTTAGCCTGGTGGATACAGCGTTCGCCTGTCACATCAAGGCCCGGTTCGATTCAGAACATAGGTATAATGGGTGAAAAAGAATTTTGGCTTGATTGCCGGAGTACTGCCTACTTATTTACTCATATGATAGCATTTACATGAAGCTGCCTTATTATACACAGCTCTATCACTGAATGAACATGTTTGTAGAACGGAAACGTTATAAACAAGATTAACATGACGCATGTGTGATTATTCTAACACCGACAGTTGTAGTATAGTTTACATGAACATGGCCTATACATTGCTTAACACATTGTGGTTCCAGCTTACCTACACTACAATCGAACATTGCTTGAAACTAATAGATGTATACATTACACATGGGGACCTATCACCACATGTGCATGCAACGCAGTATAACATCTCTATTTCACAGGTGTTAATTACAACTCGGTTACAGCATTATTACATTGGTGTATGTTCATTACATTTACGCTACCTTTACAAACACATATATTCCATACAGAACTGTAACCCAGCCAGTTCAGACATTACTTACTTCATGTGAATACACATCCTCGCTGGTGAAACCTACATGAACGGGAGCACGCACCTGCATGTACATTGCACAGTGACTGAACAGTGGCTGTTTACAAAACACTGTTGACAAATGTTGACAAATACCTATTACCACTCAGATGGTGCTTACCTATACAGGTTTTGGTTCCATTAAGCTGCTGACCGCTGAGGCACCTGCACTCCGCCCCCCGGGGCGTCTGGATACACCGGTGACTACATCCGCCGTTCTTGAAGCGACAGCTATCAGAATCTGTAAACATAGCCAACGACACCAATACATTACCGCTGTAAATTTGGTGTCAAAGTAAGTCATTTTTTACAAATAAAAAGTGACAGAAAAGCATTTCCATAATGATAAGAGTGAGTGAGTGAGTATGGTTTTACGCCGCTTTTAGCAATATTCCAGCAATATCACGGCGGGGGACACCAGAAATGGGCTTGCACACATTGCACCCATGTGGGGAATCGAACCTGGGTCTTCAGCATGTCGAGCGGACGCTTTAACCATTAGGCTACCCACCGCCCCCATAATGATAACAAAACGCTGCCTAAAGCAGTGTTCATTATGTGATTCCTTCTAATTCAAGGGCACGTTTTTTAATCACTCGCACAAAGTAATGATACCAGGTGTTCGCGTAAAATTGAGCATATTCTGCCCCGATGTGGCATCCTTTGTAAACACACGATCACTAGAAAAATATCCTTTTTTTTTTTTTTACTTGTCAAGTTTAATAGAAAAATATCATGAAAACCTTCAGAAATTCGACCTCCAATCATTCAGTCTCACTTTTTCACTTTGTGTCACATTGTGTTAGCGTATTCTTGCTGGAGGTTGGGTATGTACTGACTTCAATGGCTATTGGCTTCCAAGTAAGAAGTACTCATATTATATATACAGACACTGCACTGTTTTATACTATACTACGGACATAGATTCGACAGAAGTACTATCTATACAGACTGATATACTCTGCGTACAGCGCATTGGTATGTAATCATTACAGACAGGGCTCTGATATATTCTGCGACCAGTGTATGTACTCACTACAGACAGGGCTCTCATCGTGTCCACCAGGGCAGTCCTCACGTTTATCACACACTTGGGACACATTGATACACTTGCGGACATTCCCTGGACACTCCCACTGACCCGGGCACGAGAAAGGGGGTGGAGCTGAAAGAGTCGAATGAATTCCCTGTGATACATTATATATTGAGTGATTAAAATAGCGATTCCTATCATTTGATATTAATCATATCTTTGATATCAAATTTAAATATCTTAGCGAAATCAAATAAAAAGTTATGATCTGCACTGGGGCAAAGACAGCACTAACAGAATTTTCAAATGCAAATTGATTAAACACTTGAGCAGATGAATATCTTAGACATCTGATGACTGAAATTGTTAATATTTGTCGTGTTGCAACTTAGCTGTATATTACTGAGTCCAACGTCAGTTTCTCCCAGAGACAACATTGCATCACGATTATGTCCGCAATCCTAAACTAACATGGTAGAGACCACGGAGTTCCAGGAACTATCAAACGCTGGGGTCACTTACGACATGTCATGTCTTGATCTTCATCTGAGTTGTCACCGCAGTCGTCGTCGCCGTCACAGACCCAGCCCTTGAAGATACACCGTCCGTTGTTACAGCGGAACCGGTTGGCGAAACAGGTTGGTGTTGCTAGTAATATAGATAAAATATAAACTCTTCTTGCGACAAGATTGGAGATTGCTTTGGTGTATAAAAACACACTGGTAATCTATTTCAGTCTCACCTCAGATGTTGTTCGAGTCCAATACAGTGAGTTACGTTTTGATAAAAACTGAACCACTCCATGTAGGACTACAAGAAACTTCCTAAACGATCAATAACAACAATAAATATCGGAAAATAATACAAAAATATAGTGAGTGCCCACTGTTAGTTTTCTTACAATTTGATATCACCCTAATAACAATACCGAATACAGTATCTTGTGGACATGTATTCAAGATATTAGTCATCAACCAAGACACGAACTGTTACAATTTGAAAATATTCATTTTGAGTTGTCTTGAAGTGAATGGTGTTTGGTGACGTTTTCAGTGTAATCAAACCAACTGTCACGATTATATGAATGACACCTTTACCAATTATTTGCAAAGATAGTTAAAATGGTACATACGACACGAGTCGGGTTCGTCTGTGCCATCCTCGCAGTCCTCCTGTCCATCACACTTCCATTTGTTGGGGATACAGCCGCCCACTCCACACTTAAGCTCGTCAGAGTGACATCCTTCTGGTGGTCGTGTGGCTGGGGACAGTGATACACATATCGTGCACATGTCGACACATTCAATAACGTAACATCAAATCTACATATACTATCATCACGTAATTAAGACGACAAGAGTATGAACCTAAACTGACGTCACATTGTTCCATATTGCGGTCTTACTTTTACATCCGGGTCTTGGTACTTCCATCATGACGTCGTTCTCTGTGGTAAAATGTTACACAAAGACCACTGAAATTACTTTGATGAATATTATTTCACTGTGATTTTCGTATTGGGCGTTCAGCAGACTGTTAATACAACCAAAAACATGTTGGATATATTTTTGCACCAACAACATCCGTTTTAATGGCTCAAGAGTCTAGGATATTACTTTCTTTTTCACCGTGTTTCATGTTTGCAGTAAAACGCCGCTTTCATCAATATTTCAGGGTTATTATTTATTTTATATATTCTCGGGTCCCTCGTTGCGTGACAATGCAGGTGACTTACGACAGTCGTGTTCATCACTCTCGTCCTGACAGTCCGCCACACCGTCACATCGGTATTTCCTGAGGACACACTGGCGGATCGTCTTGCACGTCCACCTTGACCCCGTGCAGTTGAGGGGAGGGCAGCCAACTTCGTCGCTGCCGTCGAAGCAGTCGTTGCCACCATTGCAGACACGCGACTCCGGGATGCACCGTTTGTCATTACACTTGAAGTATCCAACGGGGCAGGTATGTGTACCTGTCAGATGGTTCAAGATGAAGGGTCAGTAACAAATAAAACCATCTCTTACAACGACCCCAAAACAGAGAGCAAGAAATCATTAATACTTATGAGGAATAGTGAATCATTTGTAGTGAGTGAATTAAAGTTGAATATACCTGAATGAGAACATGTAAAACATTTCTTGTCATCAACAGAAACATTACCTCAGTGACGCATGGAAAAACGGCGTCACGATGAATGGATGACCTCATATTCATATCCACTTATTTACGGTGACTCAGTGAATACTAATTATATTTTTACACCGCTTTTAGCAATATACCAGCAATATCACGGCGCGGTACACCGGAAATGAGCTTCACACATTGTAACCCACAGACATGTGGGAATCGAACCCGGGGCATCGGCGTGACGAGAAGACGCTTTCACCGCTAGGCTACCCTACCGCCGCCAATTATTTACGACAACGACAACGCTTGATATCATGTCACTTTGCTGTGGGATTCTTCACAAACTATAGACAGGAATAATTGGCTTTAACTAGCCAGCGGGCAAAGAGCAAACGTCATGCTGAGTGAAAATGAAATCTTGAATATAACTCCATGTTATATCCGTAGCCTATAGATAATATCTCTCAGTAATCAACATCGTTTTCTCAGTCCACGTTCCTGTGTACCATTGGTGACTCATTACCAAAGTATATGCTGTGATGGTGCGAGATCATACTTTACGAGTCGACCCACGCATTGGTATTATTTCAGTTTACATTACCACTGTAATTGGTGTATTCATGTCAAGCATTGAAGAGTGATCCAGTTGCACAGTTAAAAACATCTTAATGATGATTTACCAACCACAAAAATTTCCCTCGTCTGAGCCGTCCCCACAGTCGTTGTCGGTGTCGCACACAAGCCGGCTTGAGATACACAGCGAGTTGTTACAGTGGAACTCCAGGGGGTTGCAAGTTTTGTCCGCTGCAATAACACGAGAGTTAGGTAAAGGGTTACATGTAGAGCAAGGTGAAGAAGCAGCGGAGAACACCGGCGTATCAGGTCTTGTTGGCAGTACAACAGGAAGTGATCAGTCACTAATGCACTGACTTTCACCATCAGGAATTTGCCTACTAACATAACACGACACATATGTACCTGTCCCGCGGTGTCTAAGAACTAGTTGCGCTTGCACGGATTACTTTCTTTATTGAGACACATCCGCTGAAGCACCCAATGTGGTTAATGTTGTGAGCGAGTGAGTGGGTGGGTGAGTAAATGTGTCAGTTCTGATATAGCCATACCCGCTAAGATCCGGGTTAGAATGGTCGACACATGTCATCGTATCCCAATTGCGAAGATCGATGCTCATGATGTTTATCACTGGATTGTCTGGTCCAGATTCCATTATTTAGAGATTGCTACCTTATAGCTGGATTATTGCTGAGTGCGGCGTCAAACAAAAACAAGTTAGAGCAACTATTCCGGCAGCTTAATGTGAGTGAGTGAGTGAGTGAGTTTTGCTATTTCAGCAATATCAATACCTTATCACGACGAGCTAACACCAAAAAATGGGCTTCGGACAGTTTTCACCGGTGAAACCATGTCTTCGCTGTGATCAGTCTGTCATTAAATAACAATGTTACCAACTGTACCAACTGTACTTACGACAATTCATTTCGTCAGACATATCACCGCAGTCGTTGTCGCCGTCGCAGGCCCACACTCGGCTGATGCAGCGGCCGTTGTCACAACGGAAACGGTTGGAGGGGCAGGTGGTCTCTGATATATAGGCACAGATGCAAAGGTGGATCACTTTGACTTCACGTTTTACTCGGTATTTCTTTTCAACAAGAGCCTTCTATGGGTGGACAGGTCAACATAAATCAGGTATAAAGTTTTTAACAGCGAGTATGATTTTACGCCACGTTTTGCAATATTCCAGCAATATCGCGACAGGGGATACCAGGAACGGTCTTTACACATTACCCATGTGGGGAATCGAACCAGTGTTTTCAGCAGGACGAACTGAAGCTTTATTCGGCTTCCCCACCGCCATTAAAGTATTTAACAAACAAGCGTAACGCTACAACTATTTATAGGTCTGTACCAAAATATGACACTACGATCAACGATTAGTTTCCCAAACTAGGTCTTTAAGGGTCATTATAATATTGGCATTATGACCCTAAAATGACGAAGTGAGTGCACATACCAACTGGGCAGTCTTGTTCATCCGAGTTATCCAGACAGTCGTTGTCCCCGTCACATTTGTATCCCCGGGGGATACAGCGGCCGTTGGCGCACTGGAACAACCCCGGTTGGCAGCTGGTGGGGTTTGGCTCGTCTGGGTTGATGGAGCAGGTGCGCTGGTTGGCACTAAGCTTCATTCCATATGGACAGTCGCAGTGGCGCCCCACCCTCACAAGACCTCCCGATAAAGGCACAGGGAAACAGAAGTGGGAGCAGTCTCCGTTCCTTCTGATGCATGGGTTCTGACCTGAAACAACCACGGGACAGGGTAGATGAGTTCAGTTAACGCCATACCCGTGAAGATCCGGGTTAGAATTTGTCTTCGGTAACCCATGCTTGTTGTAAGAGGCGACTAACGAGTGGCCAGACTCGCTGACTTGGTTGACACATGTCATCGTATCTCAGTTGCGTAGATCGATGCTCATGGTGTCAGTCACTGGATTGTCAGGTACAGACTAGATTATTTATAGAACGCCGCCATTTAGCTGGGATATTGCTGAGTGAGGCGTTAAACAACAAACAGGTAATTGCCAATTTTCAGACATCTCAATGTGACAGACAAGAATACCCATCTTTTAAAGGTTATAACCATGGACCTAAAAGTGGCAACAGGGTCGTCCACACGCCGAAAAGAGTTCAATGTCCCAACAAAAATGTGAATCTGTGAACACATTAGCTCTTCTTCCTGTTTAGAAACGAACATTTCCCAGACCCTAACTCATATCAAACGCACGTTAAACTCCACATAACAACTAACAAACTAATGAAGTGACTTTATATCTGCAAAATTGCTGATGAATCAGTAAGAAATAACTATTATGAGTCACATATATGATGGCATTTGGCAGGTGCGTTGGGCAACACCAAACTGTATGTTACACATCCATATGCTATACTGAAGGCCATAGAGCATTGGCAAACGGACTATCAGAACTTACTGGAGGCTGGTTGGAGGTCGTGGTCGTACACTCGGATGCCCATCAGTTTACCCACCCCGGAGCGGATCTTGGTTTCCTGGCCCCCACGTTTGTTGATCCTGACAATAGCTTCCAGGCGCCAGTCGGTGTAGTATATGTAATCTGGCAATATAAGGTCGAGTAAATAAGGGTTTAAAGTAGCCGCCATATGAAGCCTAGGGCGACACTCAATAAAGGCAATAACTAAATCTGAGAACTATTGTTTCTGGCTTTGTAGCTACATACGTCCAAACCCTAGCATCATCGAAATTGAATGCTCTTTCGACCTTTCTTATAGTTCCCTGTTATGAACAATTCTAAAAAAACAAAACAAATAAAAGTAATTATACGTTTTCATATCTAGTTAATAAAAATGATACTCATTAGGTTTCCTGAAGGTATTATCTTTTATATTAGTCCAAGCGTTCAAGCACGAGCTAAATATGCACACACATGTACTCTTACGCTTTCAATGGTGTTATCGACACGTGTCCCATAGATGTTAAATCATATGGCGCGTGCCCCAAAAAGGTTACATTACTCGACAGATTCGATAATATAATATTCATAATGTATTTTCGTTTATTTCTGTCCAGCTTTGGTTATCCAGAGGTACTGTGTCAGAAATACCAACCTTTATATATGGCTATTCCGAATGGGTGAGTGATCGAGTGCCCAGTAAGTGTCTGAAGATCTTTGCCAGAGAAGTCGGAGTGCTGAATTCTAGGCAAAACAGAGCGGGAGTCAACAAGTTGAAATCGTGATCTGTATATGCATTTGGTTAGGAAAACAGGAACAGCACAAACGATACAGAAACATTAAGTTTATGTATCGAACAAAAGCATGGAGCGTATATACACAAGATACTAGAGACGTATACATATTCATTCTTGTATCAACCATACAAAATGTTCTACACGGTGGCAAGAAATGCAATTAAGGAAAAAGACATTTAATAGAAAATGTACGAAATTAATTAAACACGTTGGTGTAATCGACTGATACCTGTCAAAGAAGGCGTCCACCCAGTACAGCCTGTTGGCGGCGAAGTCTATACAGAGGCCGTTGGGCCAGCCAAGCTCATGTTCTCGAATCTTGGTGACGTTGCTGCCGTCACTGTAGGCCCTAGCAATGTAGGGTGTCTGCATTGAGTTCCGTAACCAGTCCGTGAAAAACAGCCACCTAGAGCCAATAAAGACAGCAGATAATAAAGATGATAAATAGCAATCATATTAATTGTTAATTAGAGATCATTATTAAGAGCAAATCGGTTTGTGATCATGGTTCTATACGAACCATGTAACCTGTTTGATATACAACCTAACTGTATTAGTTTGTGCAAACCAATACCAATCCACATAAATTCTTAGGACAGCTTTGGTGCAATTCCACGATGAAAACGTTTTAAGAACATAGTTATTCCATTAAGTCCACAGTGGAGTTCTTGGTTAATTTGCAATACATTGGTACCCACAGGAAGCTATGTTGTGAAGCCGTAGGGCAATACTTATCAGCGAAATATTCTCAAGCACGAGACCCAACTATACGCGTTTGTCAAGTGGAGTTCTTGGTTTTTCTCAGTACCCACAGGTTTTAAACTCGGTTGCATCTGCAACTTTCCAACGTTCCAGCTATATGAGACAATTGACTCTGAACCAGACAGTTAACGTCATGAGTATCGATCTACGCAACTGGGATGAGATGACATGCATCAACCCAGTCAGCGAGTCTGACCTCTCGACCACGTTAGTCGTCTCTTACGACAAACAAAGTCGCTAAGGAGCAATGGCATGGATCTAGAAGGAAGAACACTGAGAAAAAGATAACAATAACCGTACCCCTTTAATGGATGAACGACAACAGAACGGGGGTTGCCGAGGCCCTCGATGATGTCCCTGCGGTCGCCGGGGTTGCGCAGTCTGACGACGGAGATGGAGCTACGGGCGTAGTCGGTGTAGTAGAGATTCTTGGCGATCCAGTCAATGGACATCCCCTCCACAGAACGTATATGGTTGACCACGAGCGGGGTGGCCTCTGTAAAAAGTTTAAACAACTTTGTGTTGAGATTGAACTGTGTCGAGGACAATCATACATATATCCGTATCGTGACACTTTATTTAACGCTGGGGCGGTTGGGTAGCCTAGTGGTTAAAGCGTTCGCTCGTCACGACGATTGCGTGAAGCCCACCCGCTGTGATATTACTGGGCTTCGATTCACTCCCATTATTTAACGCATGGCCAAAGTTACCAGACATTGCGTACCTACTAAAGTGTGTGCACATACTACAAATGATATTTGAATATTGCCCCACTCAAAATGTTGCTGCAAGCTGTCCAAAGGGGTATGTTCCTTCATTTAATTGGAAGTTATACGCATAAAGTAGATAATTTATAGACGTTGCCAAGATGTTCTGTGGTATGAGGAACTCAGTGTTTGGGAGCATATGCTTACTCCTTCATCACTTGAAGAATACTTAGATGAAGAGATGGACCTGCGATCCAATAAAAAATGACACGTTAGATAAATACTTGCCTGCCTGGCCGACCTGTGCCTGGTATATGACCCTGTTACGAACGTCGGAGAAGTACACAGTTTCATTCTCGGCGTCATAGTCGACAGCCACGTAGTTCATGCCCATTCGACCTCGACGGTGGCCAGTGATTTGTGGAATGTTGTCCGTGGCGTAAGATGTGGGTTCTTCAAGGGGGATTCCACGTACCGATTGCATGGAGGCGAACAGAATAAACTGGGTCACCTCTGGGAAAGAAGGGAATATGGTTGCACAAAACAAATGTATACGTTTCAGTTGCACTGGAACCAAGAATCTTTGTGACACATAAGTTACAAATAGCGGGTTCGTTCGCTACATGGTTATAATGGTCTGAACCCCGAATGTTCCCGGAATATTGTGAAAAGCGGAATATTGTAAAACCCACTCACTTACTCCTACATGGCTACCCGACATTTTAATTTATCAGATATCGCTTGTGTGAGATCAGACAGTAGATTTTGCACAATGCCCTGACAATGCTATGACGTCATGAACTTGATGACGTCACAATGCTATGACATAGCTTCACTGCAAATCTAATGGCAGTACTGTGTTCAGAGATGTACATTTTTCATTGAAAACTAATGAAGAGTGATTTTTGATGATAAATAGAATCTCACCCTCGTGTCTTTTGATACCAAATATATCAACACTCGTTTATAAAAGTAAAAATATCCTCCGCAAGCCTCGGATATTTGTTACTATAACAACTCATGGTGATATATTTGATATCAAAAGACACTCTGGTGAGATTCTCTGTATGCTCTATTAACACTCGCTGCATATGGATATTACTGACAATTCGATAAGAATCTGAGACATATACAGATATCCACACATGAATGCATCGTGTGTATATTATCTCACTTGTGCAGTTGACCCGGTTCTTCTCCAACGTAAAGCCTGCATTACACATGCATCGGTAACCGAGGTCGGCGTTGTCGGTGGTGTGGGTGACGACGCAGATGTGGCTGCAAGGTCCAGATGCGCAAGGGTTGGCTGGCGAGAGAACATTAGAAACTGATCCGTGTATATCTTCTTACAGCTCATTTGAAATAGGTAATTGAGCGCTATCACACTAATTATTGCCATGGGATCCACCCACATCTAAAGGACGTAATTGAAAAACATTTAGTTCTGCTAAACAAGAAAATGCTCAATTGAGTTATCAGATTTGTCAACAAACAAATATTTTCCTTCATTGTTTCCTTCATTGATAAATTAAAAGCAGCTACATGGTGATATTTTCCTTGTCTTGAAATAACACTTACTTCATCTGATCCATATAAGAAGAATGAAATTAGTTGTTGGAAAACAGTTTTTCCAAAATATATAGCATTCGACGAGTAGATCTGTCCACTTCCTTAAGAGGTTTTGTGCCTGATCCCATCACTGCCGAAGCAGCAGTGTTGGATTAATTAACGTGTGGACTCGGAGACAGGTACAACACTCACCACGTTTCTGGATCGGCTGCACGGATTGGTGGAAGATCTTGACGCAGGTAGGCTTGACACCAACCTCCTTGTAAATCTGTTTAATAGTCTTCTCCCCGTTAGACTTGCTGGTGTGAAGCAGCCCCATCTTGGTGATGTCAGACCAGTAAACCTGGTTCTCAAACACGGCCAGGCTGGATCCGGCTGGGATGTTTAACCCACCTCGTATTACTGTATACCTGTAAAATACAGCTTTACGTTGAAAATACACAACACCCCAGTATACTGAAACTCCCTTAATCCATCGTGGGTTTCGTACTGATTAGCGAATATGCAAATTAACGGATATTTGTTTGGCAGACAATAGAAGAAAATTAAAATAGTCGTCGTCGAGAGGACAGGGGTTCGTATCACTGTTAGGACAATAAATTTAAAAAATTAAAATCTAGACTTTTGTAATGATATCTTGTTTTTCTATGCTATGGTTAACACTTGCTTCAAATTTGAACGAAATCGGTGTATTCTATATAATAGTATAGCGGTAGAATTTTCTAAAATCGTTATGTCTTCACCGATTTCGTTCAAATTATTGTCCAAATAGTGATTCGAGCTCCGGTGGTCGAGGGGGTGATCAGCGCCATCTTTTAACGTCTTTTGAAATTACGCGGCCAGGAGAAAGAACCACCGACCCCTAACAACCACCTCTTCGTGAAGACGATCTGGCCACTTCATCATGGCGGCGGTTACATCACAGATATAAGCATGCCCCCATATTATAAACTTTAAAATTTCTCGATCTATAATAATGTCTATTCCATTAATTTCAGAAACGTTTACTGATGTGAGTGGCATTACAAATTTTCCAGCACATTCCAAGGAAATATTCATTCAATACGTCAGTACGTCTGCTTTCTACTTAAATGACAACTGTTCCATGAAACCAACAACGGTGTCTCATAATGGTCTCAATGAAAACAGAAAACTGTATAACCAGTGATGTACGTTATATATAGCTTGCATCCTGTGTAAATGTTTGGACTTAACATTGATATTATCACAGAAGGATCGCCTTGATAGCAACAGACCCACCTGTTCAGTCCAGTGTAGTCTACAGTATCCAGATGGTCCAGATGAGTGTCTATCCAGTATACTCGCTCAGCAGCGATGTCGACCGCGAGGGTGCGAGGAGCCAGGATCTTCGTCAGGTGGAACACCATTCTGTGACTGCCGTCCATGTATGCTCGCTCTATCTTGGCGGAATTGGGAGTTTCCGAGGTGCCCATGTCTGTAAAAAACATGTACCTGAAAAACAGGACAATGGACATGACATTTACAGGAAGATGGCGTGGAAGCAGAGCACGAGTGTTGGAAGGTTCAGAATAGCCTGTATGGCCCTGGGGGACAGAGAGTTTGTGAACAAGTTGGGTTTAACGCTGTTTTTAATAAATAATATCCTTCTGGGACACTGTTTCTCAGGCTCGTCATATGAGCGAAATATTCTCAAGCACGACTTTAAACCCAATTTCACCTCACCTCACCTGTTTCTCAGGCACACTGTTATCGTCAAGCTTTTGATACGCACATTTTTCGACAAATTGTGTGATTGGGTGGTGGTGGTGCTATCGGTATGGTACTATGCTTACCCTTTTCGCGAACACCTGGTGTCATCACAGATTTCAGTAGTCCATTCATATGATTTCCACAGATATTATTCCCTTTACACCAAATTAAATCCCTTTCCTAGTATAAACAGACAGAGTATTCTTTTGCACTGACGTTATGTATTTACATGGTATTTGGTCAAGAACTCATTTCAGCACTCTGCAGCGTGGCACATGTCCCATACAGTTGTCATGAATGACATACTCACCCTTTCAGTGGATCAAGGGCAATTGATGCTGGCCACTTGAGCTCATTTGATATGATGTTACGTTGCTTGTCGTTGCTGAGTGAAAATAGATCAATCCTGGCGCCGTCCCTCTCGGCCAGGTAGAGGTTGTTGCCTATCCAGTCGTAGGCGATGGCTTGAGGGTTGGACACGCCGAGCGTCGGAAGCCGTCGCCGACCTGAATTGCCATTGATGTTCACCTGGTATACCTGATGGAAACAGATAATTCATATAGACGTAATTCACCTGGTGAAAACTGGGATAATTCACTTAGTAACGCTAGTTGAAACAGGGATAGTTCCCTGGTGCACCTGATGGAAACACGGATGATTCACACATAATTGGAAGTACAGACGTTTGCATCCACCTAGTTCACCTTGTTGATTAAAGACAATTCACACATCTCGTAAACCTGACTGAAGTGCAGACAAATTCCGAGCACCTGGTGCACCTGTTTGAAACACTGACAATTCACGTACACATCGTACGCCATGCACATGGTTCAATTGAGGATGAATCATCAGTTACTTAAAACCTCACTCATACACCTTCACAAACATCCGGTATATGTGATTCACACCTAGACATTAGAGATGTCCTGGGATATTTGAAACACAAATATAAGCCTCTCCTATACTAGTATCTGCCCCATTTGAAAGAGACGTAGCAACTTCCTTTGTACCTGGTACATCCAGAAACATACAAACTTCCAAAGGCAGGTGGGGCAGCTTGTGGTTCAAGAGTTTGCTTGTCACGCCGTACACCCGGGTTCCATTTTTACACGTGTATGATGTGCGAAGCCCATTCCTTGTGTCTCTCACCGTAGAATATTGCAAAAATCATATTGGATAAAACCAAACTCACTGACTCACAACAGAATTTCCATACCCTTGTACACCGGTGAGAAACGGTGATCGCCTTTATCAACACCCTCCCACACTCACTGCATATATGGACCTAACCTGTCACTGAATCACACTGGTGGGCATTTGCCCTTGGATTAACTCAGATGTCATTCAAGAACCTCTGAATATTGTAATATGTTATGGTAATACTTGGTCACACAGACAACGACTACCGCCAAGCAAAATCGCCAATATTGTGGCATAATTGTACCTTCTTGTCCGTGGAGTTAATGTAGAAGATGAGGTTATTGTGTACACTGACGTCTAGGTCTGACACGGACGCCGTCATACGCTCCACCACGTTCTGGCCATCGCGATTCATCGTAACGACGCTTTTGCCCGTCGACAAAACAAGATTCATCGTGTCACCTGAAAATGTACAATGGACAGTGCTATGAAATAGACAAAACGGTCGCAGAAGCATGTCATTCTTAAACAATGTTTGCCAGAGATATGCAAATGAACACTGAAATTATTATGATCATGAAATATGACATGTGGCACTGGTATTTAAAGTAACTGGTGGGTTCGTTGCCATAACTGTAGATATACTGTACATTTGGAGAAACCTTGCAGCAGAGACTTTTGTTAAGGATTAAACACATTTATCATATTTGGGCATATCGGTATTCAAGTTCAACCGGACTGACGATAGTTACTACTAACCACTATCATGTTGTTTCCATTTAAATGCATATGGGTAGTAGATAATATTAAATATGATACCAAAAAAACCCGTGCTCTACAGACACCAGTTTTAAGTTATTCATTAAGTCTTTATTCAGTCGTTACGTTCGACAATTGTCTTTGATCAAACCATTACCAGGGTACCAAGCCTTTACTAGACAGAAAGTAGTTGCCGAAACACGGCAAACTCAAGGTCCAAAACACGACACCAGTATAAATAACATCGAATAACCACTTCTTTCTTGTTTCATTTTAGCCACGCAAATGTGTACTTTCTAGTGCCTGTCAGTTTATGGTTCAACCATATGACCGCCTGCTGCATCTCACCATCGTTGGCTGTACAGACGTTGTCGGGGGAGAGGGTGTAGCCGGCGTCACAGCTGCAGGTGTAGGAACCAATTGTGTTGACACATCCCTGGTCGCAGAATCCCCATGTTGAACACTCGTCAAAGTCTGTAAGAAATAATACAATATGTAGAACAAGCCTTGAGTCATGTTCAGACCTCATAGGCATGTTTCATCATGGGCATGTTCCATCATAGGCATGTTTCATCATAGGCATGTTTCATCATAGGCATTGAACGACCAAAATGAACTACGAGATAAAAATATAGAGTATAAACAGCGGTCATACAGTTTTGGTTGGCAAAAATGGAAAATATTTAATTTTTTTCTTCAGGATTATGACTGATAAACCGGTTCACTAAGCAACAAAAATATATAACCGTGTGTGCATTTGTCTTTACTTCTTCTGGCCTGAAATGTTGATAGGTAAATGAATTAATCATAACACACACATACACTTGTATATTGTGTCTTACCAATGCATGTCCTGTTGTCCGTGGGGTCGACAGTAAATCCCGCCTCGCAGTAGCACGTGCCGCCCGAGGGGTGGGGCGACAGGCATGGTCACACGACAGCCGCGTACAACTGGATGAGCCTTGAAATATAAACAATCCCTAAATTATGATCTACACCATACCACGCTTGGTTACGAGTGTTTAGAAACCAAGAATGGATTGGTATGTATATAGGTTATTGGAACTAGTTCTATGGTTTGGATACACCTGAATATTTGTTTTCTTCATTAATTTTCCTTAATGTTTATGTTGTGAGGTGAAGCTACATACTGCAGTCCTCCACCTCGTCGTCCCCGGCGCTGCAGTCGTCATTGTTGTCACAGACAGCGGATATGGGAATACAATAACCGCTGGAAGGACACGCCCATTGTTGGGGTAAACAGGCGTATTTATCTGAAATCATATGTCACATAGATGCAAAAATCATTTAATAGGTTTGTGTATACATTGCAGCACTTAAACTGAACAGGATACTTTCAATATGTACAAGATCATAATACAACTCTTCCAAATAGTACACTAAGATTACAATGATTAAAGCAAGCATTCTTTTCAATGGATAACAGACAAGGGCATCTATGCATGCTACAACAGGCATGGTTGTACACAGCGCGGTCATTTTACATATAATTATGTAGAGGAATACCCTCAGAAGAAAAAAATAACAGTGACTAAATTATTCTGATGAAAACATGTAAAATACATATTTAAACATTTCAATGTGCTTTTGAAGAAAAATATATTCCCAGGCATTCGAATGAAATCACACATTATTGTACAAGGCTAACGTGTGATACAAGTGCGTACCAGGGAAGGCACCTACCACAGTTGAGCTCATCGGAACCGTCCCCGCAGTCGTCACTACCATCGCACACCCATTTCTGCGATACACAACGCTTGTTCTTGCAAGTGAACTCGAAACCTGAACACGCCGGGTATGCTGTAACATAGAAACGCTTCTGTAATAACCTGTGAACGGCAACACCTCAGCATAGCTCCCTGTTTGTCTTGTTTGTGATTAGACGCACAACACAACAGTAATATTCCAGCTATATGACGATGCCTTTGAAACAATCCGGAGACCAGACAGTAGAGCTGTAACGATGCATCGAACTATCGATGGATTGCAATTGTTGAGTCTCCGAAGGCAATTATTGATGGTAGAAACGAAAACTATCGATAGTTTAGTAATTGACTTCCGTTGGTAAATGCGCAGCGCAAAATACAGGATGTTTGGGTGCAGACTTGCAGCTTCATTGGGTTTATGTTTTAACTGTTTACTTGATCTGGGTTTCAAGTTTCTTGTCAGTTATTAAAAGAGACTGAAACTACTTCAACTTTTATTTATTTCATATAAACTATACATTCATTTGGGAAATGACTTCAAATGAGACAATTCAAGGAGAAAAAGCCTTTGCAATATTATTGCAATATAATATTGTGTAATCATAGCATTGCAATAGTTGGTAGCAATAGACTATTGCTATCGCAATAGTTTCCCCCTCAATAGTCACCCTACCAGACAGTCAATTGGATTTAAGATAGAAATAAAACTGTCAAAATTCCCTTAAAGGAATGGAACTATCCTTAACCATAAGAAATCTGCTACAGCTTGGGTCCATCGTACCAACTATACATGGACATGTTCTCCCGAATCATTATGCTGATGAGTGAGTGAGTGTGTTAATAGTCACATCGCATTATGCTGATGATACCAGATGGTTGTAAAGAGGCAAGCGTACTTGGCACGCAACACAAAGACATGCCAGAGTTGAAAATTTGTTCTTCACCTGAAGGACATGGGAACACATGGCAAAAGTCAAAGTAGTGAACAGCATTGGACATGAGTTTTGACACTGATGATCATCCTTGAAAATGTCCTCCACAAGTTTAGAATCAGCCTGAATTTTAATACTTTGCATATAATATAAATGTTCTGTAGATAGATTGAAAAGGCGTTAATACAATACAGTGACTCAGAAAAGCTTTAGTTTTTATTGCAAATGATTCGTTCGTGCTGAGGAAAATTATAATAAGTACTCGTTCTTAAGAGTTGGTATGCACTGTACCATAAACCAAAGTCTAAGTATGCGGATCCAGAGGGATGGGGGTGTAGGGGTGTGCACCCCTTTTGTCCTGAAAAATTATTAAATGACCATTAAAACTCGCGTGAAAAGGAAATGTGCACCCCCTCTTCTCAATAGTGTGCAACCACCCCCCCCCCCCCCTTCCCTTCTCTAAAAGCTGTATCCGCACCAATAAGGGCAAACACTGATCGTGTACGGTTAAACATTTACTTGTGTTTACCCATCTTCACCAGGATACTTCCGCCAGCCTTGTAACATGCAAAACAACATTCATCAAATTTCGTATTTCACAAAAGGCTAAAGACTGACTGACTGAGTTTTCGTTTTACGCCGCTTTTAGCAATATTCCAGCAATATCACGACGGGGGACACCAGAAATGGGCTTCACTCATTGTACCCATGTGGGGATTCGAACCCGGGTCTTCGGCGTGACGAGCCAACGCTTTAACCATTAGGCTACCCCACCGCCCAAAATGGCTAAAGAAGACACAGTAAACATAAAACTGCAATGTCAGGGGAAAATAAATCTGGATTATCTACCAAACCCTATTCCGTAAAAGGTCTTGAATGGCGAAATAGCTGTTAAAATATATGAATCGGTGATGACGCCAGGTATCAGGTATTAAGGTAAGCCTTAAAGGTACCACAGACACTCACACAATTGTGTAGCCCAGTCGTGGGCCCCTGCCTTGGTATGTCCCAAGAGGCGCAAAACCATATTCACTCACACATATTATAACGTTAAACACTACTTTCACAAGACAACTGATCACCCAGAAAGTGTCTCAAGATCACACAAAGCATTCACAACACACACACATATTATAACGTTGAGCACTACTTTCACAAGACAACTGATCACCCAGAAAGTGTCTCAAGATCACACAAAGCATTCACACACACATATTATAACGTTGAGCACTACTTTCACAAGACAACTGATCACCCAGAAAGTGTCTCAAGAGCACACAAAGCATTCACACACACATATTATAACGTTAAGCACTACTTTCACAAGACAACTGATCACCCAGAAAGTGTCTCAAGATCACACAAAGCATTTACTCACACACATTATAACGTTAAGCACTACTTTCACAGACAACAGATCATCCAGAAATTGTCTCAAGATCACACAAAGCATCAACTCACACACATTCGTTAAGCACTAGTTTCACAGACAACAGATCATCAAAAGAATGTCTCAAGAGTACACACAGCATCCACTCAACCCTATTATAACGCTAAGCACCACTTTCACAGACAACAGATCATCCAGAAAGTGTCTCAAGAGTACACACAGCATCCACTCAACCTTATTATAACGCTAAGCACCACTTTCACAGACAACAGATCATCCAGAAAGTGTCTCAAGAGTACACACATAGAACACACCCATACTGCTTGGCCACAGGTAGCAGGTAAAACAACCAGTGCGTCATGTTTTCATCACCTACTGTTTGTGTATCGTGGCTTGTTTGAATGATACTTACCACGTCTATTTCCGACACCGGTCGAGAGTATCGTTACTAGACACGGATTACAAACCAGGTGGCAACGAGGTGTCTTCAACCACTTCACGAACAGGTAATAAAATAAAGTAATTCCATATAAACCTGTCAAAGTGTGGCTTGCGTGAGCGATTCCCAACTTCTGTACTTCCGTAATATTACCTTAGAATAGAATTATAATGACCAACAAAGTGTGTGTCTTCTACGTCAGTGAAGCACTATCTACCGTTTGCAGGTGGCGATGCATTATTCATCTAACATGCAGGCACACTAAACCTACTACAGTATATACAACACCACGTGAGGCGTGCAGGGAATATACGAGCCTGAAGCGTTTGGCGCACCTGTCGCGGTTCCCAGGTGGCACTTTTTACCAAGCAAAACAACGTCGTCGTTCCTGGACACGTCACTGTATAAACTAGACTGTCCTCAACGGGTCGCAGCTCGACGTGATTATGCTTCCGTGTTTGTCAGCAATACCTGTGCTCGTGGGTTGCACCAAAGTGGTAAACATGTGCAAACCCTGGGTGTCTCACACGTCAAGCTGACACACAGTGGTATAATGAAATAAAAGTGTTAAAACAACCCAACATTTACTCATGGCATCGCCGCTTGACCCTCGCACTATAAACTGAAGTGAGTGAGTGTGAGTGAGTTTAGTTTTACGCCGCAGTCAGCAATATTACAGCTATATGGCGGCGGTCTGTAAATATTCGAGACTGCACCAGACAATCCAGTGATCAACATAATGAGCTTTGATCTACGCAATTGGGATACGATGACATGTGGCAACCAAGTCAGCTAGCCTGACCACCCGGTCCTGTTAGTCGCCTCTTACGACAAGCATGGGTTACTTAAGATCAATTCTAACTTGGACCTTTGCGAGTATAAACTGAAGTGAGTGAGTGACTTTAGTTTTACGCCACCATTTGCAATGTTCCAGCAATATCACGGCGCGGGACACCAGAAATGGGCTTCACGCATTGTAACTATGT